AGCTGGAATTACAGTGGCATTTAAACCAAGCAACCAATCAACTCTATCCGAGATAAACTTTGTCGGCTTAAGGACTCAATAGATCCAATTAAGACACATAATATAGTTTACCATATACCATGTTATAACTGTCGGTGAAGTCATTTACATAGGTCAAACTAGTAGATCGGGGTCAGCTAGATTATTGTAATATAAAAATTTAACTAGACCTGGAATAATTGACTCTGGTAAGTTAAACAACCTAGAAAAAAGAAGAGCTCAGTCATTGCACTACATTCACCTGCACTACACAACAATAGGAAGGAACAGGATGAGAGTATTAAAAAGTAATGTAGTTAGATAGAGAGAGAGAAAAGTTAATCACTGAAGTTTAAGTATTGGTTTGTAGGGATTTGGTTGATTGGCTACAAGATTTCATCATGAGCTCACAGCCGTTAGAGAACCATTAGAAAACCATACCAGGAAGTACTGGACAGCTGTTTCGTCCTAGTTTAAGATTCTTCAGCAGTATGCACCCACCAAAGGGAGTTCAAACCCAGGACCTTCTGGTTACAAATCGAGCTGAGAGACAAATAAGCCACTCACTGGGACCCGATTCAATGGCCCATGAATTCTAACTTTTGTCTACTCACGATAAATTTCGCAACCGCTAGCCAATGTCTTCGGGTCCCACTGGTATATGTGTTATGGTATATGTGCTCGCCTTGGAATCAGAAGGTCCTGGGTTCGAACCTCCTGTGGTGGATGCATACTGATCAAGAGTCCCAAACTAGGACGAAACAGCTGTCCAGTGCTCCTTGCAGGTTTTCCAATGGCTCTCTAACCAATGTCAGCTCATGATGAAATCCTGTAACTAATCACTGAAGCTTTGTTACTCGATTCAACACCGTATACGTGCAATCGGAATGACGCAACGCATCACCTATAGGGAGATATAGTAAGTGGCAGCACACAAAAAGGCGAAGTTGGAGAGACAGAATAGAAAGAAGATGTATATAAGACAAACTGTGAAATCGTGTGACTGAAATTGATATGATTATGAATGGCAGTAATTTATGCTCGAAATCTTGTCATCTAATTGTTAATACTGTGTCATCTCCGTGTGATGTTTGAAAATGTGATTATCTTATATGGAATTACATTCTACCAAAGCACCCAAGTTGTACAGTTACATGATAACTCAGAAAACGTAGAGGTTGCATATTTATTGAAACTGATACCTATACCTACAATATTCATGTATATGTATTTATTTAACCTTAAACAAAAAATTGTATCGATAACAATGTTTGTAGTGGAGTATTCAGATGACGAGTCCTTCTACCGAAATTTATGAATTCATTAGATGCTGCTTTTTCTTCACATTTTCGCTTGTTTTTTTAATGAACCACGGGAAAGAAATATTCCTAACTTGTATTGGTACTCAGTGTTTCCGTCACCTGGAGTTTGACCCTTAGTTTGAGTGATTTCCTTCTTATCGATTGGTGAATTTTGTTTGTGCTGATGAGTCTATTGATTGATGATTCACTGGAATACCAGGATTCTAAAAATCCTCTAGCATTCTTGTTGTTTCCTCTCTCCAGTATTTGAACGTTGACCCAGTCTAACTGATGCCCATAGTTGTCTGTATGCGATGAGGCGATATGAGGGAGTGGATGTCATGTCTTTTGACGGCTAGTTTATGATCATGGATACGAAGGCGAAGGGGACACCCATTTTCGCCAATTTAATGTTTTTCGCAATAGCTGCAAATTATTTTGTACATGATGTTGGTTGATGTTTGTGAGTGATTAATATTAACTAAGCTATATTAATTGTCTTTTATATGGTATCTTGTGGAGAGTTATATCAGAACCACATGTCTTTAAGATACCTGTTCATGCCAAGATAACTGTGAAAGTAATTCTGTATATTTTTCAAGCATTTATTTTGTAGGGATTCTTTTTTGATTGGTTGGAAGACATCCGTTAGAGAACCATTGGTAAAACAAGCTGGGAGCACTGGACAGCAGTTTCCGCCATCCTAGTTTGGGACTCTTCAGTGGAATGCACCCACCACCAAGGTTCAAACTCACGACCTTCTGATTACAAGGAGAGCTGGCTCGGAGACCATTAAGCCACTCACTCGGACTTGACCCAATGGTGAGCCAGTCCATGAATTCTGACTTCCGCTGTATGTCGGTGGCACAGTGGCTAGGAGTCTCGCCGACCATGCAAATGGTCAGGGGTTCGATCCCCTGCCGACGCCCAACTCATATCTCTGGTCGGCCTGCAAAATTTGGGTTACCGATATCCATGCTGAAAATTCCATACTTGTACCAAAAATACAGCGTGGAATCAAGCTGTAATCAAAAATAATAATAATAAAAAAATAATTCACTCACCACGTAGCGTGACCAAGTCGGAATGTCTTCTTCAATGAGTTACTGCCTCACCTTCAACCTGCTATATCCTATTGGTCACAGCTTCTCACTAGAATCCCAGGTAATTACCTGACTGAATAGGGCCAGTTGTTATTAAGCATCAGATGGGCCGCTGGATTGAGTCCCATAGGCTTATCGGTTTACGAGCTGGTTAACCTTGTAAACAGGAGGTGATGAGTTCGAAACCTGGGAGGGGGTGCGCTCTGTGAAGAGTCCTAAACTAGGACGGAGGAAACAGCTGTTCAGAACTCCCTGCAGGTTTTCAAATGGTTCTGTAACTGATGTCAGTTCATAATGAAATCCTCTAACTAATTCTGTATTTTACCACAATTTTTCTATTTTAGGTAGCCGAATTGTATTTAATACATTAAAATGACAGCTGTATACACTGACTGTACACAATGAGTAAGTATATTTCAGCTGCTTTTTCCAGCATGACTTAAATATTTTGAGAAGTAGACAATCTTGTTTTGATTTATTTTATTCTTTCACGTTCCTAGTGGAATATAGGGCTTCAAGGCGTGATCTTTGAATCTTCGATAGTAGTGGTTTTATGTTTACACGGTGAGATTGATAGCCTCACGTCTCCAACCTTCCCTCCCTACCAGCCTTACTATCAGCGTTTTTTTAATAATAATAATTTCGCCTTTATTCCAGAAAAAGTACTTGTGGTACAGTGTGGAATTTTCAACACATATCTACAATAGTGCAACTAATTTTGTCAAACATTTAAAAGGAGTATTTCAAAAAATAAATATGAAGACAACAACAACAAAAGCAAAAAACACAAAAATAATAAAAATACGAAAAAATATCAAGAAGTAGAAAGGAAAATAAACAACATAATAAATAATATCTCAGTATTGGATAGTGGGAGCTATGATGTTTATACGTGGTGACAGTAAGGCTATACTCATACTAGAAGTTATGAAAACGATATTAAGAATTTTTATAGCCAAGATGATCAGTTAATTTGATTGAACAACACTAAACAATCATAAAATAACATTTCAGGGTTTTTATTGTCAGGTCTAATGCGGTGTTTGTAGTGGTAGTGTGAGTAATCCTGCATAATATAACATTTTTAAGATGGTGATAATGGCGTTCCCAACCAAGATTGTCAATTAATATTTGCGAACAAAAGACAGCCACAAAACTAATGTTACATGATGGTTAATGACAGGACAATTTTGTAATACTCGTAGTGATAATATAGTCGGGACCAGTAGATACACAAAAGAAGGAACAGAATAAAGAATAAAAAAGTAAGCCAATGATAATAATTTTAGGTAGCTAAGTATGTTTAAGAAGGTTGTTCACTACAGAATACAAATAAGAGGGCATAAGGGGGAAATAAAAGAGCCTAAAATGATATTATTAACAACAAAGCAAGTCATAGGTTTCGCGCCTAACATTTTCTCTGTCACTTAGAACACGGGCCAAATATGGTATCGTTGAGTTCCTATACTTGGTTGTACGAGCATATATTGTTTTGTACTGATTTCTGGTTCCACCTGATGAGATGCAAGGAGAGAGTTGGGAATAGAGGGGGTGTTGGGGGTCGAAGAGTGTCGTTTTAGACCATTTTTCGCATGTATTCAGACGCTTATCTACTAATGAAGTGACGAGCTGACTGAGTTTTACGCCCCTAGTCCTACTAACTACCTTCAACATTCTTCTTAGGATGGTATAGTTCTTTTTCAGTAACTCAGGAAAGACTAACGGGGAGCAGTAAAGTAGAATAGGTAAGATACAAGAGTTGACAAATTGTGAAAGTAGAGATTGGGTGATTCTAGATAATCCAAGTTTCTTAATGTAGTAGGTTAGACGGAACACTTTCTTAGAAAACATTACGATATGAGATGTCCAAGTAAGGTCGGTGGCACATTGGTTAGGACTCTCGCCGACCATGCAAATGGTCAGAGGTTCGATCCCCTGCCGACGCACACCTGATATCTATGGTCGGCCTGAGAAACTTGGGCTAGCGATATCACATGCTGAAAATTCCATACCTGTACCAAAAAAATCACGGTGTGGAATGAAGCTGTAATCAAAAATAAAAACTTAAAAAAATAGAACTAAACCGAGGTATTTTGCATTAGACTTAGTTTCAATTTCAGTCCCCCCCCATGCTACAGGCTTCATGAGTACTTAGTAGTGTTTGTAGATCTCGCTTGTGGCTAAAAGAGAATTCAATTGTCAGGCATTTTAAGGGATTCAGAATGAGACCATTTAGTTTAGACCACTGACTGATGTCCGACAGGAAGCTATTTAATTTGAGAGAGGCTTAGAGAGGTTAAGGAGTTTTTCGGCTGTGGGGATCAAACTCCGGACCACATGAGTCGTGGTTGGCGAGAGTTCTAATGCTTAACCACTGACAATCTATGTAAGATGTAAGATATAAAACTATCGATACAGCATTTGTGAGTATATTCACATAATCATCATCTTCTGATACCAGGGAATTGCCAGTTACAGAAGGATTACACATTCTCATCTTTTCCCCCTCTAATATCAGTTTCCTTAAAAGTTATAATGAGAACAACAAAAACAAAATTTTTGAAAAATTGCAACTTACAGTCTCTTTTCCTGGACAACCTTCAAAGAATTCTGGATCAGATATAGGATCATTCAAATAAGACTGAAGTAGATTTTGTCTTAAACCTGTAGGTGGTTCATTTGTCATTTTTATACCATTTTGTAGAACAGTCACTGGAAACTAGAAATGAAAAGAATAAATTCACAACCTTGAACTACCACTACATAAGGTACTTTAACCCTTTAGAAATAATTGTCTACACTGTGATTCGTCAGTTCTAATACAACTTGCAATCCTAACCCTATATAACAGATAAAAATTGCTTGGAAAATCCCTCTTGAACGAAATAATCACAATTTTTACAGCTACTTCGATGTTCCAAGTAACGTCATAGTTTTTATCCATCATAATTCTGACTCCCGCATCTACTGACTTTTTTTGTTATTTGTCTTTGTCCTCGTTTAATCTGTAGTTTTGATGCTTCTCCATGTGGTTGTAAGGCACATTAATAGTGTGTTGTTTTACTTTCGGGGCTGTTTTCGAATCCCGCAAGGTCATTTCTAAACTTCGACTAATTGAGAGTATTTCCTGATGTGTGTGATTCTTGTGTGCAAAGATTCTGACCCCACCGTGTTTGGAATATCCTGCTCGATCCTGAGGTACTGCTTACAGTTTAATTTCGGTTAACTAATTTGGTTCTACAGTACTTGATTATGATATCAAGAGCATAATCTTTATGACTGTAAACTAAAAAGTGAAGAGTCATATAAATATTGATCCACCACACAGACAGTTTGTATGTCCTACATTGCATTACGTTAATAAGCCACATGGTTTTCAATAAATATTCTGTTTACATTACTGTAAATGATGTACCATGGACACAAAGGGTTCATTTAGCATTTACCAACTTGCTACTTACACCTATTCAGTATGCAACGTATTTACTCAGCCGCAGTACACTGCTTCCTACTTTACGTCTGTGGAACATTGCTGAAGGAAGGTGGGGGATATAAAAACACTAGTGATAATGGACTACGAGTGCCATTAAGGATTAACACTCAGTACTTTGGTGGGTGGTGACCAGCAGTGGAATCCAAGATACACATTTTGTCCTATTTTATTATTATTATTATTGTATCCTTTAGTTCCTAGAGGAACATAGGGCTTCAGCTGCGCACCTCCATTGCCTTCGGTTTTCTGACAACTTTTTCACCCTGCTCCAGGTCTGTCCACATGCTTTCATCTCCTCCTCGCATAACCTCCTCCAGATAATACATATAACTAACTAATTGGATTTGTGGAATTTTTAAACATAAACACATCTATAATTGTATATATTGTTGGATTTACATGTTCAAGTTGCTCCAAGTCAGTGAGTTTGTGGTTAAGATATCATTTTAGTTAACTGTGCTGAACTATATTGCATGTTGTCCTATTGTATAGTTGTCGTCGCTTTTTGCCCTTTTTTTCTGTGAGCTGTTTCCTTTGTTGATGTTGTTCTCATTGTTTGTCCGTTATTTTCTGATTTTGAGGGGAGCAACCCAAAAAGTTGCTTCTCTCTAAACTTTAACTTAATGTAATTATTCCTTTCTCAGGCGTGAGGCTAGCAACCCCACCCTGTAAACATAATTGCTACAGAACCTTCAGCAGAATGAACCTCTTTGTCCTATTTTGGAACCAGTAATTAACGGCCTTCCCACTGAGAACCAAACATAATGGCCGTCATTCCAAACGCTATCCTCTGAACCACCTGCAGGCACATCCAGATGACGAGTCGCCAACCGAACAAAATGTTTTTACTTTTATTTTTGATTACAGCTTGATTCCACACCGTAGTTTTGGTACAAGTATGAAATTTTCAGCATGTGATGTCGGTAGCCCAAATTTCTCAATCCAACCATAGATTTCAGGTGTACGTTGGCAGGGGATTGAACCCTAGACTCCTAGACTCCACTGCTGGTCACCATCCATCAGAGCACTTCATGTTAATCCTCAGGCATCACTAGGAACCGATATGCTAGCAGAGACCAAATATTTTGGTCCAGCCAATCGACAGGAAAATCGAAATTAACTTAAAATAAATAATATGGATACCTCTGTTTAATTCTCTGTGTAAGTGCGAGATGCTCATTAACGATGAGGTTGAGAGAAGGTTGTTAGGTAAGCTGGAGAAGTCAGTCAATGGGTTTGCGAAACTTCATCCTAAGTCGCCATTTCGACAAGATAGGAGAAGATCGGAATACTCCAGTGAAATATGACAGAAGAATTCAAACTCTGCAATATTAGGTGCGAATTATTATTAAACACCCTTTACTTTGATTAAAAAGGTATGAAAGTTGGATTGCTGGTCATACAAGAAAAACACCAATATCTGCACACTTATTTACGTTATCAGCACTATTCCACCGTCAGCCGTCCAAACTACACAATGAAAGCTACTGTTTTTAGCCTTACTTCTACCCATCCTAATACATTGATGCACGGTACGAATACTATGTACAGTCGTTATAGTCCCTTCAACTCGCTGGCTCGTCGCAGCTGACAAATTCAGCCACAGTGCTAAGGTAACGACTAACAGCAGCAATCCACGCTATTTACCGGAAGCATATGGGTTTCTCAGTTGTTGAAAAAACGTGTTCACCATTTACAAAATCAATTGCTGTTCTCATTGAAATATAATCTATCACTTATGGGAAGTACCCATAAATGACGACACAACATCTTCATGGTTTCTAAACCTAAAAGGTGGATAGCATAAATGAGCGGTGCAATTTATTTATTGCATAAACATACCTTTGGAGATGGATAACTTGTTAGCCATAAACGAAATGTTGCATTTGTATTTTCTACAGTCATATCTTCACAAATCTTTTCAAGCGCAGTCATCCAACTTACAGCCAAATGACAATTTTGCAGTAGAACCCATGATCCATCTTGTTTACCCTGTGTAATCATTTTAGCTGCTATAGGCCCTTGACCTTGACCTAAACTGATTGACTGAAAGCGTGCACCTCCAAAACCTTTGTCCGTGGCAAATTTCAACAATGCCATAGTTGGATCAGCACCAGGGGAAAGGATAAAAATTAACGGCGTGGTACAACTTGAATCTTGATATGATCTAGCTAGATCGAATGGTGGTGGCTCAACAAATTTTCTACCAAGTTTTTCTCTAACGTATTTCATAACACCAGGAACAACCTAGTTAAATGAAGAAGAAGAAGCACTCAGTTATATTAATGCAAAAAATATCATAAACCTTTGCCTATCTCACTAGGACAGGAAAATCACCAGGTGGATTTTGACATTCATAAAAACTAGAGAATCTATAAGTAGATTTGACTTGAATGCTACTTCGTTCTAAGGATCAAATGAAACCCTTATCACATCACATTCAACTTAAGTTGATAAACAAAAGAGGGTTCAAAATCCCTTAAGATTGTTTTTAACGTTCCTGTTAGCCCATTTCAGGAAAATGTAGTCGACTGAACAAACTCATACGTTCTCTCTTGCGGAATCATGCTTTTATCCACATCGAACAAAATAATAAGTAGCTTAATCCTGGAGAGACTGAAAGATGTACTAGATACAGAAATCCCGCCCAGAGTAAACTGAACTCAGGAAAAACAAATCATGTGCGGATTGAATGGCAACTCCATGTATTATCATTGAAAAGAGAATAGAATACCAGTCAAATCTCCACATCAACTTGATCGACTTTGAAAAGGCTGACTGACTGAAAAATGATTTGTATACTGCTTCAACACTATAGAAGGTGCCCCAAATCTTCATCAACTTCATTCAACAGATATATGACAATGCCAGATGTTAAGTAATCCACAGCAGAAAGTCCATGCAAAGCCTTTGAAGCCAAGATAGGAGTAAGACTAGGCTGTATAACATTACCGATCCATTGTGAAGAAATGCCTACGCTAAAACGGTTACACACAAAAGTTCATCAACAAGTATGGGAGACATCATGTTTAAAAAGTGAAAAGCAGCACAATAAAGAAAAAGCCTATCTTTCTGCAGATTGCATTAAAAGGTGATGATACTGCTAGTAGATTAAGATGCAGACTGAACGCTGCCCTGAAAACAACATATCCAGCCGCCAAGCGTGCATGTGTTTATCAGACAACTAGTTGTTTGAGACAATCAAAAGTGGACAAACACCCACCTCATATTACCTCCAACTGTGTCTACCAATTTACATGTAAGTGTCAAAGCATATACATTGGAAGAACCGAGAGAAAGGGTTAGTGTCCGCATTTCTGAACACATACCAAAGAACCACAAGCATTAAACAGTGCGATTGCGTGTCATCTATTGGACACTGGTCATATTGTAGACAACCTGAAATCGTTCAAAATAATCAACAAGCAAAAGAAACCTAGCTTGCTACGCTTTGCTGAAGCATTTTCTATCAAACGATACATTTGAAAAAAGTCACTTCTTTCAATGACATAGGCGGCTTCGTTTCAGCTAAGGGCGACGGCACGCATGAGGATGTCAAAGCTGGTTAGGATAAGAAAGGCGAAACAGATATTTATCACTCAGCAAAGAATGAAACTCTGATCTTCAGCACCACTGTTGAGCCAATCACTTTTTCTTTATGGCTGCACTGCCTGTCACGGAAGGCATTTCAAACAGAGTATTTCAGACTTTTATCAAAAGCTGATTTCGCTAACTATATATTGAAGACTTCACATAAGATCAGGTGGCTAGAAAAGACCAGCAACAGGGACTATGGGAGCGAACGAACCAACCAACCAACTAACCAGGAAGCAATTGTACAACAGATATGCATGAAGAAACAGAGGTGGATTGGCCGCCATACTCTGAGAAAACAAACCATCAAGTGAGTGACATCACACGTCAGACCATCGCTCAAGTGGAAACTGAATAGGAAGCGGTAAGTTGGTTGACAGTGAGAGGGTGACATGGAAGAGGAAGTCATGCGAAGAGGAGATGAAAGCTTGTGAACAGACGTAGAGCAAGGTGAAAACATTGGTGGAGAACCAAACACAATGGATGCGAGTGGCTGAAGCCCTATGTTCCTCTTGGAACTAAAGGAAACAATAATAAATAATAGATGGCCGGCGAGAAAGAATTGGCAAAAAGAAACTCTGAGAACGAATCAATCAAGAACCCATCGCTCAACATACATTTTGAAGAAAGTAGAGATGGATTGGACACACACACACACACTGAGGAGACCGGTGAATAACATCTCACACCAGGCATAGCCTCGAGTGGAATCCAAATGGAAAATGATGAGTTGGGTGTATGTCCAAAGATGACATGGGGAACACCGTGTGAGGAGGAGATGAGAGACTATGTGCAATCGTGGCGCCGACTAACACTACAGAAAACAGGAGACGAAGTAGAGATGTGTTAGTGAAACTCATTGTTCCACTCAGGACCCAAAGGAGTAATAACAATATGTTAATTCAATGCCTCAAGCTGGCTAAAATTTCAAACCTTAAAACAAAGCTATAACAACTGAGGTTTCATTTGATTTGTCTACTTGTTAATGAAAACAATACTCAGGTGTTGGTTTGTAGGGAACCATTGGAAAACCAGCTGGGAGTACTGGACAGCTGTGTCCTCTCGCCTAGTTTGAAACTCTTCATCAGTGCGCACCCACCAGGATTAGAACACAGGACCATTAAGTCACTGGGACCCAATCCAATGGTCCTTGAATTCTAATTTCTGCCAATTCACGACGTAGTGCAACCCCTAGCCAATGTCTTCGGCGAGTATTTGTCCTCACACCCGACCTGCTACACCCTACTGGTCACGACTTCTCACTCGAACCCCAAGTAACTACCCACATGAAATAGGGTAAGTCGCTAGAGAGCATCTCATTGATATTCAAGTAATGGTTTGTAGGGATTTGAGGTTCGAATCCCGGTAGGTGTGTATTGCTGAAGGGTCCTAAACTAGGCTGACGAAACATCTGTTCAGTACTCCCTGCAGGTTTTCCAATTGTTCTCTAACTAATGTCAGGTCATGATGAAATCCTGAAAACAATACTATTTGAAGTAAGATACATGGGAAATATCACTTTGGAGTTTTGGAGTTTCCTGTCAGTCAGCAACATCTTAAAACAACTTTAATACAACATTTTAAAGAAATAAGCATTTATACATACATGTCAATCAGTTTGACACAAAGTTATCCTTGCTGAGGCAAAAAGATAACCATAACATCACTTATAAAGTCAAACCGTTAACACTATCAGTAGTCAATCACAACTTCCTATTTCATATGTTCATATATTCTTTTAAAGCAGATAAACTCCACCTTGAGATCAGTCCATCTTATGTAAACGTTATGAAAACAATTTTAGCTAAACTTGACATTCAAATTTAAATCAGAGATAGTAAACAGCTGATCAGAGGTTTTGAAATAAAAAGATCCAATGTTATACTGCTTCAGATGACTTTTTCACTGTTCCCATATATATTTAGTTTAAATAACAAAATAATTTTCACAAGTATTGGTTTTTTGTAGGGGGATGTTTTTTTGATTGGTTGGAGGATTTTTGATCATCAGCTGACATCAGTTAGAGAATCATTGGAAAACCTGTAGGGAGTGCTCAGAGCTGTTTCCCCAGGACCCACGACCATCTGGTTATAAGGCGAGCTAGCTCGTAGACCATTAAACCATTGCGACCCTATCCAATGGCCAAACAGCCCTTGAACTCTAGTCGCTGCCAATTCAAGGATAAATTGATTCAAATGTCTATATAATCTAGGCAACGATGAATGTATAGGCATAGGAGAAAGACAACTTTCATCATTTCTTGATGTCCTGCTAACAAGAGAGCATGATGACAGTATTAAGAGATGTATTTTACCGAAAAAGTCATGGGTTGTCTAATACACCCATTTCAAGCCGTTTTTCTTTTTCTTTGTATCACAGAACGATTTCAACACAATCGAATAAATAGTCTCCTTTAACAAACAGTATACAGGTTGTGGATATTAAGTTTCAGCTTCAAGAGCGAAGCGATAAAAATACCTGGAAGGTGACAGGATTTCATCATGAGCTGACATAGGTTGGAGAAACATTGGAAAACCTGCAGGGAGTACTAAACAGCCGTTTCCTACATCCTAGTTTGGGACTCTTCTGCCCTATACACCCACCGCCAGTGTTCGAACCCAGGACCTGCTGGTTACAAGGCGAGCTCGTAGACGTTTAAGTCACTAGGACCCGATCCGATGGTCTGTGAACACCAACTTTTGTTATATCATTATATAGCACGACCACTAGCTAATGTCTTCGGCGAGTATTTGATTGATCGGTTAAAGGATTTCATCAATGACATGCTCACTAGCGACTTGCCCTATGCAGATAGAGATATTTATCTGTGTTCTAGTGGGAAGTTGTGACCAGTGAGATACATCAATTTGATGGGAGGACAAGTAGTAGCCAAAGAAATTGACTAGTGGTCGCGCTATATAGCGAATTGGCAGAGATAAATTAGAATTCATGGGCTAGCTGGCCATTGGATCGATTCCCAGAGAGTGGCTTAAGGGTCTACGAGCTGGCTTGCCTTGTAACCAGAAGGTCGTGGGTTTGAACCTCTGTGGTGGGTGCGTACTGCTGTAGAGTCCCAAATGAGTATGTAGGAAACAGTTGTCCAGTACTCCCTGGAGGTTTTCCATTGTACCTCTAACCGATGTCAGTTCATGATGAAACGTTGTAATCAATCAATCAAATCCGTCCAGTTGAATACCTATAAGGTCATTTACTTGTTTATCGTTAATTCTGCTAGCATTTGATTGATTCACCCTTGACTGCTGGGTGTTTTTTTATTTCTTGCAGACAACTCGTATAAAAAAAATTCTCAAATTAGCATTTAAAAATGACGGATAATCAAAGAAAAAAACCCAGAATCAACCAAAACTAAAACTAACCTTATCTGGACGTATACAACGTAAAATAATCAAAGTTTTGAATATATCTAATTTATCCCATGGTTCAGGAAGTTGAGCTTCTTGTGGTTCCTTACTGTCGTAATACTGTTTCCATTCAGCTAAATGTGTTGTAAAATGTTCACGAAATGTTGCAAATGCTTTCAGGGATGACATACGACATATTTCATCCCAAGATTTATCGGACAGCCAACCGGCGGCTGGATTCGCCAGTTTATTCTCTAATCCAACACCACCAGTTAAGAAGAACAGAAATTCATCCATTTCTAATTCTCCACGAGATCTAAATGGATTTGTATGTTGTTGTGTTTTTTTTTGTTGATGTAAAGAAAGACAATTTATTTGACATTTAAGTTAGACCCGCAGAAAATAGACGATTTATTCAAGATTATGAGTTCACTGCTACTAAAAATGAGGGGTTTAACCGTAATCTAAAGTCATTCGACTAAATATTGACCTCTGAAGTGCTCACGATCTATATCGTAGATTCTGCGCTAAGATTTAAAGTGTTTTCAATATCTTCAGAGCCTGTCTCAGTTGTTATGAAGTCATTGAATAAATAATCCTATATATATATTCAACAAATAATGCTTAGAATCTCGGTGATATACTTTGAAGTAGAAATTAAATTTCTTTTCACAAGGCTTTGTGTAACTGTTCTTCCGCTAATCATACTCCCTCTCTTGCTAGTGACGCTTTAATCCTATTTATATTTCTTTATCCTTCTACATTATGTATGCTTTATTACAATCTAGGTGCGTCGGTGGCGCAGCAGTAGAATGCTCGCCAACCCCGATTCACGTGCTCCGTGGTTCGATCCCCATGGATTGCCAACAAGGCAGTCCTTTACCTTGCTAAACCAGTAATAAGACTGGCAAAGAATGAAGATTTGGGGGGAGGGTGGCACGAGATTAGCAAACCCATCCCGAGAAAAATTAAACTTCACTTCTACCGTAACTTTTGAGCCTCTTTCTCCAAGCCCTATTTTCCACTGAAAATGTATAAGAATACGAAAGGAAAATTACGATCTATCCATTTAGGGAATGAAAAAAGGTATTTTACTAGTTCACTAGTTAGCTAGCTAGTCGGTCCTCAAGTCGGCAAAAGAGGAAAGGTTGGGCTTTGAGCTAGCAACTTTACCTCGTATATATATATATATATATATATTGATCTTCCCCCCCCCCCCAGAAATGTAGTTGTACGCTAATAGGATGAAATACCTTTGAAACATGAGTTCAAATAATCAGACCCTTAAATAAATTGCACGCTTATAAAATGAGCAATCTGTGATAATAAAGTTTTTTTGTATAGTTGTTTGAATTTTTATTAATCATTAATTTTATAACAATGAAGACCACTAAACCAAATAGCAGAGGACCGAGCACCCCAACCAGGAAGTCTACACCTTCCTACGTGCCTGGCTTAAAATAACTGCTGTGGCTTTCACTGACTGGTGCCATGTTTTGGTTTGACCACCGCTGGCTCTTTTCCAGCCTTATCCTATATCAGCTAACATTGCCCACAGTCGAGGAAGGCGATGACTAGGTATACTTAACACACATCCTAACCGTCCCACTCAATGTAGTAAAGTATAATTATATTTCAATAATTTACACACAATGATAAGTTTTGTTATTGGTAATATTTCGAGCAAAATTACTGCCCGTGTTCACACCACTGTTGGAATTGTTTTATTCCAATGTAAATTCATTGCCTCGTGGACTGATTTCCCCTCCTTGCCTAGCAATCGACCGATGCCTAACCTCAATATTGCTCACCTTATCATACCACTTCACACGGGAAATAGAACGCAGGCACCTATGATCAAAGACAGCTAGCCAGTCTTTCCATGTCTTCCACTCTCAATGGCCAGGTCTCACAACCAGCCATTATGGAGGACGGAGAGGACTGATGAGCAGTACACCCGCCCTTTGGTCGATAGTCGAACATCTCGTCTACGCAAGAGTCGGCGTAAATTGGCAAATGCGAAACGAGCCCCTGTATTGGTGCTGAGATTTCGTCAGAGATCAACCCGTTGGCACTGGCTGATGGTACTTCCCAAATAAGTGAAGCGGTTAACGTGCTCTACCACTTCATTTCTTATTTTTAAACTAGGCGTCGATGTAGTCCAATCCTGTAACATCATCTTACATTTGGCAGGAGTGAATCGCATGCCAAACATTCGTAGATTGCAGCTCAAGGTGTACGCATTGGTGGCATAGCGACAGAATGCTCGCCGACCACACATGTGGTCCAGGGTTCAATTTCCAGCCGAAAAGACACTCATTTACCTTGCTAGGTCAGTGATAAGACTGGTAAAGAGGGAAGGATAGCCATGAGGCTAGAAGCTCTATTTTCACTGAGAACGTAAAGGATTAGTAAGTATGTATATGATCTGCTCGATTAGCTGACAACATGAACTTTTGTGAACTGTGTTTTTAGGACACACTTTATATCTGACAGTTTACTGTACAAACCCTGAAATGAAACATTATGAGATTTTAACTTGAGGCCAGCTGATTGAAATTCACTCGCCTGAGTCAGTGAACCAACTACACATACGCATCCACTTATTTGATGTTGTTGGCTCCTACTAAATATGAAACATGCGCGTTACAAATAGTTCAGTATGTAAAACAAATAACAACAACAACAACAAAAAATTAACAAAATTAGTAAATTTTCAAACTAGGCAGTCTGTAACATTGAAATGACAGAAAAATCAACAAGTGAAGCATTCAACTGACGAGTGCCAACCAGCGCGAAACCTAGGTTACCTAAGGCTTCTGCCGATTGTCCCTAACAATCCTGAGTGTACCTTGATGGCGAACCACCTGGAATGTGGCCACATTGCAGACCTGACTGATAGATTTCAGTCTCGAGGAAACAAAGGACTCAACACATGATACTAGTTAGCGTCTAATCAAAACGCCCAACAATCTGAAGCGATAAAACTTGACTTAATGGAATTAAGGCGTAATTCTAGGTTGGTAAGTAAGTCAGTCGGTAGTTCAGCTGTAAAAAGTTCGCGAACAACGCCTCACGTGGTTTGACGTTCGACCCCAGCCCGACGCATTTGTAAACTTAGCTATGCTGATAGTACGGTTGGTAAGGATGGAAGGTTGGGTATGAGGCTAGCAACCACTGAAGATCCACAGCCGAGGCCTGAAGCCCTACTTTCCACTCGGAACATATATTGATAGTGATATTGGAATCAATCTCTATAAAGTGATGAAGGCAGAAAACAATTGCGTAAATGATGCTCCAAAATGTATGCGCGAAAACGTGTCACTCTTTCTAGTCTCTTTGCCTTCAAGCCGTGAAATATCCAGAAAGAAGACTTAACCAAGTTTCATTTGACTTATCACTTCAGACAGTGTACTTATTTAGGATGAACTAACGGTATTTACTACACTTTTTCGTCAGTAAATGGATCCGTTGGCAAAGTTAGAGAAATATCCCTTTGATGATATTAGGTAGTTGAACCTAGGTTTCGTGCTAGTTGGCACTCTCCAGCGTATCAGAAAGACCATGAGTTCTTCAAGGCAGTTGCAGATTCGCCTTGCTGACTGACTGGTGAGTGCCAACTGGCACAAAACCTAAGTCAGGCAAGGCTTCCTGTGATCCATCGCCTCCAACCATTTAACATCATCGAATCAATGTGGTGGATCTTGATGGCTAGCTATCTAGACAAGGTGGCCACATTTCAAACTTGACTGATAGAATTTAGTCTACATCGAAGAAAGGACTAGACACTCTACACTATTTTCTGACTTCTGTCCAATCAAAATATCCATCTCTTCAAATTATTAGAGTGCGAAATTTAAAGTCATTATAGTTGAAACGGAACAGAATCGGAAAAGCAGACTGTGAAGGACAAGAGACTGTTTAAATAAAACACTGTAGACTTGTAAAATATGGAGAGAAACATCGTGAGATCAACTTGCTTGAAGATTATGTTTTCAACCTTCATGAAAAAAAAACCAACAAACATTAAAATTAACTAACAATGAACACTTTCAAAAACAATCTTATCAACGTCGAATAACACACAACTTCAACTCAGCTGCATTATTAGCTTACAATAATAATTTACTACATAACAGCAATGAGAATAATAATTTGTGCTTTTCAAACAGTGATCTACACACATTTACATATAAGCTATATGTAAAGTGATCAATCAGATAACGAATACGTTTCTCCATAATTTTTGATCGGTTACTATGGTTACACAGATAAAAACAAAGAACAAAAGATAAGTTTAGGAGCAGAAAACTGATTAAACAAAGTCATTAAACGTACACATCACTTTTTATCTACAGATGGTGTACGACAGTGTTGTAAAGTGTTTTTTTGACAGACTCCTCAGAGTTAACATGATCTTCTTAACACATTCGCCCCCAAGATCATAATCACTCTAGGAACCAAAGTTTACCTCATATAGTCAGTCGGTAGCGTGAATAGCGCCAAATACAAAATACACAAATATCTTTACCAATATTTAACAACTTACTTGACAATATTTATACTCATACCGAATGAAAATAAAACTTTATGCCTTTCAAACAATGAACGACAAACATTTGTATAAAGATTATATTCAAAATGATCTTTTAGATAACGTAAACGTCTTTCCAAAATTTTTGATTTATTGCTGTCGAATTTTCGATTGTTGGTGTTGGTGGTGTTCGTGTTCGTGTTCGAGTTAAATCCGAGGGATGGATGAAAAGGCAAGATAAAAAGAGGTTGAATTTTTATTTTTATTTTTTTGTGCTACTGTTGATGTTTCGTTTTGTTTTAAGATAAATAATTAGGGTAAATAAATGGGGGTAAACAATCACGATAACAATTGTAACACAGAACTTAGTAAAAAAAAAATAAACAAAACATAACAAATAAATCGTAAACATGATTAGTTTCATCACGTGATATATCTATTTATATATTTATAGAGGTGATGAACGAAGCTCGGGGTGGAGGAATCAGGACACTAATCAACAGTGAATGTATAAACAAGAAAAGATTTTTGCTTTTAATAACTGCTGATTAGATTTGATAGCTAATTGCACTGAACTGAACCGTCAATATAAACATCAATGTGTAGTAATCAACACTCTCGGAGAAAATAATTTATCTGAATAATTGAATCAAGCAATTCAGTCTTAGCGTATATCATAACTGTACACATATCGATAATTACACTTAAAAACAAACTATTCGAAAATGAAATCGTTTAATAAAGTAAACACTTTGATCTGCATATCCAATAAATTTAATTGAATTTTAGATTTTCCCGTCGACTAATTGGACCAAGGTGCTCCGTCTCAGATTGACATGTCGACTTCTTGTGCATGTCGACGATGTCTTGGTATGTAATTAAAAGTTAATTAGAACACTGACTATAACATTATCACTCACTGCGGAATGCAGGTACATCCAGCTAGTTGACGAGTCCCAAATAGGACTAAATGCGCATACTGGTGGATTCCACTGCTAGTCACCATCCACCAATTAACTTTTAATTACATGTCGGAGTATCTGGAAAAGAAGCCGACATGTCAACCTGAGACCAAGCACTTCGGTCCAGTTAATCGACGGGAAAATCTAAAATTCAACTGAATAATTAATATGACCCGTTGAACAAGAAGTAGTGGCCCAAGTGGTCTAGTGGATAACGCTTTGTCGTTTGAAAATATGGACATTGGGATCGAACTTCGGTGGGAACATCTTCAGTCACCATTGAAGAAAGCAGGTACATCCAGTGGCTGACGAGTCCTAAAAAGGACGAAATGCGCGATATCCTGAATTCCACTGCTAGTCACCATCGGCCAGTTGTACTCAGTTAATGTTGATAAATGTTGTAAGTGTTTAATCATCTACAATTCTCAATCAACAGAACCAAAAAGCGCTCCCAATGCGTTTTGCAATTGAAAGGTTTAATGGTCTAAACAATGATGAAGATAAATTGAAACAGTAATGTCATAGGCAATGTAAAATGAGATGATTGAATGACCTGAACCTAGGTCTGTCTGTCTGTCTGTCTATCTGTAGACTTGAAGAAATCAATGTCCTATTAGTGATTCAATCTTGAGTCATTCAGTGTTAAAGTGGGAAAACTCTGTGACACAAAATTATAAAGGCTTGCAGGTACACCTTGATGATGTAAAACATCCGGACGATTGATTGTGTCAAATATTTAATATCCAATTAAACTGGACCATGGTAAGGAGAACCATTTCAGCATTCAGTACATTTGATAACCGAATTTGGATTATTAACTGTAACTGAAAACTTAAGGGATTAATACGCAAAGCATTTGATGCCTTAATTCAGTAAATGACCGAATGTACTGTATAACAACAACATTTCAATGGTCAGATAAACAACCAACATTAATCACCATCAACAGGAGAGATTTAACAGAGGTTACCTGCTTCACTTATCCAGCCAGGAAGCATCGTTTCAACTACAAGCCAGCGGAACGGATGAAGATTTCAAGCCCAGTCAGAATCAGAAAATCAAGATACACCTTTATCTACCTGAAACCAGTTGGAAATCTTCTGCACTCAGCATAAGGAACAAGATTCGGATTTTAAATACAAATGTCAAATGGGTTATTTCTTCTATACGGGTCAGAAACTTGAAGTGCCTATCAGGAAAAGGATTTCCAACAGACTTTTATCAACAGCTGCCACGTTCTCTGGCTACATACTGAAGATCAGATGGTCATCTGGTGATGAACAAACCAACAAGCAAGAGCCGATAGCTCAACGAATATGTAGTAGAAAATGGAGATGAACCGGGCATACATTAAGGATACCGTCGAATGACATCGCGCGCCAGTGAAATCAATCAAGTTAAATCTAAATGGGAAGTGACGAGTAGGTCGTCAGTATGAAGGTGACATGGAGAAGATCGTGTGAAGACGACATGAGAGATTATGGTTAATCGTGAACCCAGATGAAAAGGACGGCAGAAAACAGAACAAAGTAGGGATTTGCTATGGAAATCCTATGTTCCACTCGGAACCCAAAGGAATAATAATATAATAGTAATAATAATTAGTTCAAGTAAAATCATGGAAACAAGAGACTAGCAAAGTTGCGCCATACAAAAGCGACGAGAGATTAAAGTCGATGATTATGTAATCAAATGAAGAAGAGAATAAAGAGTTTCTGTCAACAGGACAAAGGAGGATTGATGACTGCTTCTTTCTGAACAAATTAATCGCGTTTCAGGCGTCTGATTGCGATTACCTCGAAAAAGTTGAGGGGAATTCAGCTATTTTTTCCACTGACAATTTTGGGGAATTTGGTGATGTCCACCTCGCGACCAGTGCTAGTGAGATGTCTCGCAATTGTACTATTGTAAATATTCGTTCCCTTGAGACGTAGACTTTTTGGTGCATGTTCAGAAAATCTTAAGTGTGCCCTGGTTTCTCTGCCGTTTCTATAAGTGCTACCATGGGAAAATGTAAATTTTTATATACACTTAAGTTAACGTGAGAAGAGCATCTGTTGACTTTCGACTGCACCCAAAGAGAAAGTTGTCCGATAGATGGGAACCAACTTAGGTGCAGGAAAGGCTCTGGCTATTGACGTAGTCAATCTTCTGTTGACAACTGTTGTAATATTTTCATTTTTAAAATCGAGTTGAATGAAGACAAAATTTTTCCGAATAAGGTTTGTTTGATGTTTCAGCCTTCACATCTTGCGTACTTGATAATGAATCTCTGAGGATAACCGTTGTTTTTCAACAGCTTTTCGAGAATACACATTCTTCCTCTAATTTGTCTGTAGAGCATAATCTCCTGCCTCTATGGAAAATAGTTTTGACCAGTACTCCTTCACAGCTATTTAGACAAAAATTATTAAAATATGGGTATTGTCTGTGTAAAGATATTGAAGCAACAGAATGAATTATAAGTAAAAACGACATAACGCAGAGCAGCTTTATCTCTATAGCCAAGAGGAAAGCGACCTTTCGTGTTTCAGTCACTTTAAGTTTTATAAAGATTTAATTCAATGCTTATTACTTACCTGTCATGAATAGAATTCACATAGAGATTAACAAACCATGCTAAGGAATACTGATACATCGGGTCAATATTGGGTAAATCCGTTAACGAGAAGAATAGTATAGCTGAGTGTTTAGCGATGGGGGAATAGTCCATTCTTGCAGCGTCAATTTTTATTTGTGTTTCTTCAGCAACCTTTTTTCAATTAATGAAAGAAAAAAATATATCATAGGACATAAAACCACGATGCATATTATATATATAATATATATATATATGAACCTATGCCTTTAGACGTTTAACTCCTGCATATAACGGAATCTCAGAGGTCTTCTCTTGGACTTTGAAAGGGACTGAATGAGGAATAATCAAAGAATTTTGCACAAAAGTGCATCAGTTTATGTTACCGAGATTCGTAAAGTCTCGTAAATCAGTGGGGCGCAGAAAACAATCATACAACAATATACAAACATGAACGAGGTGGAAAAATGTTTCAATAAAAGATCTGTGAAGCTTTCCAAAACTTGGAAAATGACAAAAAAGGAATACATAAGGGTCACTTTGAACTACTTCAAATATATATTACCACGAATCTGCAAACAGTGATTCTTGATATCTCTAAGACTCAATACAAATAGTCCCCAACTCCCTTTATTATTCTAAAAGTCAGCGACCTCATAAATTTGACCACCTGAAGCAGGTAGTTTGGTATAAGTGGCGTCTGTTTTCCAAAGGAATGGATATCCACGGAACTTCATCAAAAGACATATACCCCCGAGCTAACCTATCAGACCAAAAGACCCCAAGGAAAGCACAAAGAAAATCGCCCTACCTCTTAGACCTATAAGAAATGACCAACGAAATCACTTTACTCAGTCAGCTCTGTGTCGACCAAAAGACTAAATAACGAAAGAAGATAAAACCAAAACTATTCACAAAATAAATTGTAACAACTGCGAAAAAAATACTACATTGGCCAAAGTGGACGCTCCTACGTCTTTGTACCCGTGACATAAACTAGCCGTCAAAAAATATGATATCCACTCCCTCATATCGCCTCACTGCATACAGGCAACCACGGATATCAATTCGACTGGGACAACCACCTTTTAAATATCACACAGAGGAAACACTAAGAATGCTAGAGAATTTTTAGGAGCCTGGTATTCCGGTGAATCGTCAATCAATAGACACATCGAAATAGATAAGATTTACCAATCGATAATAAGGAAATCTTACACACAAAGGGTTAATGTTCAACTCAAGGAAACAATCAATTCCAATAAAAGTAGCTTAGAAGGTGTGAAATCACACAAAGGCAAGCAGTCACGTTGAAGATCACCACTCACCAAGAGAGATGACTAATAAACTCGTGGAGAAATCGAAAAGCTCACTTCAACAAATTTAAGTATGCGTTGAATATTTTGCCTAGTGGGGTAATGAACTCCAGATCAGAGAACCTAACTACATAAAAAAAGTCATCCACCTGAGCTACAAATCTTCTCAATTATATCTAAAGTTCGAATCCCAAGCCAACAGAAATACTACACATAGGGACGTTAATTAACAACATGCCATAACGACAATGGCTGCTAAAAGATAAAATTACATCATCCATGGAAAATTTAAATACGTCCACTTTACACTAAAGCCTGTACTGAAGAGGGATGTTGTTTAGAAGGATGATGAAAGCTCCACAGTTAAATCAACCAACAGATCAGAGAACACAACTAATTCAATATCATCTACCTGAGCTACAAATGTTCTCCATCATAACCTTAGTGAGTTTAAGAGGCTTAAAAACGCTTCTTTTATGAGCTTTAACACTAAATTTACTAAACGTAGACCCCTAAAAGAAGAATACAAGACAACTCTTGTAACTTACCTTCTGTTTTCTCAAAATATCATCTGAAATTAATTTCGATGAATCCAGTATTTCAATGGCAGCTTCATTTTCTAAAATATTTCCCTCAGATTCTGATAGCGTAGCTAATATTCTATCTTCAGTCTCCTTTAGCATACGTCTATTATTTGCAGTTGTTATAATCAATTCTTGACGTGCTTCTTCTAATTCTGGTCTAAAAATAGATACAAAATTGCTATTTAACTCTTGTGATGTTGCTTGTTGCTGAAATTATCCACAAGGTGTAAAATACTCGCGCTTTTTACTTACTAACTTACACAATAAGACGAACAGATTTATAAACTCTCACCATTTTCAAGTTGCTGAAACTTTGAATAGGTGCGAAAAAAAGCCACTAATTTAAAACGACGTCCTGATTTAAGACTAATTGCTATTACATACTTTCAGTTACATTCAATAATTTACAAGCGATTTGAAAATTCTCTTTAAAGAATAAGATCAATAAATATAATTTTCCCATCAGACTACAACAAAACGAAAACAAATGGTGTCAATGATTTGCACATTTTCAAGGCATTTTGATGAATTGTGAATGTTTATTGTAGTCTTCATGATATTTTAAGGTGTATATAAAGGCGTCTTAAGTTGAACCAGACAATTTAAATCGAGAAGAGAATTAAGTGTAAAGATGTCTACATCCGCAAAAGTTTCCATTCTCAACAATATCTCTGTTGTCTCAACTATAACCACCCATAAAATCCCGCCAACCAATCAAGTGAAATTCCCTACAAAATTGATCTGATGCTTACTAGCGACTAAACCTATTCATGTGGGTAGTTACCTGGATTTATAGTGGGAAGTCGTGACCAGTAGGATACAGCAGTTGAAGGTGAGGCAGTAACCCATTGAAGAAGACACTCACGCTATGTGGTGAGTGAACTGGTAGAGGTTAGAATTCATGGACTGACTGACCATTGAATCGAGTCCCAGTGAGTGGCTTCTTCCGTTTGAATCACTTGACATGTAGTATCATCACGTATCTGTTAAGTGAGTTTGATAAACGCCTAAAGCATCCTATAATTTTGAAGCAGTTTCCCAGTTATTTCGTGGTTGATATTGTCGAAGGCCTTTTAGAATTGGATGAAGTTCAGATCGAAATTTGACTGCGATTCCACGCTCTGTCCGTTGATGTTGCATAGAAGTGCAATTCGATCAGCACATGACCTGATTTTCTTGAAACCATCTTGTTCTGGTGAGAATAGTTTTCTGCATCCCGATACATCTTTTAGTCTCTCCAGGGTGACATGACTTAATATGCATTGCTTAGTGTGGACAGGAGCATGATTCCACGCCAGTTATTGCAAATCCCTGAGCTACCCTATTTTTGTAAGTTTGATTTAAAACAAAATTTTTATCTCTGAATAATTGTGAATACTAGCCGACTTAACCAACTTTGGATCCACATTCGCAAACTGCCCAAGAGATATCCAACCATGAAAACGCCAATCAACAGACAAAGGCTTAACTTAGCTATGAAATCTATGGATAGTTTAACCCTATTAAACAGAGAGATAAAAGCGTATTTGTATTTTTAAAGAAAAGGAAAACTTACTTCTCTTTAGCCACAACAATACCTAATAACTGATCTTCTAAACCCTCCAGTGTAATCATAAAATTCAAAAGTGATACTTTCACTGCAATCTCCGGCAAATAATGCGGATTTCTCAGTTTTGTTGTAATATACAAACGAAAATCTTTTGAATACTCAATAATATTTTCACCCAAACGAATCATTTCCACACCACCTTAGAGAAAAAAAAGAGAATCGGAAGTCGTTTAAAGATATAGAATTACTGTTTATCTTAAAAATACGCGCAACTATCATCACCTTCGATAATCTATCAATGAACTGAAATAAACTTATTAATGTTCTTATATTGTAAGCAAAGTAAGTAAGAATTCATATGATACTAGACAGGTGTCATCTTCACTGCTGAACTATGTATATACGACAAGGACCACTGGAGTTCAACTCGCTTTTAAAATATTACTTGACTCGTACGAGTGTATGCATATTAATTGAGAAAATCAACAGATATTCATAGATTTTTGATGTACATTATTATTATTATTATTATTATTATTATTATTATTATTATTATTATTAGCGTAATTGTTAGCAGAGAAGCAACATCTTCTGATTGGTTGTTTTACTTGCTGAAGGTTATGCACTACTCCATGTGACCGTTTCCTAGGAAGTTGAGCCATATATCTGCGAATCGTATCTGCACATGTTGAGTCTGCTATGATTGGTTGATTAGTCCCTCAAGGTTAGGCTTTGTTATCGTGTTTTCTTCGCATGACCCCGGCTCTGAACGCAAACATTGACGTAAATTGTTGTCTACAATTCTATCTTGCAAACAGCTCTCACCATATGAGTTAGCTGTTAGGAGTTAGGTTTCATATGTGATTATGTTTGCAGATAAGACCACAGCAACTGTCCTCAAGGTGTCTAATTGAAATCTGTCGCTGGTATAATATTAAATTTACTTCTTTTTGATTTATCTGATGGAAACAAAGAATAGTCTTTACGATAACGTCATTACCATGTTCAATAGTTAAAGACTGAACGTAATGTGATGTATGTTCGGGGAAGTGACAGACAAAGATTGTCAGTGGTAGTCAACATTGAATAGCTTGTTTGTTTAATTGAATTGGTCTCCATTTGTGGGTGACAAGAAGGCTGGCACTGCTTAATCGTGTACTGGCTGACAGAAGATTGGAGAAATACGACCAGAAGTATTGATGTATATTGTAATAACGTTTATATACAGCACTGATTAACCACTGTAAATATGTTTCGTTATCACTTGAAGAATCGAAAATTGTGTTGCCTAAACATCTTCTGTTGTTCCGCGTCAGTCAACGTGAATAGTCTTCTACGTATTAATGACAACAAAACACGTAATTCAGCGAAGAGTCTCTTTTCGCCGGCGAATTCATTTTCTTAGCTGTAAAACCGCAAATATATATGAGTTATTTTTTATGTGTATGGACATTAAATTTGTCAAACGAAAATACAATAGGTTATGGTTATTTTAACAAAACAGGTGAAGATTGGTAATTGGAGTTACGTAATACAAAATCAGTCAAGAAAAATAGGTGTTAATTAATTTAGGGTAGTAACAAAGGTGATGAGTTTGTGACAATAACAACGACCACAATCTACTACTGAAGACATTTAACTGTTGCCATCCAGCAATAAAATTCACCCTTAAAATGGAAAACGAATCAAAAATTCCATTTCTTGATGTGGAACTAACAAGAAGAACTGATGGGAGCCTAAGAAGAGTAAAACTCAACCATCAAACTATTCATATTATTACATAATTTCTTTTTTAACAACTGTTTGTGACAATTCATCACCTTTCTTACTACCCTACTAATTTCATTGACACCTAATTTTCTTGACTGATTTTGTGTTGCGTAACTCCAATTACCCCAATCTTCACCTGTTTAGTTAAAATAATCATAACCAATTGTGTTTTTGTTTGACAAACTCAATGTACACATACACACAAAGATATATATATTTACGATTGTACAGCTAAGAAAATGAATTCGCCGGCGAAAAGAGACTCTTCGCTGAACTTCATGCTTTGTTTTCTACATATTAGTTTTTATCTTTTGAAACCAGCTATAGCTTCAGGATTTCAGCTGTCTGGATATTTGACAAAGATTATTTGAGTGATTCAAATATAAGTTTCTTGTAGGTCTAGTTGATTTCAATTTAAGAAGCCTCAGACAAAAACCCACGAAAAATTGACGAGTACTGAACTTTCCGAGATGGGACGATTCTATGAAGGATCAAACCCAAAACTGGTTGCCTATCACAAAAAGTTATAAGTCATTCAGAGAAAGAAAGACGATGATATATTATGCATCATTTATACCACAATATAAAGTGAAAAAAGTTGTGTAGAAACTCTCAGATCCCTAAGCAGTTAATGGTTTTAATCCATAGAGCAGCCAATACTCAATTACATTTGATAAGTTATTGAGGATAAACCATATGATGGAAACGACTGTTGATTAGTGTCTTTCTTGTCTCTGTGCAGCTCATGTTCTCACACAGAAACAAATAAATAAATACTTTCTGACTTGTTTTATTTGGATGTTTGATTGGTATATATTAATTCAAAGCTCAGAAGTGACATCACCTCCTGTAAGATTGCAGATACACCTTATTGACGAGTGCTAACAAGTACGAAACCTAGGCCTAAGTCTTCCTGTCAACCAACCAACCAACCAACTATCTAACAGCAATTCAGAGTGCGCCATGATGGTGAGCTACCCAAACTTAACCGACCTGCTGTACCCTACTGATCACAGGTGTGAGGACAGATATTCGCAAATGACATTCGCTAGCGGTCGTGCTATAATCATGAATTCGCAGAAGTTGGAATTCATGGAACATAGAATCGGGTTCCAATGACTTAATGGTCTACAAGCTGGCCTTATAATCAGAAGGTCCTCGGTTCGAACCTCAGTGGGTGTGTACTGTTGATGAGTCCCCACACAGCTATCTAGTACTTCCAGGTTTTCCAGTGGTTCTCTAACTAATGTCAGCTCATGATGAAATCCTGCAGCCTATCGAATTAAATCTTTGCAAACCAACACTTGCAACTGTTCTGAATTATATCAGGAATTTTCCGCACCACTATGTAAAACGCACACAGGGGAATTACAAGCGAAAACTGCCGAAAAACAAACAAGAATATACATGCTCTATCACAAACCTGAACATTTGGACAAACGATTAAGTCACACTTTATGTGGTATAGCGATTCACACATAATTGTGTGTGGCCACAATAAGCACATAAACAAATGAGGGTGAGAGAATAGTTATTTGCATGATGGTCACCTATGCCTAAATGACTTGAAAAATACACTGTTATTTCTCACCCCTTAAATTTCATTTGCTTATTCTTCTCACAACACTGACTAAAACTCTTACCCTTTGAAACCTATACTTTGAAAGATATTCACAAGCGTGTCATCCAATTATTTTATCTTATTTCACCACACAATGTTATTTACAATGCATTTTATACGCATTCAAACAGTGATGTTAATTAAATGACCACTTTCCCATATTGTTTTTGTTTCGCACAGTAGAATTTCTCATATAATTTTATTGATATAAGAATAAAACTTGTGCACTGTGGTAGAAAATAATTCCATTATGGGTAAACTTTTGTTTTGATAAGTCTCACAGTGTTATACAGTAATGTTCACTGATGACGTCTCGAGCACAATTTATCGCTGCAAATAATCATATCAAGGCACTCACACAACTTTCTAACTTCATTGATATAGTTCCATTATTTTTCATCGCTTGATTTGATCGGTAGTCGTATTCTCTATATTTCCGGTATGAGTGATGAGTCATTCCTATTGAATGTGTTGGCTGTAGACTCGATGAACAAGGTTCCAGTAATCAGCCCCTCTCTCTCCACCCACATAGATTACTTTTTAGAATTTTAACCCTATCCCATCCAATTGTGTGGTTGTCTGTTGATGCGTGAGTGCGATTGCTGAGCTTTTTTCTAAATTACTTATCTTTTCAGGGTCAACCATTCTTGCCTTAGCTGAATTCTTATGTTCTGACAATCTGACTACCCCTGACCTACTAGTTTTACCTACATAGCTGAATTAAGTCACAGTCATTTCGGGGTACTTTGTAAATTATATTATTTTGTTTAATTCGGCCAACAGGGTCCTTTAACCTACAGAGCTTGTCCTATCTGAGTGAGTTTGTAGGTTTAAATGCCACTCTCATTTCTGCTCCATTGAGAATCCTATGTAGGTTATCAAATATCTCAGATGCTATGGCTCGCATGTACTAACTTTAAATTCCAAGGTGAAATATATAGACAAACTGAAGGGTGGCATTTAAACCTACAAACTCACTCAGATAGGACAAGCTCTGTAGGTTAAAGGACCCTGTTGGCCGAATTAAACAAAATAATATAATTTACAAAGTACCCCGAAATGACTGTGACTTAATTCAGCTATGTAGGTAAAACTAGTAGGTCAGGGGTAGTCAGATTGTCAGAACATAAGAATTCAGCTAAGGCAAGAATGGTTGACCCTGAAAAGATAAGTAATTTAGAAAAAAGCTCAGCAATCGCACTCACGCATCAACAGACAACCACACAATTGGATGGGATAGGGTTAAAATTCTAAAAAGTAATCTATGTGGGTGGAGAGAGAGGGGCTGATTACTGGAACCTTGTTCATCGAGTCTACAGCCAACACATTCAATAGGAATGACTCATCACTCATACCGGAAATATAGAGAATACGACTACCGATCAAATCAAGCGATGAAAAATAATGGAACTATATCAATGAAGTTAGAAAGTTGTGTGAGTGCCTTGATATGATTATTTGCAGCGATAAATTGTGCTCGAGACGTCATCAGTGAACATTACTGTATAACACTGTGAGACCTTATCAAAACAAATTTTGCCCATAACGGAATGATATAATTTTATTTTGTCGTATTTAGATATTGTCTCTTAACCTTAATGAACTTATGACTCTAGAGACTAAAAATGAACTAATCGAAAACAATAATTCATTTTCTGAAACAATTCAACATTTCAAACAATTAGTCCCTTTTATAAATTTGGATAGCGTTATTAGAAACGGAGATTATGTGAAAAGGTATGTGATGTATTTGCACTACACATTTCGAACAATCTGATCCCTCGCACATTTACTTGTCCGGGAATGTATGACTTGAGAGACAAAATTTACAAAAATCCATTTTCACCTTTTCATATGCTAATTTTAAATTTTTGAAAAGAAGATTACCTCCATGCACTATCAAACAGTTAGATGGACTTCTTAACCTGAAGTGTAAAGTAGCATCTGAAAAGGTGAAAGTGGATTTTTATAAATCTTATCTCTCAAGTAACACATTCCCGGACAAGTAAAGGTGTGCGGGATCAGATTGTTGTTCGAAATGTATAGCGCAAATACATCACATACCTTTTCAGATAATATCCGTCTTCTAATAATGATATCCACAGATCAATATCTCAAAAAAATGTCAGCTCATGATGAAATCCTCCAACTAATCAAAACAAAATCCCTACAAAACCAATACTTCAATATCAATGACATGCTCACTAGTGACTAGCCCTATTCAGGTGGGTAGTTACGTGGGGTTAAAGTGGGAAACCGTGACTAGTTGGGTACATCAGGTTGAAGGAGAGGCAGTAACTTATCGAAGAAGACATTCCGAAGTGGTCACGCTATGTGGTAAGTGAATTGACAAAAGTTAGAATTCATGGACTGGTTCACCATTGGGATCGGGTCCCAGTGAGTGGCCTGATTGTCTTCGAGCTAGCTCGCCTTGTAACGAGAAGGTCGTGGGTTCGAACCACAGTGAGTGCGTACTGGCGAAGGGTCCCTAACTAGGTTGACGAAACAGCTGCCCAGTACTTCCTGATGTGGTTTTCTAATAATTCTCCAAATGATGTCAGCTCATGATGAAATTCTCTAACTAATCAAAAGGAGTAGTTAGTAAACTACTAGCCGAATCCATAGCAAATCACTTTGTCAATATAACACAGGAGAGTCTAAACAAAACCGTCAAGGTCAATAGGTGTTTAGAAAAATAAAAATCTCCTTCTGTGTGCAAAATAAATTTATCACAGTATTTCATCTGACTTGGTAATTCTTATCTGATTGTATTAAAAAGATTAGTGGCAGTTATTACCTCTCATTCCATTAGGTCCCCTATATCATATATTTCTCAAGAACTGGTCTGTAGGGATTAGATTTATCTCAAGTTTGATCACGGACTGATAGCTGTTTCGTCCTGGTTAGGAACTCTTCATCAGCAAGCATCTACCCAAGCTCATAGACCACACAACCAACTGCTCCAACAATATGCATTAGTAAAAACCGATGAATATAGATAACATCGTTTAGAAAAGAAGAAATAAATAACAACTAAGTATTACTTTGTTTAAATGTTTGTTTCAATAGTAGAGGCTCTAAACTTGGATCTAAATCTTCACCAACATTTTCTAGTAGTATTGGAGTACCGAATTGGATGCCATTTTCTAAATTTCGAATGAAATCACTATCTGTTAGTTTGACAACAAGTATTCCAGATTCTTTCTCCATATTTTTTATCCATTTATTCGCCTGTCCTTGTGGATCAATCATTAATGGCCTTTAGGTTAGAGAAAAAAATTTAAAAAATACATTAGAAATCATGAATAACTCATAATAATTCTAAAGTTATATATATATATATATATATATATATATGCGTTATCATAAAATGTAAGAATAAACACAATAACTCTTAGTACTCAACTTTTCTGAAGTATTTTTCCTTATTCTCTTAAGTTCTCAATGCTGGAACAGAGGGTGACTTCAACCTAGCGGCTTGAAGTTTCGGTAGCAGTGGTGTTCATTTTTACGGGATGGGGTTGCCAGCCTCATGCTCCCCAAAAACCTCCATTCTTTACCAGTCTTATTACTGGCTTAGCAAGGTAAAGGAGTGCCTTGTCGTCCGGGGACGGAACCTCAAATTACATGAGTCGGGGTGGGCCAGTATTCTACCGCCGTGCCACCGACGCACACTTGTATTATAGTAGGTATTTTAGTTAGGAGTGAATTGTCCAATTAATTGTAGCACAAATAAACAACATGTGTCGGTGGCACAGTGGTTAGGAGGCCCGCCAACCATGCACATGTTAGAGTTATGTAGATGGCAAATTCCTGCACTGAGAACACAGGATATAGATAGATTTTTCGAACACATCAACTCAAAGATGAGGGCAATTCCATTCACTTATGAATTGAAAAGTCAGGAGAGGCAAATTCCAATGTTAGATTGTAACGTAAAAAGGAAAGAAGATGGGAAGTTAAACACACTAGTGTGTTTACAGAAAACCCACATATTCAAACAGATATTTGAACTTCCGATCATCCCATCCTATGTCAGTGAAAATAGGATTAGTGAAATGTTTCAGTGACAGTGCACAAAAACTAAGTAGTACCAAGGAAAATCTAAGACAGGAAGTACTAAACATAAAAGAAGCCTTGAAACTTTTTAATTACCCTGTTGAATTAGTCAGAAAGTATGTGGGGAAATGTAAAGATAAAACAAATAATGATAGTGATAGTGATCATAATAATAATAATGACGACATGTATGTCAAACATGCTCAAGACAACAGCAACAATAAGGAATTTAAATCATCAGTAGTCATCCCATACAAAGAACGAACCTCGGAAACCTTACACAGAATTCTGGACAAGACAGGAATAAAAGTGGCTGGCATTCAAACCTACAAACTCAATTGGAAACAAACTTTGTCGGTTGAAAGATCCTGTTGAGCCTTTAAAACAAAACAATTTAGTTTATCTATGCAATGACTGTCAGGTCAAATACATAGGTTAAAGTAGCAGAACAGGTCAGTCAGTCAGTAAGACTAGCCGAGCATAAAAGCCTAGCAAAACCTAGATTTGTTGACCCGAGTAAGATAAAAAATCTAGAGAATAGTTCAGCCATAGATAGCACTAAATGCATTTACACACAACACAGCCATACAATAGGATGGGTTGGGATAAGATGAAGGTTTTAAAACCTAATGTCACACCAGGGTGGAGGGAGACATCGATAACTGAAGCTTTGTTCATCGAATCAACTGCGAACATGTGTCATGGGAATGATTCAACACCAGTCCACCCAGATATCTGGAAAATTCTACTACCCCTACGACGACAAATAGGAGATAACAAAGAAGACTATAAGACTCAAGTTTCGAAATCGTGTGATTATTATTGATATGGTTATGAACAACAATAACTTGTGTTCATCCAGTTAATAATGCTGTTCCACTGTGTGACATCCAATAAACAAACTAGTATGGAATTACTTACTACCACATTGCCCAAGCTTTACACATATATTAGTAATTCCGTAGAATACTTCACATTGCCGAAGCCTTAGCGATCCGGATAGAAAACCCTGATTTATGGACACAGAAGAAACTTCTTCATTCCCTCCTTCTACCTTTGGTATAATTTCCCAAGTCCTACGACTTTGTTAATAATAACATTTTGTTTTATTTTTTTTAAAATTTTTGTCGGGCGTCTTAGTAATACCTTCTTCTTAACCAACCCTTTATTTACTCTTTCTACCAATTACGTAGAATTCGCAGAAAAGAGACTCTTTGCTGAACTACTGGTCTTTTGTCTATTTATCTTTGTACACGTGTCTCTATTAACACTCTATTTCATATTACGCAATCCTTATCAATACTTACACCCCACCCCCCCCCCGGTAGTTACAATTTTGTGTTATTCAACATATTTTAGAAACATTTTGATGGCGTAAACAGTAATCCTAACTAATTTTACTTTTTCTTTGTTTGGCAATCCTAATGTACACACACACACACACACACACATAATTATATATAAATGCGATTGTACAGCTAAGTGAATGAATTCACCGCTGAAAAGAGACTCTTAGCTGAACTTTATTGTTCTTTTATATTCATGTCTGGATGAGTATTTTCCGTGAATAACATGATTTGCTTTTATAAATATAATTAAAGGAAATACAACATATATACTTAAACATTATTTGCTACCTTTAATTACTGAAACATAATCAAAGAAAATAATCAAAGGAAATGGATAAAGCGAAGACAAAAGAGAATTACTAGCTGGCGTTGATAAATTCAAAAAAGAAATGGACACAGCGAAGAAAGTATTACCAGAGGAAATCATGCGAAAGCATAATTAATATTCAACAATCTGGGAGACTGTGCTTTCAACACTAGTAAATGGCTTAACATGACACACTGACATAGGGATGCACAAGTCATCGCATTTTACAAAAGCATAGAAAACGAAAACCAAGAGGAAGGCAAGGATCATAGTATTTAAAATAGGTTATGATGACAGATGAGTGCCGCCAACAGTTATATATCTCATCCAACAGTTATGCGACAATGCTGCATGCCAAGTAATCCCCCCAACGGAAAACTCACGGAATCCTTCGAAGAAGTGAAGACGAGAGTAAGACAAGCTGAGTGACTGCCTACTAACTCCGTTGATTTTCATGATTATGATAGACTAGATATTGCAACAGATGACTGGCAGCGAGGAGACAGGCATAAAATGAACCAGCACAAAAAATCGTGGAGGATATGGACTTCACTCACGATGATGATATATGTCTGATTTCCCACAAACTGAAAGATATGCAAGTGAAAAGCAACAAGTTCGCAGAAGAAGCATCAAACATAGGAATTCCTTCAGATGAACATAGAGAAAACAGAGATAGTGAAAATTAATGGCCAACAGCAACAACAACAGAAAACAATCAGAATAAATGGGGAAAATCTGAAAGAAGTAATCTGCTTTACATAGCCACCTACCTACCTACCTGCGAAGCATCATTTCAAATACAGGCGGACGGAATTGATGAGGATATCGAAGCGAGAATCGGGAAACCAAGGCAAGCTTTCATCACTCTCAAGTCTATATGCAGAGCGATAGCACTCAGCATAAAAATGAAAATAACATCTGGATCTTCAACTCCAACGTGAAGTCAGTGTTACTTACTATACGGATCAGAGACTTGACCAGTGCGTCACGAAGGTCATTTCGAACAAACTACAAACATTCATCAACAGCTATCTTTACTCAATACTAATCAAATCAAATGGCCGGCCAGTAAAGATCAGGAACAGGGAGGGATCTCTGGCAGTGAGCGAACCAACCGTGTAACAAATATGCAGGAAGAAACGGAGGTGCATTGGCCATACTCTGAGAAAACCACCAAGCGAGTGACATCACACGCCAGGTCATTGCTTCAGTGGAACCCGAATGGGAAGCGGCGAGTTGGTCGTCAGTGTTAGGGTGGAATAACATGGAGGAGGTGATGAGACGAGCAGAGGAAAAAATGTAGGGAGACGTGGATGCAGGTGAAAGTGTTGACAGAGAAACGAATGCAGTGGAGACAAGCTGCTGAAGCCCTATGTTCCTCTAAGAACTAAAGGAAACAATAATAATACTCCAAACTTAAAAATGACATAAAGTTCGTACCTATGCGCCATTCCAATTGATTTCCAATCCAAGTGTTGGTTTGTAGGGATTTGACTGGTTACAGGATTTTCATCATGAGCTGACATCAGTTAGAAACCATTGGAAAACCTGGGAGTACTGGACAACTGTTTCGTCCTAGTTGGGGACTCTTCATCAGTACGCACCCACCGGGATTCGAATCCAGGACCTTCTGGTTACAAGGCGAGCTCGTACACCATTAAGCCACTAGGACTCAATCATTTCACCGAATATTTTAAACCGATTGTTTTCACCATTTAAGAATCGGAGCACCTCACACTCTCTTACATGACTTAGTCGGAAACCAGACTGAAATATTCAACATCTTGTTCTCGTAACCACCTATACAGCAATTATCCTAAACTAATCTCATTGATGAATCGAGTCAACTCAGTCTTAATAATGCATCGCCTAGACATCATAATCAATGAAGGTGTACAACTTTATTCAAATGTCTACCATCTTCACCCAGAATTGTACATTTTAAACTGAAACTCGCACACTTTGTGATGCGTCATAATGACACACAAAAAGTCATTACAACAACCGATTCCCATCATGCAAGAATATAATATTTGCATATTACACCAATTTACTAAATATATTTCATATACTTAAAGCTACAGTATAATTTACCATTGATATTTCGGATTTCTTACAATATTGTGGTATACATTAAATTTAATAACTGTGTTTATACACCGATCAGTTGTTTCTCACGCTTTGGTTTTGATGGTAGTGGTATTTTCTATATCTACTTTATTAATGGTTTGGATATTTATAAATACTATACTGGTGCCGAATCATTGAGGGAGAGAGAGAGTGAGATGCTGCAATTTCACCCTATTATATTATATTATTGTTCCCTTGGTTTCCGAGTGGAACATAGGGCTTCATTAGTGCATCTCCAATCCGTCCTATTCTCTGCCGTCCACTTTATCTGGCCCAGAGATTGCCCAACACCTTTCATCTCTTCCTAACACTAACGGCCTTATGTCATCTTCGGACCAACGCTTAACTCGTCGTTTACTATTAGGGTTCCAATAGAGCGTTGGCTCAGGGCGCGATGTCACCCAATTGTCACCTTAGCGATTGGTTATTCCATCTCCATTTCGCCTTAGGGAGTTTCTTGTTTCTAATTCTTTCTGGTGTGGAACGTCTAATCTTCAATGTGGACCCAAGGATGGAGACAACTGTCCATAAAAAATCTGAAGTCTTACATAAAATGCAACTCTTGACGCTCCAGTTTTCTGACCCATACAGAAGCAATGACTGACTTTATACCCAGTGTGGAGTATTTCCAAACTGATTCCTGAGTGATGAAGGTCTGCCTTACCTTTCCAATTCTGGTTTTGACTTGATCATTCATAGAGTCGGCTTTAGTTGAAAGGATACTGCCTGGCCGGGTGAGTCAAGGAAGTGACCTTGTTCAAATTTCGTCCATTGACAATGACTGGTGATTTTTGTTGTTGGTTGATTGTCTTCATCAACTGCGTATTCACAATATTCACTTAAAGTACTGGCTTTTCTGCCAGCTTCTTCTGTTAACATGTTGGATTTAGCCATTAAGTCTTCGGATTTTTGTAACATTAGACATAAATCATCCGCGAGGTCTAGATCTTTTAGAGTCTTCTTATCGGTCCAATGTATTCCTGCCTTTTTTCGTTACACAAAGTTTGCCGCACCATCCAGTCTATCATAATTAGAAATATCATTGGTGTTTTATCCCTTGTATACACTTCAAACGCATTTGGACCCTCCTATATCCTCCTAATTACACTAGGCTTTCAGGCCGCTGGACTATTTCGCATGGTTTCGATTACAGCTTGATTCCACACTGTGTTTTTGGTACAAGTATGGAATTTTCAGCATGTGATACCGGTAGCCCAAATTTTGCAGGCCAACTATAGATATCAGGTGTGCGTCGGCAGACGATCGAACTCCGGACCATGTGCATGATCGGCGAGCGTCATAACCGCTTTGCCACCGACGTTGTGTATTAGTTAATGTATAAAATGAGTTGAATTTCTCCTTAATCGATCATCAGGTTATGCTCATCTAATAAACAGTTACCCACAAAAGTTCATCGACAAGTATGGGAGACATCATGTTTAAAAAGTGAAAAGCAGCACAGTAGATAAAAAGCCTATCTTTCTGCAGCTTGCATTCAAAGGTGATGATACTGTTAGTAGAATAAGATGCAGACTGAACGCTGCCCTGAAAAGAACATATCCAGCCGCCAAGCTTGTATGTGTTTATCAGGCAACTAGCTGTTTGAGACAATCAAAAGTGGACAAACACCCACCTCATATTACCTCCAACTGTGTCTACCAATTTACATGTATGTGCCAAAGTACATATATTGGAAGAACAGAGAGAAGAGTTAGTGTCCGCATTTCTGAACACATACCGAAGAACCTGAGACTGAAAGGTCCGCATCGTCATCTGTTGGACACTCGTCATATTGTAGAAAACCTGAAGTCGTTCAAAATAATCAACAAGCAAAAGAAACCTAGCTTGCTACGCTTTGCTGAAGCAATTGCAATCAAACAACTTACACCAAATCTATGTGCACAGAAAGAGACAGTGGTCAATCTTGCACTGCCCTGGTAATAACAAAATATACAACTTTTATGAGTCACCTTTTTCATGTTTAGAAAACTCTACTCTCTCATCTAAACATGACTCACCCTACCTAGTTTCTTTTCTTTCTTTTTTTCTATTGGCTATTAGATAAGACATTTTCTTTAGTTACGTAATCTACTTTTTTGCTTTGCTCTTTCTAGCTAAACCTTGTTTCTATACACACACACAGATATACGCAAGCCTGTTTTTTTGTTTCCAAGCCTAATTGTCTAATTATTCTATAAATAGTCAGTCTTTGTAACTCCTAATCAGTTAAATCATTATGGACTAATGTTAGTTTTAATTCCTACCAGCTACTCCTTATGATCGTGGAGAAGTATGTTTAAATCTTTAATGTAATTCATATTTTTAGCGTTCAGGTTGCAACCAGTTGAGAAGAATCGTCGAAATAATAAAAGATGAACTCATATTATCCTGGTACAATTGTTGTTTTTGCTTTGTTCAAGTTTATTAATAGGAAGAATCGAATGAAGTTTTTAAAAAGTATTTCATTCCCTCTAGTTAACTGAATATAGCAGGATTATGTATGCACACATACATAGGTGAAGAGCGTAGTTTAAAATTAGGGAAACTACGGTCAGCTCGGTCAGGACCGATTCAGGATGGGGTCATGGGTGAGCACTAATCAAAGAATTTGAAACCAGGACGAAATAGATGTCCATATGTCCATGGTTTTCAATAATCTCCCTAACTGATTTTCGTTCATGACGAAATTTGATAAATGAAATTGACTGAAATCCTCACAAATCTCATAATCTAATTTTTTTTATTCCCTCGCGTTCCCAGTGGAACATAGAGCTTCAAGCTATAGGCTTGAAGTTTCTGTTGCAGTGGTGTTTATTTTCACAGGATGAGGTTGCTAGCCTCATTCCCAAACTTCCATCTTTACCAGCTTTCTACTTTTGGCTTAGTGAGGTAAAGGCGGAGTGCTTTGTCGGCCGGGGATTGAACCCTGGACCATGTACACGGTTGGTGGGCGTCTTCACCACTGTACCACCGACGTACATGGCATATGGTATTTCTATTTGTTTGTTGAAATATTCACATCTGTGTGAATACTGTTCAACTATTCCAGTAAAAATCTAGTCAACTTACCACCGTCTGGCGTTTGCAACAATAACACTATTATCTATTGAAAAGGCATCACGTGGTAAACCATTAATATTCCATTGTTGAATTTTCACAGGATCACCTAAACACTGAGTTAGCGTAAAAGGTTCAGAACAAGGGATTTGTTGTGCTTTACACTCAACAATCCAATCAGAAATACACTCATCTCTATAAATTAATGTAAATGGTCCTAAATAGGCGATGATACCAGCTGATATAAGCACATCGCCGGTAAGATTATGATATAACTTTTTAAGATAATCTGCTGCTTGTGCCCAACGATCTTTTTCCCCACCCAGTCCACCAATCAGCTTTGTTGCTCTTTCTAATTTTGTAGCACAATCTTGTACTTCATCTTCTAAACGCTGTTTTTCATTCTGTGTAGCTTCTAGTTGATTTTGTAAATTTTGTAGTTTTTCTTCAACTTCAGCTAATGCAGCTTGAGTTTTTTTCAGAATGCCATATTCTCTGCCAGTTCTGCTTCAGCTTCAGCTAATTTAGCTCGTTTCGGGGCTACAATTTTAGCCACCCGATCATACTGTTCCATTGCTAATATCCATTTGCATAAGCCTTCAGCAGCTGAACTTGCACGGGCTACTTTAACTGGATCGAATTCAGGATTTGTCATGAAATCTTTGCGTATACGTAGCATTATCTGAACAAATGAACAAATAACAAACAAAGTGAATTAAATAACTCGAAACAGATATCACGATTCAATCAGAATTTTCTATAATATAGAGAGGAAATATGTTTTCTTGAAGCTTGAAGAGTAAAGTTGTCCGTCGTGAGAATCAAACGATCTACCTAACAAAGTGTATCAAGTCGACTGATAGAAAACATGAAAAGCCGATTGATCACTTAGCAAACACTATTCGAATTACAGCATGTGACTCAATTTCTATAAAGTAAGCAGGAGATAGTGGATTAGACAAATGAAAAATGCAACATTTGAGTAGCTTGAAAATCCTCATTGAGTCATGAGAAAAAAGAAGACTTTCAGCGAAGAGACTCTTTTCGTCGGCGAATTCATTCACACAGCTGTACAATCGCATTGACATATAATTATTTGTGTGTGTCTGTGTGTGTACATAAGGTTTGTCAAGTTTAAATAATTGATCAGGTAATACAAGAATGATCTAATATAGAAACAAGGTTAGTCAGACAGCAACTAAAGTAAGATTGAGTTAGTAGGTCAGATGACGTAATATACTTGACCAAAATCTTTCAACTTAGGTCAGAGTAGCAGAAGAGGTAATTACAGGTAGATACTGAGTAGCGATGGGTTAGAGAATAATGCCATTTGAATTAGAACTGAAATTGAGCAAATAAGTTGGATGATGTAACATAAATGACTAGAAAATGAACGTTGGTCAAATTAGTGACAGTGGTAGTGAGGTGCAGAAACTAAATCGGGTGGGGGTAGAGAGCAGGAAAGCCTAAAATGTAAAATATTACAATTGAAAAGACAAAATAATAAAAATACTGAAGAGACAGAAGAGAAAAAAAGATTAGGTAGAATTTACTTGTCATGTTATAAGATAGATTACATCAATTACAAGTGAAGTGATTGAACGAACTTCTTCTGTATGCAGAGTTCAGGGCTTAGCAAGTAAATCACCATTGCTTCTACAGTTTGAAGAAGTCTGACTCCTAGACCTTTAGGAAGGCTACTTCTTACTCTGTAGACGACTTTGAAATTTGCTTGGGGTGTCGCTTGGTGTCCGGATTCTACACCTCACTACCACTGTTATTCACTTGACCAACGCTCAATTTCTAGTCATTTATGTTACATCATCCAACTTATTTGCTCAATTTCAGTTCTAATTTAAATGGCATTATTCTCTACCCCATCGCTACTCAGTATCTACCTGTAATTACCTCTTCTGCTACTCTGACCTAAGTTGAAAGATTTTGGTCAAGTATATTACGTCATCTGACCTACTAACTCAATCTTACTTTAGTTGCTGTCTGACTAACCTTGTTTCTATATTAGATCATTCTTGTATTACCTGATCAATTATTTAAACTTGACAAACCTTATGTACACACACAGACACACACAAATAATTATATGTCAATGCGATTGTACAGCTGTGTGAATGAATTCGCCGACGAAAAGAGTCTCTTCGCTGAACGTCTTCTCTTTTTCAGATGAGAAATGAACAAATATTTAAACAAGCCTACATACTTTGAGTCGCATTCAACAGAGCAGAGAGAACTAAGCTAGTGATATATATATATATATATATATATATACCTAAAATGAATGAATGTTTAAATACATTCTATGACGTTCAACGATTATACCAGTATACTTTGAACAATTCTGTTTTATTTTCCCATTCTAGCGGATAAAGTCGATGCCAGTCATTATGCGCATTTACGAATATTTGTAGGAGCTTACGGAGTCAGGTATTGCACGGTAAACTATTTGACTGACAATTAATTACAGAAAACTGTAGTCATATCCTAATAAATAAAACCAGTGAAAATGCAAGAAGAATGTAACAGAACAATTTCGTTTGGAAAATCCCTTCTGAACGATCTAAACGATCACCACACTTTTACTTATTTCAATATTTCAACTAACTTTCTAGATTATACATTATTCTTGTGACATTTGCATATCACATAAGTTGACTAAATCTTTATTATTTATCTTTGACGCCGTTTAACCTCTAAATTTAATGCTTCCCGTAGTGGCACAGTGATAATGTGTTGTCTTACGATGTGATTTTGTTTGAGTGAATAGGAGTTCATTCTGACATTTGACTGTCTGAGGGAATCGTTAGTGTGTGACTGATATGTATTCACATGATGCCTGCTTTATTTTGACAGTCTGGTATATTTTATTGTGTGTATATTGATCGTTATTCCATTATGATTCACAATATTTCCTGTCTGTCCATTAACTAAATAAATAATGTACGTATGACCTTCATTATAATACACGTTTTTGTATTTCTTAATGAATGAAAAACAAAACGATATTATTTTTTACTGACGTTTCGCTATTTAATGCAAATAGCTTTATTCAAGTATTATTAAACAACTTCCAAAGGAACTTCATCAACAAAATCAACACAGACATTAAGTATGGCCGAAAATGCATTCTAAAAACATGGACCTCAACAGTTGTCATTCCATGTAGAGCAGAGACGTGAGATAATATCAGAAGAGTACTGAGTCAGCTCGACACTAGACTTTTCTTCAAAACACTGGACATACTTAAAAGTAACCTTGTTCATATAAAAGATCAAATCCCTAAAGATTCTATATCTAATTGTGTCTGTAAAATAAAATGCTTGCTTGGAATGTGATGCGATCTACATCGGACAAACATCCCTAGTGAGAAATCAAAATCAGAAGAAATGAACACCGTAGAGCATCCGTTCGACCACTGAGAAATCCGGTTGAACTAGAAAAACTTGAAAAATCCTCAGCCATTCGTCTTCACGCCATAGAATCAGGTCACAAAATTGATTTTGACCATATTGAAATAATCCAGGAAAAGCATTTCAGAAATCACAAAGAACGTCTCATATCATCAGAAGAACTTCATATCAAGTGGAATCCAAATTGTCCGACTAATAGGAATGATGGACTAAAACAGAATCTGACCTGGTTACAACATCCCTACTGTCTTTCATGAAGTGACAAATTCAACACGAATGTGATGAGCAAGTTCACTATGTAAACACACACTGCTTTTATAATTTTACACACTGGTCAAATCCAACAATCTACACTTGATTTTGTTATCTTTACCAACTGGCCAACTTGACAACCAAAAATGACCCCAGACTGACGAACGGTGATCAAGTTAGTAAACTTTGTTTCGATATCATAACAGACGTACCATATTCTTTGTCATTTGGTTTAGTGATCTTCATTGTTATTCTGACTTTCAATATGTCTTTTTAACTTGACCTAAGTAGTCTATTTTCTCACCTCTTGACTCTTGTTATATATATGCTGAGATTTTTTAAATTCCGGTTCAATAGTACTTTGATAAAGCTATTAGTAGCAGCATTAAATAGTGAAACCTCAGTAAAAGCAATATCGTTTTGTTTTTCATTCATTGGGAAATACAAGAAAACCTTTATAATAATGAATATCAGATACCCAATGCCCAAATGTTTTTAAACTGTTAAAAGTGAACTTGGTTTGGAGATATAGATGTATGACCTTTGTCACATAACAATACAACCAATCAGAATCCAATGGTGGTAAGCAAAACTGCTATCTGTCTTATTGGTTGATGTGTGTTAGTTATTCCCTACATACTCTTGTATTGTACAGTCAATACACACTTCCGTACTTCTACTCACACTGTTGTATGACAGTTAATTTTCCTTGTCGGAAAATACACGTATCTTCGTGAACGTGGTGATCTTCTGATTTTCCTCTTCGCGTCAAGGCAAATTAACTACTCAGCAGTACCAGTCTGTATGTTATCTATTTTTATTTTTTTATTTTATTTTTATTTTTGATTACAGCTTGATTCCACACCGTATTTTTGGTACAAGTATGGAATTTTCAGCGTGGATATCGGTAGCCCGAAATTCGCAGGCCGACCATAGATATTAAGTGTGCGTCGGCGTGGGCTCGAACCCCGAACCATGTGCATGGTCGGCGAGAGTCCTAACCACTGTGCCACCGTCCGTTATATCTCATTAGCGCGTATTTACACTCGATCACACCATAAAATCAGCAACGACACCATGTAACATATTGGCGACGAGTTCATAATAGTGATCATTGTGGAAAGAGTTTTAATCCCACCTTGTTGGGAATATTCTCCTAGAAATAATAAAGAACATATGTAGCTTAGGTGCGTCTGTGTCACAGCGGTTAGGACGCTAGCCGACCATGCACATGTTCCCGGGTTCGATCCCTGGTTGACAAGGAACTCCGCCTTTACCTCGCTAAACCGGAAATAATGCTGGTAAAAAGGAAAGGTTGGGCATGAGGCTAGCGAACCCATTCTGTAAAACTAACCACTGCTGCAGAAACTTCAAGCTATTACCTTGAGGCCCTATGTTCCACTGGGAACGTGATGGAAAAAATAATAATAAAGTTGATGATTTACAATTAGTTGTGTTCGCTGAGCTGGTTAGTTTAAACTGACGCTGAATATGTTGTCCAGAAGGACGACGAAAGCTGGCTAACGGCACTGTTGAAGTAATTTTGATTTCTTCATATGTTATTATAGTTGGATGGAACCATACATATGGATCCAACAACGAATAATTGTCTTTATACAGTCTTTTGAAGCGGATTGTGACTGTGTGTGTGTCTCAAAAAAGTTTCAATCAACTGTACAGTAGGACGCAAAGATCACTTTCCTGCATGCAAGTCTCATTGAGTAAGTTTGGCTGGTAACAAATAACATTAGATCATGCTATAAAATCAGACAAGACGGAGGTTATGAAAATAACCAACTAACAACAACAACAGCAACAGCAGCAACACCATCACCATCAACGGGAAGGGATTTGAAAGAGGTTACTTCATTCACTTATCTAGGGAGAATTGTCTCAACTACAGCCAGTCGGAACGGACGAGGATGTCAAATCGAGAAGTGAGGAGAAGGCAAGAAACACATTCACTCAACAACCTGAAACCAATCTGGAAATCTTCGTCACTCAACTCAGCATCAACAACAAAATTCGGTCGGATTTTCAATACAAACGTCAAGTCAGTCAGTTCTTCTATACGGATCAGAAACTTGGCGGGCGGGTCACAAAGAATATTTCCAACAGCCTGTTGCAGACATTTATCAACCAACGACTGTCTTCGCTGGTTCTACACTGAAGATCAGATGGCCGGGCCGGAAAGAATCACCAACAAGAAACTATGGCTGGGAACAAACAAAACGAAAACCAATCGCCAACCAACAAATATGCAGGATAAAGTGGAGACGGATTGGACACTCACTCGCTGATGAGGCTGCCACTGGGTGACATCGCGCTCGCGTCAGGCCATTGCTCGAGTGCAACCCGAAAGGGAAGCGGCGAGTTGGATCTCAGTACAAGAGTGACATGGAGGAGATCGTGTGAAGAGGAGTTGAAACAGTATGGACTAACATGGATGCTGGTGAAAAGTAGAGCAGAAGACAGAAGCAAGTGGAGACGTGCAGTTGAAGCGCTATGTTCCACTAGGAACCCAAGGGAACAATAATAATAAAATCACTAAGCAGCTTTCAATTCACAGAATTATGAGAGGTATCTGGTGCGTTGCTAAGCTCACGTATGATTTATTGTATGTCAAAACAAATAAAAATCACCTGGAATAATTTTGTGAACTTGAGATATGGCTCTGAAAACATCCAAATAACGGAATCCTCGAAAATGGCTACCCAGAACGTTTTATTACAAAATCTGTGGAACCTAAACCAGTAAAAACCGCTCACACTTTCTGCTTCCAGAAAATTTCTCTTCCTGAATCTACAATTCACCAGAGATTCATCGTCAGGAATATTGAGAAATCGCCTGTACCGCTCACTACAGAAAACCTCCTTCGCAACTGAATTCCGACTAACATTCTCTACGAAACCAATGATTCGCATGAACGTGAATGGTAAGCTACTACTGTTGGCCTCATCAATGTGAATCTGTGGTGAGAGCTATCTGCAAGACAAAATTGTAGACAACAACTGACGTCAATGTTTACGTCTCAAATCTGGATCATGAGAAGAAACAAGAATATAGCCTAACTTTGAAGAACTCAACAGCCAATCACAGCAGACTTAGTTTGCGCGGATACGATTTGCAGATATATGATCGAACTGTCTGAAAAACAGCAACAAAGAGATGACAGAATAACCTTCAGCAGTCAAACAACTAATCTGAAAAGAGTGCTTCTCTTCTAACAATAACGAATAATAATGTATATAAAAATCTATAAATATCTGTTGCCTGGCCTTGTCTTCTGTTTCTGCAAATCTACTGATTCACCTGCTTATGTGAAACTAGGTATATTGGGCGTATCAAGCGTTTGCTATCCAAACGTATCATCAAACGCTTACCCTCATGGTCATATAAAAAAGAGAAAATAGATCCCTCCGAAGCTCTATTCTGAAACACTTAATCGAATCAGGGCACCAAGCAAACTCACAGAATAACTCCGAAGTTATCTGCAGAATAAATGGGAATCTTGCTAAAAGAGTACGAGTCAAACTTCTTCAAATCGCAGAAGCAATGGCGATTCACACATTGAAACTTGAACTCTGCATATAGAAGAAGTTTGTTCAGTCCTTAAATCTACAGTGGACCTGACCGACCTATCTTAACACCAGTTACGTAATTTTTGTTTCGTCTTCTTCTTGCTTGTTTGCTTCTTAATTGTATAATACTTTCATCCTCAATCCCTTATTACCACTGTTGTTAACTTGACTTGACACCAAAAGTGCCAGAGAATTCCTAGAAGTTCGGTACTCAAGCAAATCAGCGATTAACACACATATTAATATACACCGAATTCTTTGATTGGACACTAGTAACTAGTGTGATGTGTCTAGTGCGTTTTTTGGTGCAGACTGAATTCTATCAGTCAGGTTTGTAATGTGGCCACCATTCTAGGTATCTCGCCATCACGGTGTACATTGATTTGATTACAGTGGATGGTTGAAGGTAATCGGCAGGGAGTCTTGGACCTAGGTTTTGTGCTAGTTGGCACTCATCAGCAAGTCGTATGTGCGACCTACAGGAGGTCAATCACGAGCCCGAATCGCTCACCAGTAACATCTCTGACTGCAGCACTGGGAGACGCGGGTTTGAATCTCAGAAGCGGTGTGAGTTCCTTAAAGGTTGAGTGTCAACTAGCACGAAACCTAGGTCCAAGGCTTCCTGTCTATTACCTCCAACCATCTACTATCATACACCGAATTCACCAACTAATAAAAAGTAAATCATGTTGACAAGAAATTTCAAAATCCATATCAATAAAAAATGATCAACAGTCATGTAAATCGACTACCAGTCACGAAGATGGTCGCCAGGAGATACAGTTCTATCACTCATGAAGAATTTATTTAAATCAGTTCATTTTATGCTATAACTTGATCTCAAGATGTTGTCCAGAAGAAGGACAACGAATGTTCCACAATTTAAAACCAACCAGTTCAGAGAACACACAACCGATTGCAAATCATCCACCTGGACTACAAATATTCTCTAATAATTTGACTTTTATTCAAATTTAATTTTATCTGAGCTCTATTCAACCTCATCAATTAGATTACGTAACTCTTATTCTAGTTTCTAACCGGTTAACGAAATTTTTTATCTAAACCTTACAATTCGAATGACACATTCTTGGAGATATTCATTACGTTACTTAGAAAATTTACTAAATATGTGCGATGGTACAACTTGAGACATCGCTGATATCGCCGAAAAGAGGAGTAACTCTTCACTGAATGTCTTTTTGCATTTAATGGAATTTTTATGAATTACTAGAGGTTTAGTCTATGAAAATTTGAATATATCTTACCGCTGGATTAATATTGTCTTTGTCATACTCTTTTAGTAAAGTTAAAAAATTTAAATCTCCCAATAATTTCTTTGAAGGTCCCCAGTAATCATTGATTTTTTTCCCAGATCCTGAAGGATCATTCACCTTATCTGGTTTAATATCACGCATAACACAAACAGCTTCCATGACAAGTTTAACGCCTGGTGGAGGATTTTGCATTGATTTCACAATTGTTATATCAGATGGTTTCAATGTGTCCAGAGCGCAAAGAGCAGCTTCTAATGCAGGCTGAGCTTCAGCCAGATCAGCTCGACATTCTTCACTCAAGGCTTTTGATGCGTCGGCCTTCTGATTAACAATTTCCTCTTCAGCTTTAACTTTTACACGTTGTTCTTCCACTGCAACTGATTCAGTAGCTATAACGGTGAGAAGTTTTTCATTCTCTTCACTAGCCAATACAAGCTGAGGTTGTAGTTCTTCCAGTTTGATTTGCATGTCAGCAACCTGTTCAGAAGCGAACGCCAATTTATCCAAACCATTTACATAACTATGGAAGGAAACCCAATAAAAAAAATAAAGACATCAATTATTACTCGACGAAAATACAAACTACTTAACACCAATTTTTAAAAATTATACTTGTAAAATCTCAGTGACATTGAAATGATTAATTCCAATGTTTCATTAGGCAAACTGGTCCGAACTTCTTCAGGTAAATTGATCGAAAGTAACATAACAGAGGTTTATATATAAAAAAGACATCTCTTGTTTTCAAAACCGTTGTCCCTGAAACAGTCATCAAAATATAATCAACAAAATTGTCTGATGAAAGTACACCCTTTTAATTCAATTTTAGATTTTCTTGTTGATTTATTGGACCGAAGTGCTCGGTCTCAGGTAAATCCACTCACTGTGGAATGCAAGTACATCCAGCTTGTTGACGAGTCCAAATAAGACGAAACGCACATCCTGGATTTGACTGCTAGTCCCTATACAAAAGTTAACTTCAAAATTAAACTCCGTTCAAAGTGTTTAACAATAGAAAACTAATATTTGTAAGTCTGAGATCAAATTTTGATCACAGATCATACAATTTAATTTTGTTTCTTATATTTGATGACCATTTCATGACTCATATGATTGGACAACATTTTTAAACACAAAGGATGTCCTTTTTATATTTAAACCTCTGTTGTGTTAACTTCGATTAATTTCTCTGAAGAAGTTCGGACCAGTTTGCTGAATGAAACGTTGGTATTACGCATTTCGATTTCACTGAGAATTTACTAATATAATTTTTAATATGTCTACTCACTCGGCGCGCAATTATATTTGAACTATTCTGTCAAATCTTGACGACAGTACAGATGAATGCGTGACACCAAATTACAACAGTTAATTATAATAAAGGTTTTTGTATTTCCCAATGAATGAAAAACAAACCGATATTGTTTTACTGACGTTTCACTATTTAGTGCTGCTACTAATAGCTTTATCAAAGTACTATTGAACCGGAATTTAAAAAATCACTCAGCATATATATAGCAAAGAGTTAAGAAGTGAGAAAATAGACTACTTAGGTCAAGTTAAAAAGACATATTGAAAGTCAGAATAACAATGAAGATCACTAAACCAAATGACAAAGAATATGGTACGTCTGTTATGATATCGAAACAAAGTTTACTAACTTGATCATCGTTCGTCAGTCTGGGGTCATTTTTGGTTGTCAAGTTGGCCAGTTGGTAAAGATAACAAAATCAAGTGTAGATTGTTGGATTTGATCAGTGTGTAAAATTATAAAAGCAGTGTGTGTTTACATAGTGAACTTGCTCATCACATTCGTGTTGGTTTTGTCACTTCATGGGGGGAGAGGTGTTATCGAGCTGATGGAGTACTCTTCTAATATCGTCTGATGTCTCTACTCCATATGGAATGACGACATTAAGTTTTCTTCAAAACAGACAACTTAAAAGTAACCTTGTTCATATAAAAGATCAAATCCCTAAAGATTCTATATCTAATTGTGTCTGTAAAATAAAATGCTTGCTTGGAATGTGATGCGATCTACATCGGACAAACATCCCTAGTGAGAAATCAAAATCAGAAGAAATGAACACCGTAGAGCATCCGTTCGACCACTGAGAAATCCGGTTGAACTAGAAAAACTTGAAAAATCCTCAGCCATACGTCTTCACGCCATAGAATCAGGTCACAAAATTGATTTTGACAATATTGAAATAATCCAGAAAAAGCATTTCAGAAATCACAAAGAACGTCTCATATCATCAGAAGAACTTCATATCAAGTGGAATCCAAATTGTCCGACTAATAGGAATGATGGACTAAAACAGAATCTGACCTGGTTACAACATCCCTACTGTCTTTCATGAAGTGACAAATTCAACACGAATGTGATGAGCAAGTTCACTATGTAAACACACACTGCTTTTATAATTTTACACACTGATCAAATCCAACAATCTACACTTGATTTTGTTATCTTTACCAACTGGCCAACTTGACAACCAAAAATGACCCCAGACTGACGAACGATGATCAAGTTAGTAAACTTTGTTTCGATATCATAACAGACGTACCATATTCTTTGTCATTTGGTTTAGTGATCTTCATTGTTATTCTGACTTTCAATATGTCTTTTTAACTTGACCTAAGTAGTCTATTTTCTCACTTCTTAACTCTTTGCTATATATAAGCTGAGTGGATTTTTTAAATTCCGGTTCAATAGTACTTTGATAAAGCTATTAGTAGCAGCATTAAATAGTGAAACGTCAGTAAAACAATATCGTTTTGTTTTTCATTCATTGGGAAATACAAGAAAACCTTTATAATAATGAATATCAGATACCCAATGCCCAAATTTTTTCAATCGTTTGAAGGTGAACTTGGTTTGGAAGTATATTACAACAGTTCAATTTATAAAAGTAAATCCATTTAGCTATTCACTCCTGGTAGTTTAGACAATTTAAGTAGGCCAATCACATTGTACTGTGGAGCATTGATCTCCCATATATGCCCAATAGCGATTCATCACTAAAATGATGACAAAAAGTAGTTATCATGTGAACAGAAAATCTCCTAAAGAAATCACACAAAAAGAAACGACGAAAGAAACAGCAAAGGTGGTTAAACAGATCAACGAAGTAAGTGGTAAGACAAAATGGTTTGAAATTATGCCGAAATCATGTATTATGCCTAGGATATATGGCGAGATAAAAATGAATAAAGAAGGATATCCGATAAGACCGGTTTTAGATTTTAGAAACACACCAAGGTATTTGCTGTCAAGATTTCTTTCAACAATACTAAGACCAACAAGAGACTGCATCCATTATGGATAAGATTTCATTTTGATACGTCACACAGTGTTATACACTAATATTAACTGATGACGTAATACTAGCTGATTTACATGCGTGTAAATCTAACACATGTATATAAATGAAAGGAAATGTTGTGTTAGTAGAGCCTTGATATTATTATGAGCAATAATTTGTGCTCGAAACGAGGTCATCAGTTAATATTACTGTATAACACACTGTGTGACTTATCAAAATAAAATCTTATCCATAATGGAGTTATACTGTACCACAGTGCCCAAGTTTTACACTTATACCGACAAGAGACAACACAAAAGCTAGAATGTTGAATCATTCCCATTACACGTGTTTGCATTTGATTCGATAAACAAAGCTTCGGTTACCAAACGCTTCCTCCATTCTGTGACATTATAGTTTTATAACTGTCATCTTACCCCATCCCATCATATTGTATGACTGTGTTGTGTGCTATCTACGACTGAACTATTCTCTAGATTTCTTATCTTATTCAGATCAACTGATCTGGATTTTGCAAGGTTTTTATGTTCGGCTAGTCTGGCTGACTGACCCTGTCCTACTACTTTGACCTATGTATTTGACCTGATAATTATTGCACTCAGGATATTAGATAAACCTAAGTGGGATAGACAAAACAACGACTGACGGGCACAATGTGCACTAACATTCAAACCACAAAATCGAGAAAAGCCTAACCTGACAAAGCCAGAAATGAAAGCCCTAAAGCACCTTAAGTATAACATGGATGATATAGTAATCACAAAAAATTCAGACAAAGGAAACGCAACAGTAATATTAGACAAATCATTAGACAGGAAAAAATCGCCTTTCCTAATATCCTTCCAATATATATCAGAGTCTCGAAAACAATTTTAAAGAAAAAACACATTCCTACTTTAAACTGTACTTAGAAATAAACTAGTAAAAAACTCTTTTATTGAAAAACAAATAAATAGTGTATGAGTAACATTCACTTACCGCATTCTAGCTCTACTGGTTTCATTTTGTTTTTGAGTTAAAAGTCTTTTAAAACTGTCTATTAATTCTAAATATGAAGTAGGTGTGACATAGGTTTTTCGACCTAAATTTCTTAAAAATTTCTCTGATAATGGTACAATAGACGTGTGAAAATATTTGAATAAATGAACAGTAGATTCACGAACATTATCTTCCATATCTAAATTTTGAAGTGCTCTGTTAGCAACTCGGATCAAACCATCTTCAGGCCATGGCTATTGAAAGAAGAAGGAAAAAAAAAGAAAGAAGAAGACGAAAAGACGAAAAATCACTTCTGAGCAAGTTAAAATTAAGCTGCAGATATTCTTTCTTGCATAAATTTTACACTTTGAACTATCCCACACTTCTGAGATCAATATTATACGATTAATGATTATAGATGATTTTCAAGTATTGGTTTTTTTAAGGATTGTTGTTTTTGATTGCATGGAGGATTTCATCTTGGGCTGATATCAGTTAGAGAACCACTGGAAAACCTGGGGATGTCTGAACACCTGTGTCGACCTAGTTGGAGACTCTTCAGTAGTACGCACCCATCGGGGTTCGAACCCACGACCTGCTGGTTACAAGGCGATATATATATATATATATATTTGATTTTTTGAACTGAACTCAGGCAAATACTTTAAAGTACTGCCATGGCATCAGAAACAATATGCTTGAAGCCTGTGGATCTCTGAAGTATCATTACATCATGCACAATGGTTATCTCCACACTATGACTCACAGTATGCTTTGTCTGCTTTTGTTTGATTTTTAGAATGAGAAGCGTTGGTGTTAAATAACTAACTATGCTATAAAATACATTAAAAGGATCAGAATACGTCAGAAGCAAAATAGAAAAATGGTGAAACTAATAATGGTAACATAAATAAGAAATAATGTAAGGCATCTACAGTAGTTTTGCCATATAAGGAGGGGACATCTGAGACCAGACTTTAAGTAGGATTCTCAATAAAGCGGGAATTAGGGTGGCATTCAAACCTACAAACTTACTCAGAGACAAGCTCGGTAGGCTAAAAGACCCGGTGAACCCAACTAAACGAAAAAATATAATTTACAAAATACCCTGAGGTCAACTATATAGGTCAAACTAGTAGACCGTGGGTAAACAGATTGGGCAGAACATAAGAATTTGGCTAAGGTAAGAATGGTTGATCCAGAGAAGATAAGTAATTTAGAAAAAAGTTCATTAATTGCACTACATGCGTTAACATACAACCACACAATAGGGTGGGAGAGGGTTAAAATTCTAAGACGTAGTCTATGTAGGTGGAGATAGAGAGAGATTGATTAGTGAATCCTGCCTGGTTCATCGAGTTTACATCCAACACATGCAACATAAATGATTCAATGCAAATACCAGAAATATAGGGGACATCATTACCGCCAGTCAAATCAGAAGAGGATAATAAATAATCTCAAAATTCTATTTCAATTCATGCACATCACAACATTCTAACAAGTAGCTTATTATGACTAAAAAACACTCGTCTTATTTCCCATCTGATTGTAATTGATCAATAACACTCATATTATTATTTCTTAATGTGCATTATCTTATATTGATTTTTATTCAAATACCTAATCAATTCCCCACATGTTTATAAATGAAGGAAAAATTTGTGAGTAACTTGATATGATTATGAGCGGCAATAATTTGTGCTCGAAACTTAGTCATTAGTTAATATTATTGTATGACACACTGTATGACTTATCAAAAATAAAATCTTATCTGTAATTGAAGCTTCTATATGCCAATATGTAAGCTGTATTTGAATACACTGTTCAGGACTATAATTCAGTCTGTATTGATAATTATTTGATTCAATCTAAACCTTCCTGTCAATTGACTGGACTGAAGTGCTCGGCCTGAGGTTGACATGTGACTCCTTGTGCACATACCTCGACGATGTTTGATTATTTCACCTGAAGTAAATTGATGGATGGTGACTAGCAGGAGAATCCAAGATGCACATTTCGTCATACTTAGGACTCGACATATGGATGTACCTGCATTCCCCAGTAGATGATGTTGTTCCTATAGGGGCTAGAACCCAGAACCCTAAGTTTCAAACACCAAAGCGTAGTCCTCCACATCATACTTGGGCCACGAGAGCCACCTTTTGTACAACAGGTGTTAGTGATTATTTAATTCAATTTCAACTTTCCCATTGATTGACTGGACGGAAATGCTCGACTTCAGGTGGACTTTACTTCAAGTTCAATAATCAAACATCGTCGAAGGCGACATGTCAACCTGAGGTCCAGCACTTTAGTCCAATCAGTCGACGGGAAAGTTGAAATTGAATTAATTAATAACTGACACCCGTTATACAAAAAAGGTGGCTCTCTTGGCCCAACTAGTCTGATGGATAACTCTTTGACATTTGAAACTATAGATACTGGTTTCCAGCCTCGGGGGGAGGGAGGAACACCATCACTCACTGGGGAATGCAGATACATCCAGTTGACGAACTGCAAATAGGGCGAAGTGCCCATCCTCACAGGTGTAGCTCAAAAGACAACTAAAATAAAAGCTAATTTGTTAATTAAGATTCTTTTTCAGCTAAAATCATTCACTTTGCTTATTAAAGCTTGTCCTGGAGACGTTGTCTAGAGGGCTAATGGAAGATTCTCAACAAAATCAGTCAAATAAAGTATGATTATATTTCAAAATCAGTCAGCTCAGAGAATAAAACCTGATGTTCACAATATCATCACAGGTTTGTTATATATTTACAAATCGGGGACGGGGGTGGGGGTATCACAACCGGGTTAACTAAATAGTGTGATGCCTAAAGTCACTCGTGACAAAGAATAATACAACACAATATTTTTGGGAAATTGCACAGAGTTACGGGATCACAGTGGCTTACAAACAGATGAATCGCTTGGACAACACTATTAATGACCTTGGCCTGGATGAAACAACTTTTTAGATAATCTTGATTTTTTTGTTTCATTTGAGTGTTACAGGTTTAATCACGAACTGACATCAGTTAGAAAACAATTCGAAAACAGGAGGGAGTACTGGAATCAACCGGTGGGTGCATACTGATGAAGTGTCCAGAATCAAAAACGAGACAGCTATCGAGTAATTCCAGGTTTTTCAAGGGTCACTTCGTGAACAATCCTGTCACCAATCAAATCTCTGCTAACCAATACTTGATAATTAATTTGAGTTTTCTCCAAATACTCAAATCGATCCGTTACGTAAAGCATATACACGACCTCCAAAAACATAAATACAACTTCAAAAGCTATTACCGTGGATTTCACATATTATTTTGAGCAGATTATTTTCAAATCTTTTTCCTTCACGTTCCCCAGTGGAACATAGGGCTTCATGCTAGTGACTTGAAGTTTCGGTAGCAGTGGTGTTTAATTTTACAGGATGAGGTCGCTAGCCTCATACCCAACCTTTCCTCTTTACCAGCATTATTTCTGGCTTAGCGAGGTAAAGGAGTGCGTCGGCGGCCGGGGATCGAACCCCACACCCTGTGCATCGTCGGCGAGCGTCCTAACCGCTATGCCACCGACGAACAAATCACCACGTCGTGAGCAGGATTTCAAATAGGAATCATAAATCAATTTCAAGGCTGAGAAACATCTGGTTATGCTATAAGAATAGAACTAGTGCAGTGTGGTCGAGTATAGTTCCATTGTGGATAGAAATTTATTTTGATAAAGTCTCACAGTGTTTGTTATACAGTAATATTTACTGATAACCACACGTTTCGAAAACAATTTATTACTGCTCATAATCATATTAAGACACTACTCATCACACCACTCTCCAACTTCGTTTATATAATTCCATTAATTCTCATCGCTTGACTTGATTGGTAGTAGTGGTTGTATTTTCCATATTTCTGATGTGAGTGATGAGTCATTCCTGTTGCATATGTCGGGTGTAGATTATTTGACGAACAAAGTTTCAGTAATCAGTCTCCCCCTCTCTTCACCTACCTATATTACTTTTTAGAATTCGAACCCTTTCCCACCCACCCTATTGTGTAGTTGTGTGTTAATGCATGCTGTACAATGTAGTGCTTAGTTCTTTTTCTCTAACTTATTTATCTTGGTGGGATTAACTATTCTAACCTCAGCTAAATTCTTATTTTCCGACGTTTTCCTGCAAGAAACTGTTCAGCCAGAACGCGAAAGACAAGCTGTCGCATTGGGCCACCTCAATGTGCATATACCAGTTTACTTGCTCTTGTGGAGCTGAGTACGTTGGCCGTACCATGCGCCGACTTGGAAAACGCGCTCGCGAACACTACCCAGCCTGGTTAGTAAAAGGAGACCAAAAGCGTGCATACAGTTCAGTGACAGAGCATCTGGTCAATTCAGGACACTCAGCACCTTTCGAAAAATCCTTCAAAATTATATACAAGATTCAATCAAACCTATCAAAGGGAGTCATATCAAGACATCTGGGCATAGCCGAAGCGCTAGCTATACAAAAGCTGAAACCCACCCTTTGTATCCAAAACAAATACGTCCAACCCCTGTCCCTGCCATGGCCATCATAAACAGGTAATTTTTTAGTAATGACCATCCCATCGCCTTTCTTACCTAAACTTCCTGTTTATTCTTGTTATTTTAAGTTTTTCTTAATCCCTGTTTACACTACCATATTTTCATACCCGAACTTCGTGTTTATTTTGTCATTTTACTATTTCTACACATTTAATCCCTGATTGCAAAAACAATTATTCATCACATTAGTTTTTATCCAAACATCCTGTCTATTTTGTTATTTCTACATTTCTAACCCTAATTGCACAATGTCAATCTTCTTAGCTATCATGTTGCTAATTTGTTTGTTGTATCCATCCCCCTGTTTATTATGACATTTTAATTCCCAATTTTAATTTTTACTAATTTGACCCTTGACCGGATATTATTCTGGAACTTTCCTATCCATTTGATATAAATACACGAATGTACAGCCAAGATGATGACTTCGTCGAAAAGAAAATTTTCTTCGCTGCAATTGTCTTCTTAATAACTCCTATGACACTGAGATTAATTTAAATAATTTATAATGAGTAGTAAATAAACACCAAGATTTTTTTTATTTTTTAAGTATTAATACACTCTATACACATTCAACGAAGGCGTCGGTGACACAGCGGTTAGGACGCTCGCCGACTATGGATATGGTCTGGGGTTCGATCCCCGACCGCCGACGCACTCCTTTACCTCACTAAGCCAGAAATAATGCTGGTAAAGAGGAAAGGTTGGGTATGAGGCTAGCGACCCCATCCTGTAAAATTAAACACCACTGCTACCGAAACTTCAAGCCACTAGCTCGAGGCCCAGTATTCCACTGGGGAACGTGAAAGAAAACAAAATAATAATAATGCGCATTCAACTAACCTGGAACCAATCAATTGTACAACAGTTGATCAAAGCCGGAAATTGTCTTAAACGATTTCTGAACGCTTCACCTATCGGTGAAAAAGCCATAACAACATGTAATTTCTCACGACATCTATCCACAAATAGCGCATACAATGCTAAAGGTGATAGGTCAGCTGATTTACTTTGCCCCGACGCCTCTAAACAATTCTGTATGATATCCATTAATTCAGCTTTCTCTTCTGATGTATACAGATTAGGCACTTCACCAGAGTTGAGCAAGTTATCGACATCCTCCAAGAAATTTTCTTCTTTGATTTGAGTGTCGGTCATAAGGAATACAGTATTTTTACCCTCTCCTCCAGCACGTCGTAATAATGCCTATAAAAATATACATGAAGCGAATTTATAATAGTGGAAATGGTAACAGTCTTCTGCCACGAGAAGCAAAAGAATTCTAAGAATTTCAACAACACAGCTTTTGTTCATTTTCAAGCAGCTGTACAGTCGTATTTGTATTATGGAAAATTAAAGAACATAACCGTCACCAAGGTATAGAAAGGGGTTTAATAAAAATTTAGGTTTTTGTCCATGCAAAGATAGGTAAACAGAGCTTCAGCTATGCATAATAATTAGAGAGAACGTAAGATTTTGGAGTGGTTGGATTTGGTCCTGTAGATAACTTTTTAAAGGATTAATCACGTGGGGTTGAATGACCTGACTCCAGAAGGTGTTCACAGATAGAAAACTTTATCGTCCTTTGCTCACTTATCACTAACCAAACCGGGTAGCTACAAGTTTACGGAGAACACGACTACAAGGTCCAATGGAATTAGTTCTTTACGACCATACGAATGTGTATTTGTACGTCCAGGTGGACATAAGCAGTAGTTTATCCTTGACGCATTGTTGAATCATATTTCGGCTGGTAAATACTAAATGTAAGTCATTACGCACCAAGGACCTTCCCGTCATAGGGCGAGCTCACACACCATTTAGCCCCTGGGACCTGATTTAGTAGCTCATGAATGCTAACTTCTACCAATCTGATGCTCGCTAGTGACTTGCTACAGGACGGAGTTTCCTGAAGTTCTAGTGAGAAGTCATGACCAGTGAGGTCTATTCAGATGTTACGTGTGAGGATGGATGTCCAACCAACGACAATGGTTGAGGTCACGCTAAATTACGATTTGGTAGAAGTTAGAATTCATGAGCCATTGGATCGGGTCCCATTGGCTGAATGGTATACGAGCTTGCCTTGTAACCTGGGTTCGAACCCTAATGATAAGTGCGTACTTCCGATGATTGCCGAACTAGGCTGATGAAACAGCTGTCCAGTACTCCTTGATGGTTTCCAGTGGTTCTCTATCTGATATCAATCCATGATCAACTCGTAAAAGTAAAACTAATCCTTACAAACCAACTGTAGTAAATGTAAGTCAGTTGCATAAAAACACCATCTAATACATTCGGATAAAGGACTTTTAATGACTTCAGTAACAGTGTCACTTTTGGACGCCAAACTCATAAACAGTGTCTTATTTTGTACTGGTTTTTTCCCTGGAGATGGTTTCTTTCTTGATGTTTCTATCGATAAACCTTCTAGGATATCCATTATTTAAGAGAGTTGTGCGAAAGCTTTCCATTTCTATGTCGACCGAATTTTAGAGTATAGAGAACGGATAAAATTTTTCTTCCTACCTAAAGCTATCCAAATGTTGAAGTTAGTATACTAACCTTTATATATTTTTACTATCGGCAGATCAACCTTGTTAACGCTGCTGTCCTCTCTTCTATCTAGCATCACATCTAAGAAGTGAAATGCGGAGTTCGACACTTCTTCGATAGTGAAAAGCATAGATGAGTAAAAACCATTTGATTTTCCAAGAAGCACAGCAGTTGAACAGTTTTCATCCCAAATAATCAAGGTGTCGCAATATACCTCTTATACACATGCAGGCTCGAGATTGTTTCTTTTAATAGCTCCCTCTACAATCTCACCTTGAAGACATTCACTTGCAGAGGTCCCCATGGCGCTATATTGACAACTGACCAACACAGATGAAGCTAACAACCACTGATTTCAGTGAAATCGTTATCCCCTGCCAATCAATTTAGCATGCAAATAGCCGCTCTACATCTACGAAGACTACAGAAAACTATCCACAGTCATATAAGGGAGTATGAGGAGTACGCTGATACGGGATATACAGATTATGCTGAACAAAATTGTGTTTTCCATTATGAATTAATGGGTGTATTTCGTGATTTAAAAATTTCTAATCAATTCCGCTCTTAATGAGTATATTATAGATCAACCGGTTTTTGAAAAAGTGGACATCAGCGGCGCTCATCACAATCCTTCGATGAGGCTCATCCAGATTTCTTTAGAGATGACCAGTTTTCAAGAAGTCAAGTCACTGTAATCGTATCTGTCTTCCGGCACAAAAAGTAACTATGTATTAAAAAAAAGCCTTCATTTGGCTTCATAGTTCATGATTTCACATCAATATCAGTAACCTCTGCAAAGCCTATTACTCTTTTTTGCAAAGAATTGTAGTACGTCTACTGACAAGAATTATCAGTAGTATACGGACGCAGATGGATTAAAAGTAGCCAAAATTCAAAACAACATTTTTAGTCATTGCCTGAAGAAGTAGAAGTGTTTATTCTTCTAATTTGGATTGAACTTACGTTGTGGTCAGGAAAAAATCTCATTGGGCAACTTTTCATCCATCATCTCCTGCTTTACCCTTCAGAAAAACAACAGCCAATCAGAACAGTTTATTATCTGCTGCTGACCTAGCCGACCTTAAATCTAGGTAAAAATGCTTAAATATGGTGTGCTTTTCCTTAAAACAAGAAAGCCGTTCATTGCCAAATCTCTTGTCCCCTCCCGTTACATCACCACCTACCTTTATATCTTCACGCCATTCATTTTTACCATAATTCTTAGATATTTCCGGTTGAAATACTGTATACCCTGCCATGGCTGAAGCCAGCCTGGTAAGTGATTGACGACCAGAGCCACCAACACCAACAAGTAAAGCATTTCCACCAGGTACACGAAGAATTCGGCATATTCTTGACAAATGTTCCAATACATATCTGGGTTCGTCAAACGAAAAAGAAAAACACTCCGTATAGGATCTGGTGATAAAGTGATAACATGCATCTTAAATAATGAATAATTAGAATGAAGACTTGGAGAAAAAAGTAAAGCTATTTCTATTCAACCAAAGATTATCCAAACAAACAATGTGATCGCACAAGTCAACATATGATAAAGTACATAATTATGATATGCCAAAGTGGATCTTTCGACGAAAGTTAATTCGATGCCAAGGTGATATCATCAGTAATGGGTCAAAACGACAACAAAATGCTGAATATTATATATGATCACGGAGTCAAGTGGGAAGGACTGCATGGAATAGAAAAAAAGGTGGAGACGTGTTGTTGAAGCCCTGTGTTCCACTCGGAACCCGACGGAACAGGAAGAAGAATTGTTCAGGTTACAGCCAGTTGTGAAAAATTTTAATCTAATAAGAAATAAGCTGATATTGTAACGACAGAAGACCAGGGCCAGACAACAGATCGTTTATTTATGAAATCAACAGATATTTATATATTTTAATGTACATTATTATAGATTATTGTTAGCAAACAAACACAGTCTTCTGATTGGTGGTTTCTAGCTGAACGTTAATCTTTCACCTTTTTGTGGCTATTTATTGAAGTTCAGATTATCTATCTGCAAATTTTATCCGCCTATGCAAAGTCTCCTGTGATTGGTTGTTGAATAAGTTTTTGTTGTTATTTTTCTAATGACCAATTTTGTGGACGTAAACAATGACGTAAATTACTGTCCACCAATTCGGCTAGCAGCCAGCTCTCACCACAATATTATCCTGGTACATTTGTGATGCCTGCTTTGTGCAAGTTTACTGACGAGAAGAACTGCATTAAGAGTTATTCCATTGAGTCTTTATTTAAATAAATGTGTAATGTAAACAAAAATAAAGCGTGTATGTTGTTTAGCGTATTCTTTTCACATCACTTTTTAGAATTCACTATTCTTCCCTGTCTTTGACAGACAGACTAACACAGAAACTTACAACTGCATATTGAAGCCACTTTAAAACACTATAGCATTACATGAGGAGACGACGACTAACTGTTAGAACAAACTAGATTTGTACACTACACCTCGAACAGATTCTTACAGACGTTGTATGGAGGTCATATCCTCGCAACTGTGATCAATTTTTCTCTATAACTGCGTTTTGCAGAGGTCCAGAGAGTTTAAAACTCCTCATACACCGTGACGCAACAGTCAAAGTAAATATGAGAAAGTTTCTCAGTTTATCTGTCATTATTATTATTACACCAGTGATTCCTTAACCTTCTACCCAGTTTGAACCCATTTCCGTCTAACAGCACTCGTTGAAGAAAATGTTTCGTCGTAATGTGCAACACATTCTACAACCATCTTATTCAGTGAAGATGACTAATTTCAGTTAAAGAACCATTAGAAAACCTGCAGAGAATACTGAACAGCTGTTTCCTACGTCCTGGTTTGGGACTCTTCATCAGTGAGCACCCACCACCCAGGACCTTCTGGTTACAAGGCGAGCTAGCTCGTAGAACAATAAACGGCTTACTGGGATCCGATCCAATGGCCCATAAATTCTAACTAATATTTGAAAATTGACCTGATGCTCACAAGCGACTGGCTCTATTCAGGAAGTTAACTTGGGATTCCCGTGAGAAGCTGTAACCAGTAGGGTGCAGCAGGTTTAAGGTGAGGCAGTAACTCATCTAAAAAGATATTGTGAAGTGGTCGCGCTATATTGTGAGTGAACTGGCAGAAGTTAGAAATCATGGGCTGGCTGGCCATTGGATCGGATCCCAGTGAGTGACTTAACTGTCTCCGAGCTAGCTCTCCTTGTAACCAGAAGGTCGTGGGTTCGAACAGCTGTGGTGAGTGCGTACTACTAAGGAGTCCCAAACTATGATGTAGGAAACAGCTGTCTAGTAGTCCCTGAAGGTTTTCCAATAGCCCTCTAAGTCATCAGTAGTAATTCCATACAAAGAAGGAACCTCGGAAACCTTACGCAGAATTCTTAACAAGGCAGGAATAAAAGTGGCTGGCGTTCAAACCCACAAACTCATTTATAAACAAGCTTTGTCAGTTGAAGGATCCTGTGGAGCCTGTAAAACAAAACTATTTAGTTTATCTAATACCGTGCCTGAAATGATTGTCAGGTCAAATACATAGGTCAGTGTAGTAGAACAGGGGCAGTCGGACTAGCCGAACATAAAAGCCTAGCCAAATCTAGATTAGTTGACCCGGGTAAGTTAAGAAATCTAGAGAATATTTCAGCCGCAGATGGCACTAAACGCAATCACATACAACCATACAATAGGATAGGGTAAAGATGACAGTTTTAAAATCTAATGTCACAGCAGATATCTAGAAACTTCTACGACTACACCTACGACAACAAATAGGAGAGAATAAGGAAGACTATAAAATTCAAGTTTCGAAGTCATGTGATTATAATTGATGTGATTATGAACGATAATAAATTGTGTTCGAAATCAGGTCGTCCACTAAATAATACTGTCTGACTGTGTGATTCTCCTAATAAACAAACTAACATGGAGTAACTATTACGCCAATAACAACCTTATCCATATAAGAAACCAAATCCCGAAAGATTCTATATCTAATTGTGTCTATAAAATAAAATGCTTGCTTGGGATGTGATGCAATCTACATCGGACAAACATCCCTAGTGAGAAATGAAAATCAGAAGAAATGAACACCGTAGAGCATCCGTTCGACCACTGAGAAATCCGGTTGAACTAGAAAAGTTTGAAAAATCCTCAATCACAGGTAGTGGTGGTATACACGCTATAGAATCAGGCCACAAAATTGATTTTGACAATATTGAAATAATCCAGGAAAAGCATTTCAGAAATCACAAAGAACGTCTAATATCATCAGAAGAACTTCATATCAAGTGGAATCCAAATTGTCTGACGAATAGGAGTGATGGACTAAAACAGAATCTGACCTGGTTACAACATCCCTACTGTCTTTCATGAAGTGACAAATTCAACACGAATGTGATGAGCAATTTCGTTATGTAAACACACGCTGTTTTTACAATTTTTCACAATTATCTAATCCAACAATCTACACTTGATTTTGTTATCATTACCAACCGGTTAACTTGACAACGCAAAAATGCCCCCTTACTGAGGAACGATGATGAAGTTGTTATATATAAGCTGAGTGGATTTTGTAAATTCTGATTTAATAATACCAGTTTGATAAAGCTAATAACAGCAGCATTAAATAGCGAAACGTCAGTAAAACAACGAGAATATTATTTTGTTTTTCATTCATTCACGGGGAAATATCATAAAAAAACCTTTATTATAATGAATACACCTCTATAATTAAGTTTCTTTTTTGAATATTTATTTTCCGCATATTATAAATGCAAACTTACCGAAATATAACTAGAGACATTTTCTTCTTGTTAGCATTATTATAATCATCTAGACAACGTTCTACAACAGGATACATTTCGCTGATATCTTTAATTTCTTCATAAACTCTATCCTCGGGTAGCGAATCAACATCCATGAAATCTCCGAACATCAGGTAACCTCTTAAGTGTGTTTCATCAATCTAATCCGCATACAGAAAAAAAACAATCAAGAAAAAGGAAGAGAGAGAAGTTACATAAGAGTTAAAATGGGGTACCCTTAGAAAAATAATATAAAGGTTTCTTTCAAAAATGAATAGATAAACTGAAACAAACAAGTCTACAGATTGATTCAGAAATCTAAGTTAAATCAGTTAGACTAATTTGATCAATGTTGACTAGCTATGGAATCCAGGATGCGCATTTCGTCCTATTTGGGACTCGTCAGCTAGTGGGTGTACCTGTATTCCGCGGTGAGCGACGATTAGCCTACTGAGACATGAACACTAGCAGCCCTAGTTTCAAGTATCAAAGCGTGACATGTTAGACCATTTCAGCAATATTTTCACGCTTGATTGGTTGTGTTACCTACTTATGAGTAAATTGGTAAATTATGTATTTTACAAACTACTACGTTTATTTATTAGTTTAAAAACGAGTTGTCTCATTTCAGCCAATTTGCCGATTTAAAAAAGTCTAAATAATCTTTCAAGAGTTAGTTTGCAGGGATTTGATTTGTTTTTCAAGTTTGTTCACTAATCGAGTGATTGATTGATATCAGCTGGAGAACTATTGAAAAACACTGGGGAGAACTGGACAGCTGTCTCGTCCGCCCCCGTTTGGGACTCATCGGCTTGCTAGTGAGTGGCCTGTTATAACTGTAGGGAATTGAATGAAGACGTTTTCACCTTGCTCTGTCTGCGCCTGAACTAATCTGCCTATCTGCTTGTCGTACCTTCCGATTTAGTAAAGCACGCAAATATCAAAAGACAAAGGCTGGACTGTGACTGTGTATTGAAGTGCAACAACGATAAAGAAAGCCATGGTATTTATACATTTTACAACAATATGGACAGCTAACAGCATTTGAAATAATTTATCTTAATAGCCAATAACAAAGTGCGTGAGAGATGATAATATACCATATGTGCGAGATTTGACAGTCAATAACAAAATGTGTGGGAATGATAATATACCATATATGCAAGATTAACAGTCAATACCAAAATGTGTGAGAATGATAATATACCATATATGCAAGATTAACGGTCACTACCAAAATGTGTGAGAATGATAATATACCATATATGCAAGATTAACGGTCAATACCAAAATGTGTGAGAATGATAACATACCATATATGCAAGATTAAACAGTCAATACCAAAATATGTGGGATCCTATCATGGCCACAGAACGAACTTGACTGGAGGTGTAGTGAGAAATCTGTAGGGTGGTATGGATAAATAAATACTTTCCAGTGACATTTTTTGGCGGTTGCGCAATACTATCAGGAATTGGTAGAAGTTAGCATTCATGTGCTGGCCATTGAAGAGTTCGGTCCCAGTGATTGAATAGTCTACAAGCTTTCTTGAAATAGTCAGTGGATGCGTACTGACGGTGAGTCTCAAACTAGGACTGTGCACACCAAAAGAACACAAGATAAATGCCATCTGCAAAATGAATTGCATAGAATGAGAAGAAAAACACTACGGCTGGCCAAAGTAGGTGTTTCTCTTCGACTGTGAATCGGAGAAACTGAACTAGCTGTCAAGAGACACAACATACAGTCTTTCACATCGACGCTTACGGACAACTATGGGCATTAAGCTGACTGGAACAGTATGGAGATTTTAAACAGGTTAAAAAACATCAAAAAAATTCTTGAAAGCCTGGTACTCAGATGAATTAGCGATTAAGAGATACAATATTATGGATGAAATTTATCAACCAATAAAGAATAAGCCAAAGAAAAAACAAAAATCGAATTTTCAAAAGAAAGGATACTCTTTTCTATAACTTCATCATCAGGCTCTACAGTTATATATACACATTATAGTGAATGAATGAATTAGTGTTATGAACAACATTAATGTTGCTGTTTAAATAACATCGAATCAATAATATTGACAGATTACTGCTGAATAGCATCAACATAAAATAAGCTGAATGTCAGAAGAATTAGGAAGGATAATATTACAAATTCATGATTCGGATACGAGTATAATAATAATTGAATTCAATGAAGTACATTCAGCTATAAAAATTCACATGCGAAGAGGAATCCCAAAACAGAATCGCCTGCCTGAATGTCCTCCTTACAAGAAAACCAGATGGTAGCGTAAAGGAAAAGTACATGGACAGGACAATATATACATTTTCACAGCTTCGTTCCTCTCAAGTACAAAAGAAATTTAGTGAAAACCCTCAGCCACACAGTTATAGCTATATGCTCAGAAGAAGTCACTGAAGATGAATTAAGCATTTTATTTGATACTTTGATCGAAAACGGTTATCCCAAAAAATTTATCAAGAAACACATGACAAAGAAAGCGAAAAAGGACTACTCACTATCTGTAAACAGGAAGCCACTTTATATACGACTACAATTCAAGGGCAATATACCAACTGAGATAATAACGAGGAAATTAAGAAAACCAGTTCAAAGAACTTTAAATGCTGGCAAACCACACGTCTTATTCTCTACACGACCGATCATGATTCCTCGACTGAAAGATGAAGTACCCAGTCTAGCCACTTCCAATTGTATCTACCAATTCAACTGCGCTTTTGGAGCGAGTTATATTGGCCATTGCTCTAGGAACCATCAATACTTCGAAATTGGACCATCTGGTTCAAACCCGCCACAAAGACAGAGTTGAAGAATCCTTATCTATAATCTACCGGGTGCCAAATAAATTGCGAAAATCATCGAAGCACTGCATTCTTCAAACAGTAGAGGCTATCGCACTTCGCCTCAAACAACTAGTGCTCTGTGTTTAAAAGCAGCAAGTCCAATCCCTACTACTGCCCTGGCCTTCAGTAGAGACTATAAATTCATGAATTTGTAATATTATCTTTCCCAATTTTTCTGACATTGAGCTTATTTTATGTTGATGCTATTGAGCTGTAATCTATCAATACTATTGATTTGATGTTATTTAAACAACATTAATATTGTTCATAAGACTAATTCATTCATTCACTATAATATGTATATATAACTGTAGAGACTGATGATGACATTACGGGATGACGCACGCGCGCCTTTTGATTCAGTGCGTTACTTTTTGCAGTAATCTATAAAACTTTCATTTCTTTGCTATTGCTCACCACGAAGTTCTGGAAATTATTGAATTCCGTTAACTTTCGAACGCTTAAACCCTGGATTTACTATTATTGACTACTAATACCTATAACAGAGTTTTTGGACATTTGTATCCTTTAAAAACAACCCACACGTAAAATTGTATATATTATTGGATTTATATGTTCAAGTTGGCCCAAGTCAGTGAGTCTGTGATTTTGGTATCATTTTAGTTAACTGTGCTGAACTATATTGCATGTTGTTTTATTGTATCGTTGTTGTCGCTTTTTGCCCTTTTTGCTGTGAATTGTTTTCCTTTTGTTGGTGTTGTTCTGATTGTTTTATCCCTTGTTATCTGATTTTAAGGGGAGCAACCCAAAAGGTCGCTTCTCTCTAAACTTTATCTTAATGTAACCATTCCTTTCTCAGGCGTGAGGCTAGCAACCCCACCCTGTAAACAATATTGCTACAGAATCTTCAGCACGATGAACCTCTTTGCACCAAAAGAAAAAGTCTGTGTGGGGACATGGAACGTCCGAACTATGTACGAGACTGGGAAAGCTGCCCAGATCGCCAACGAGATGAAAAGATACGGAATCCAAGTGCTGGGAATATGTGAAAGCAGATGGAATGGGAGTGGACTCACCAAATTGTCAACGGGTGAGTCAGTGATCTACTCCGGTCACCCAGAAGATAACCACACGCACACCGAGGGCGTGGCTATCATGATGTCACCAACGGCAACGAAAGCCCTGATGCAATGGGAGGCGATCTCGTCCAGGATAATGACCGCCAGATTCAACTCCAAAGGAAGGAAAGTGTCAATCATACAATGTTATGCACCCACAAACAACGCAGACCTCGAAAAGAAAGAAGAATTCTACAGACAACTACAGGCAACAATGGACAATACTCCAGCTGGCGACATGAAAATACTAATGGGAGACATGAACGCCAAACTGGGACCAGACAACACAGGAAGGGAACTCATCATGGGTAGAGAAGCTCTAGGAGAAATGAATGAAAATGGAGAACTCTTCGCCGACTTCTGCGCCTTCAACGAACTGGTGATTGGTGGCAGTGTATACAAGCACAAAGATATCCACAAGGCTACATGGGTGTCACCAGACGGGCAAACCAAAAACCAAATCGACTTCATCTCAATCTCAAGGAAGTGGAGGCGCAGCCTACTGGACACAAAAGCAAGAAGAGGAGCAGACGTTGGCTCAGACCACTATCTCGTACAAGGGACAATCCAAATCAAATTAAAAGCTTTCAGAGAAGGAGGAGCTGCAGATAGACCACAAGCCAAGTTCAACACTCAAAAGCTGAAGGACCAGGCTACAAAGGACATCTTCATTGCAAGCATAAAGGACAAAGCCGAGACACAAATCAACACCAGCGAAGAGGTCGGCGTCGAAAAGCACTGGAACAACTTGAAAACGGTGTGGAGCCAAACCTGCATGGAAGTTCTAGGCAAAAGAAGAGACAGGACAAACAGTGGCTCACTACGGACACTTGGAAACTAATAGAAGAGAGAAGGACAGTGAAACAAAAGATTATCCAGTGCACTGACGAGCAACAAAAACAGGAGCTGAATGCAAGCTACAATACACTGAACAAAAGAGTGAAGAAGAGTGCCAGGGAAGACAAAAGAAAATATTATGAAACCATGGCAAACGAAGCAGAACAAGCTGCAGGCAAAGGAGACCTCGCCACACTCTACCAAACAACTAGGCACCTTTCGGGCAAACGTTCGACACAGATTAAGCCAATAAAGGACGACAATGGAAAGTCAATCACCAAAGAGGTGGAACAGAGAAAGCACTGGGCTGAACACTTCAAAAGACTTCTAAATCGTCCGCCACCTACAACACGCCCAACAATACCAACAACGGAAGCAGAACTACCAGTGAACATCGACCCTCCGACGAAATCAGAAGTCCTGAATGCAATCAAGATGCTAAAAACCGGAAAAGCACCAGGACCAGATGGAATCCCAGCAGAAGCTTTGAAAATAGACCCAGAGACAACAGCGGACTTGATGACACCACTACTGGAGAAGGTGTGGAAAGAGGGCAAAGTACCCGAGGATTGGAAGAACGGATACTTATTCAAACTTCCAAAGAAAGGAGACTTAAGTCAATGTAAAAACTGGCGTGGAATTATGCTTCTGTCCATTCCAAGCAAGATACTAAGTCGCATCATCCTGGAGAGAATCAAACAAGCCCTAGATGAAAAACTTCGTCCGGAACAGGCTGGATTCAGGAGAAACAAATCATGTATTGATCAAATCGCCACTCTACGGATCATCATTGAACAAAGCTTGGAATGGCAGTCACCTCTCTATCTCAACTTCATCGACTTTGAAAAGGCCTTCGACAGCGTCGATCGAGAGGTCATTTGGCAACTACTTCGCTACTACGGGGTCCCATCGACAATTATACATCTCATCCAACAGTTATACGACAATGCTGCATGCCAAGTAATCCACAACGGGAAACTTACGGAAGCCTTCGAAGTGAGGACGGGAGTGAGGCAAGGCTGTCTACTATCACCAATGATCTTCCTGATTGCAGTAGATTGGATAATGCGACAGACAACGGGCAACGAGGAAACAGGCATAAAATGGACTCACACAAAAGACTTGGAGGATCTGGATTTCGCCGATGATATATGTCTGATTTCCCACAAACTGGAAGATATGCAAGTGAAAAGTAACAAGTTGGCAGAAGAAGCATCAAAGATAGGACTTCAAGTGAACATAGATAAAACAGAGGTGATGAAGATTCCTGGCCAACACCAACAGCAACAACAACAGACAACAATCAGCATAAATGGGAAGAACCTGAAAGAAACAACCTCCTTCACCTACCTGGGAAGCATCGTTTCAACTACAGGCGGAACTGACGAGGATATCAAAGCCAGAATCGGAAAAGCAAGACAAGCTTTCATTACTCTCAAATCTGTGTGGAGGTCAACAGCACTCAGCATCAAAAATAAGATCCGGATTTTCAACTCCAATGTGAAGTCAGTGCTACTATACGGATCAGAGACTTGGCGAGTCATAAAGAGCATCTCAAACAAACTTCAGACCTTCATTAACAGCTGTCTTCGCTCAATACTCAAGATCAGATGGCCAGAAAAGATCAGCAACAGGGATCTCTGGGAGCGAACCAACCAGGAACCGATTGTGAAACAAATAGGCAGGAAGAAATGGAGATGGATTGGCCATACGCTGAGGAAACCATCAAGTGACATCACTAGACAAGCCATCACTCGAGTGGAACCCGAAAGGGAAGCGGCGAGTTGGTCGTCAATGCAAGGGTGACTTGGAGGAGGTCATGCGAGGAGGAGATGAAAGCATGTGGACAGACTTGGAGCGGGGTGAAAAAGTTAGCAGAAAACCGAAGGCAATGGAGGTGCGCAGCTGAAGCCCTATGTTCCTCTAGGAACTGAAGGATATAATAATAATAGAGCCTGATGATGAAGTTGTCAAAAAGAGTACTCTTTGTTCAGTATCCATTCTTTTGAAAATTTTAATGGGCATTTTTAATCAGTTTAAAATCGAATTCCAAATTAGTGTTTATGCGAATTAACAGCCAACCACGACAAAGGTTGTCATGAGACACAATTATATCCGATCAGTCATTGTGAACTGAAATAAATTCACTTCATACTAAAGCCTGCACTGATGATATTGTCTAGAAGGATAACTAAATGCATGCAGCCACATGCAGCCAGATCAGAGAACGCAACCACACCTGAGCTACAAATCGCTATAATCTCAAAACTGAATTATCAATGGGGAGAATTTATACTTTGACAAATCCTTGGCAAGGAAGAATAACGCTGTGACTCATTAGGATGACATAACAACAAATTAGCAACTGTTGGCTCGTTTTATTCTATTTTTGTTTTATTTGACTATGCAGTGTACCTGATTTTTCGACTTTTAGAGTCTATTTAAAGCAATGAACAAGTGCACTTTTATTTTTGTTATCTATTTTATTCCTTTACATTCCAAGTGGAACATAGGAGACTTCAAGCTAGAGTTTCGAAGTTTCAGTAGCAGCGGCGTTTACTTTTACGAAATGGGATTGTTAGTCTCATGCCCAACCTTCCTTCTTTACAGGCTTTATTATCGGCTTGGCTGGATTTAGGAGTGCATCGGTTGGAGATCGAATTCTGGACCACGTGTAGTGTGTGGTTGGCAAGCACTTCCCCGCTGAACGGCCAACCAGCTGAGTATTTACATAAAATGATATACTTGTCTAATTTTCTCTTAAAACGAAATATCAGAACACAACTTACCGTTTCCCCTTCCTTCGTAGCCAGATGACCAAATAATTGATCGAATCTCTCTTTGAAATTATTCTCTAAACAACCTCGTATGAAGCTGAATTAATGAAATGAAAAAAAAGAAAACAAAATATTATCTCGGGTTATAAATGTCTTAGTATTATCGGTAGTAATAACTACTTTGGTGATCTTACTTAAATATTTATCATGTCAATTCTATAAGTAAGAAGAGAACACGAAGTTCTATAAGTGACAATTCTTTGTTTTCAAGAGTTAGTTTGCAGGGATTTAGATCTGTTTCAAGTTTGATCAAGGATTGACTGTTTCGTCCCCTAGTTTGGGACTCTTCACCAGTACATGCCCAGGATCTATTGGTTATAAAGCATGCTCGTGAAGCACTTTTTTGTGTACTGTAGAATAACAAATACTAGGTCATTAAAATAGTAGGCTCTGTTGGGTTGTACTGCAACATTTCTTGAACATGCATCATGTTAGCCCACTAGTATCTCTTTGAAACAAATTCAAAGTAGTTTCACTTACGAAATTCCACCTGTTGACTAAATGTCTAGTTGGAAGACTAAATTTTGATTTAACTGGGTATATTCAATACCACTTTGTATCATTTTAGAGATGGTACTTTCACCGTATCACTATATCACCAAGAGGATAAACGAGAACTCTTGGAACTATTAATAAGGCAAAATTATAACTATTCTTTGTATGCTACTTCTGAGAAAGCCATTTTATCATTTGATGTATTCTCACCGTTTACCAATGTTCCATCAAACTAAACAGTGGGCTTCATTTGTAATTACATCGACTTACATAAGGTGAACATGGGAATGTCCACATCACACCTAAAAGAGCTCATACTTCGGGGTACATTAAGTGTCAAATTTCATCTCAACAACTAGATCTATAGATAGGGTGATGGGTTAGCTAGCACACTTTCTGGCTAGTATGGAGAGCAGTACCCTTGCATCTTCTATTTTAGCGCTTAACTCTTACAAAAGATACATGGATGATACGTTTATTATATTCAACGTGAACTAAATTCTGGATCACATCCTGAAAGTATTCATTGACAGTTATCCTGCTATCCAGTTCAACTAAAACATATTTGGAGAATAGGTCTTCGTAAAGCCAAACACTTCTTTGGATAAACAACAAAGTAATGTTATCCAGTGTTGGTTTGTAGGAATTTGATTGGTTATAGGTTGATCACTGACTGATGTCAGTTAAAGAACCACTGGAAAACCAAGGAGCACCGGGAAAATGTTCCCTTCGTCCTAGTTTAGGACTCTTCAGTAGTAGACACCCACCAGAGTTTGTAGTTCGTCGGTGGCACAGTGGTTAGATTCCCGGCCGACGCACACCTGATATCAATGATCGACCTACTGAAATTTTGGCTACCGATATCACATGCTGAAAATTACATACCTGTATAAAAAATACCGAATGAAATCAAGCTATAATAAAATTGAAAAATTAAATTAAAAAATCTCAGGCTCCAGCATGTGGATGATCACAGGCGTCGGTGATGCAGCGGCAGAATGCTCGCCAATCACGTTACACGTGGTCTAGGTTTCGATGCCCCAGCCAACGCATTCTCTAAACATCGCTAAGCCGTTAATTATTCCGGTAAAGAGGGTAGGTTGAGCATGAAGCTAAAAATCTCAAACCACTGTTCCTGAACCTTGAAGGCTCAAGCTTGAAGCTCCATGCTCCACAGGGAACTCAAAGGAGTAATTTCTTTAAAAATGCCTAATACACATACAGCACTAATTTTTTTAACGGGTTCTCCAATTCTCGAAAAAATTACTAACAAATTTCAAATAAATAAGTAATATAATTTTGAAATTGTGTACTCGTTCATAAAAAAAAATCTGCAGAAATCTTGAAGTTGAGTGAAGCGCATTTTTTTCGACTACACACATAGCGAATTTAAGTGTGTTGATTGTTTCATAAGTGCTAGTTCAAAAAGTTGGAAAAAAAAGTGAAAGACCATGTCAACGGAAATACTTGGTAAAAATTCAAGTACAATTAAACTGAAGTGGATGGCGTTGTCGATTTTACCAATGCAATTGTAAAAAAAAATACAAGAATTTGTTTGGCTGGTTGATACAAACAAATTTGTTTTTTGTTTTGTTTTTTGTAATTCTTTCACGTTCCCAGTGAAATATAGGGCTTAGAGCTACAGGCTTGACGTTTCAGTAGCAGTGGTGTTTATTTTCTTACGGGATGAAGTTGCTAGCCTCGTGTCCAACCTTCCCTCTTTACCAGTCTTATGACTGGCTTAGCAAAGTAAAGAAGTGTATCGGTGGCCGAGAATCGAACTCCGAACCATCCTCGTGGTTATTAGTTATACAAATTTTCTGAATATACTTTATAACAGTAATTTCGAGTCAAAGATAAAAAAGCATAAACAACATAATTCCGAAAATGATGTAAGTAGACAGATTATTCAGTGTTAAAAGACTAGCTGTTTATAGTATAATTAGACAAGGAAGTGTTGAAACAAGGACTGACTATAATCAATGTGCAGTAAATGCAGTTTATTGCATGGAGGATTTTATCATGAGCTGAAATTGGTTAGAGAACCACTGGAAAACCTGGGAGCACTGAACAGATGTTTCGTCAGCCTAGTTTGGGTTCGAACCCACGACCTCCCGATTACAAGGCAAGCGCGTAGACTACTGAGCCACTGGGACCCGATCGAATGGTCCTTGAATTCTAACTTCTGACAATTCACGACATAGCGTGACCATTTCATAATGTCTTCTTCGATGAGTTACTGCCTCATCTTCAACCTGCTGTAACCTACCGGTCATTCCACGTTAACTGCCTGAATAGAGCCAGTCGCTAGTGAGCATCAGATTAATTTTCAAGTATTTGTTTTGTAGGGATTTAGTTTGATTGTATGGAGGAGTGTACTGATGAAGAGTCCCAATATAGGACGAAACAGATGTCCAGTACTCCCAGGTTTTCCAGTGGTGCTTTAACTGATGTCAGTTCATGATAAAATCCTTCATGCAATTAAACAGAAAACTCCCTATAAAACCAATACTTGAAAATGTAGTTGAACTTATGGTGGTAAATATATAAGGAAGAGCTGAGGGGAGAGAGTCTACTAGATTTTATGAGCACATCCCTAAAAGTTTCTGTATAAAAGGCAGAAAAGTGTTCTCAGTTGCAATTACCAGCCATTTAATTGACATTGGTGAGTGAAGTGATTTTGTTGGTTTGTGTGAGACATCAATTCCTTAAGGTTTGAAGAGTCTCGTAGTGATTTTCTTTGTCCTTTCCTTGAGGGCTTTCGGTTTGATAGGCTGGCTCGGGGGTATGTGTCTTTTAATGAAATTCCGTGGATATCCATTCTTTTTGAAGACTTTCATGAGATATCTTTCTTCCTTAAGGTGAGAGTGCTCCAATGAGTCCTGACTGGCCCTGTTGAATAGTGTTTGTATGCAATTACTTTTGTGTGTTATATCAATCAAAAGACTCAACAACGAGTGAAGATAAAGCCGACACCATCTACAAAATAATTTGCAACAACTGCGAAAAACACTGCATTGGCCGAAGCGGACGCCGCTCCGTCTTCGTAGCCATGAACATAAACTAGCTGCCAAAAGGCATGACATCCACTCCCTCATATCGCCTCACTGCATACAGACAACCACGGACACCAATTCGAGTGAGAGAACGTTCAAATATTAGACAGAGGAAACAAAAAGAATGCTGGAGAATTTTTAGAAGCCAGCCTGGTATTCCAGTGAATCATCAATCAATAGACACATCGAGATAGACAAAATTTATCAACCGATAATAAAGAAACCTCACACACAAAGGGTTAAAGTTTAAGTCAAAGAAACAATCAGTTCCAATACAAGTAGCCTAGACGGTGTGAAAACACAAAAACAACCAATCACGTTGAGGGAGAGATGATTAATAAACTCGTGGAGAAATCTCAAAGCTCACTTCAAATTGAAGTCTGCGCTGAAGATGTCGCCTAGTAGGGTGATGAAAGTTTCGCAAATTAACTATCCAGCTCAGAGAACACAACAACGTCAAAAACATAATGAACTGTCAGAAGTTAGAATTCATGGGCTATGGAGTTGGCTCCAAATGACTGAATGATCTACGAGTCCACTTTGTGATTTGAAAGTCCAAGTTTCGAAACCCAGGAAGGGTTACTGTGAAGTGTTCCAAACAGGGACGAAACAACTGTCAAGTTTTCCCTGGTGGTTTACAATGGTTCTCTAAGTGATGCCAGCCAGTGATTAAACCTATAACCAATCAAATCCCTAAAAACCCACACCTGACAGTTACACTTTTAACACTGAATTATTTGTCTGTTTACATGATTTTTGGAATTATGTTGCTTATATACTTGCTGCCTTTTAGTCAGAGTCACTGTGTATGTTCAGAAAAGCGTTTATAATTTGTAATTCGAGGATTTCTTTTAAGGGCTGTACATATTCATTTCGACAGAAAGAAACAAAAACATTTTAATCAAGGTTCTCGACCACACTTGATGTAAGCGTTGATTTTGTTGATGAAGTTCTTTGGATGGTTATTTTTGTTGAGAGTCTCAATAATGTTTGATATTGGTTCTTTTCCTTTCGCATCTTTTAACATTTCAAAAAGTGTGCTCGTCTGAGAAGACATGAAGCAACTGAAATCTTTGCGCTGATGGGGTGTGATGATCTGAAGTCTAAATATTTATTGGAGTGCGTTTTCTTCTTGAATATGGAGATACTAAAATATCCATTTTCCTTCCTCTTAACTAGGCAGTCTAAATAAAGCTATTAGCATTAAATAGCGAAACGTCAGTAAAAACAATATCGTTTTGTTTTTCATTCATTGGGAATACAAAATCCTTTTTTTATAATGAATATCATTTATCCAATGCACAAACTTTTTCAAACTGTTAAAAGTGAACTTGGTTTGGACATATATAAAAACACTTTAACTTACGTATACAACCATGTTCTATCAGTATCATCTGTTAAACGATCATAGAAGACTCGCATAACTTCATGTGCCCATAAACGTGAAAATGTTCGTTTACTTTCAACACGATCTTTTTGTATTAAACACACGCCCAGAATAACACGACTAAAATCTCTTAAATTAAATAAATAATGAGATTTAGCCGGTGTAGGCAAAAGATTCTCGATTGCAGCTTTATATACCTCCAGTGTTGATGCTACAATTACCTGACCAATAGTTATGTATTCTGAACTAAATTCTTGTGACTATAAGAAAACAAAAAGTTTCGAGATATAGATGTGTTATTGAATATTGATGAAGTCAATAATTAAAAAGTATCTAGAAACAAAATAGTTCTTACACTTTGAAAAATGAAGAAAAACACTTTGATGACGAATGTTCATAAGCATAAGGCCTAGGTTTGTGTCCACCTACTGAACGCTTTCAAACGTCAACGATGATGAATCTCATATAATTGAATTTTTGGATTTTCCCATCGATTGATTGGACCGAAGTGTTCGGTCTCAGCTTGATATGTTGGCTTCTTGTGCAGACGCCTCGATGATGTCTGAGCATGTAATTAGAATTAAAGTGGATGATGGTGACTAGCAGTGGAATCCACCAGGATGCAAATTTCGTCCTATTTGGGACTCGTCGACTAGCTGGATGTACCTACATTCCCCAATGACTGAGTGATGAGGTTCCTACCGAGGCTCAAACTCAGTTACCATAGTTTTAAACGTCAAAGTGTTATCCACTAGATCACTCGGGCCACCAGAAGCCGACATGTCAGTCTGAGACTGAGCACTCCCGTCTAATTAATCGATGGGAAAATCTAAAATTCAGTTGAATATTTAATATGACCCGTTGCACTAGAAGCAGTGACTCTCGTGGCCCAATTGGTCTAGTGGATAACGCTTTGGCGTTTGAAACTATGGGTACTGGGTTCGAGCCTCTGTGGGAGATCATCACTCACTGGGGAATGCAGGTACATACAGTGACGAGTACCGAATAGGACGAAATGCACATCCTGGATTCCACTGCTAGTCACCATCCACCAATTAGATGAATCTTATAGTATGATGATATTAGATGGTTGGAGGCAATCGGCCACAGGGAGCCTTGGACCTAGGTTTAGTACTAATTGGAACTCACCATTCAGCAAGGCGAATATGCAACCTCAGTTCGCAGCCACAGCCCCACCATGGATAGAACCTGGGACCTTCAGGCTACAAGACAAAGCCTATGTCTTGTTCCTATCAGGCTCTGTAGTACGTACTACTGAGGTGTCTCAGAACAGAATGAAAAGTGCTGCCTGATTTTCAATTATCCCTTTTAACTGATTTTGGTTCATAATGAGATTTACTAGTTGAAAATGATCTAAAATCTCAATAATCCTGTAATGTAAACTCTGCTTGGTTGATATCACAAAGGCATAATGTAAATTATGCTATTGTCTAATACAGAGACTTATTTTCTTATCTTCTTTCAGTCATTATATCAAAATAATTTTTCGGTTGAAGGATTACACCATGTGCCGACATCAGTTAGAGAACCATTAGAAAACCAACTGAGAGTACTCGACAGCCATTTCGTCACCCTAGTTTGGGATCCTTCATCGGTATGCACCCACTCCACTGAGGTTCGAACCCAAAACTTTCTGGTTACAAGGCAAGCTAGCCCGTAGACCATCATCGAAGAAGACATTGCGAAGTAATCGTGCTATGTTATGAGTGAATTGGCAGAAGTTAGAATTCATGGGCTGGCTAGCCGTTGGATCGGGTCCCAGTAGCCTAATGTTCTACGAACTCACTAGCCTTGTAACCAGAAAGTCTTGGGTTCGAACAGTGGCGGTTGGTGCGTAGTGATAAATAGCCCCAAGCTAGAATGTAGCAGACATCTATCCAGTACTACCAGCTGGTTTTCCACTGGTTCTTTGACTGATGTATGTCTTCTCATGATGAAGTCCTCCAATCAATCAAACAAACAAAATTCCCTACAAAGCCACTACTTGAAAAAAAGTAATTATTCGCTGAAATATATAAGCATGATTTCTGGGCTGTGTAGTGTGTGGTTTTTAGCTTTACCATGAATCTCATAAAAGTCAATATGCTAGGTATGTTAGGTAAATAAATTATAAAGTGAAATTAAGTAGAACCCTGATTAGATTCAACCGCTGGGACAATGACAACTTTCTCTTAGTAGAAACGATATGCTTTGTTTAGCATGTCACATAACTTACTAAAGTAAAAAATTAACGCAAAAACCAAAAACAACACTTCGATAGTTATATCTCATCAAATCAACAAGTAACTTCTTCAGTCATCATATTTCTCAAATGAATCTGGAAACATTTAATGCTTTTACTCTAATCATTATAATAAAGGTGTTTTTTGTATTTCCCAATGAATGAAAAGGACAAAACGATATTGTCGTTGTTTTTACTGACCTTTCGCTATTTAATGCTGCCGCTAATAGCTTTATAAAAGTATTATTAAACCGGCATTTACACAATCTCAGCACATATATATAACAAAGGGTTAAGGGGTGAGAAAAATAGACTTAGTTCAACTTAAAAGGGCATATTGAAAGTCAAAATAACAATGAAGATCACTAAAACCAAATATCAAAGGTAATAGTTCATCTGTTATGATTGTGAAATACTTGATCACCGTTTGTCAGTCTGGGGTCGTTTTTGGTTATCAAGTTGGTGAATTGGTAAACATAACAAAATCAAGTGTAGATTGCTGGATTTGATCAGTGTGTAAAATTATGAAAGTAGTGTGTGTTTACATAGTGAACTTGCTTATCACATTTGTGTCGATTTTGTCACTTCATGAGGGAGAGAGGTGTTGTAACCAGGTCAGATTCCGTTTTAGTCCATCATTCCTATTCGTCAGACAATTTGGATTCCACTTGACATGAAGTCCTTCTGATGATATTAGACGTTCTTTGTGATTTCTGAAATGCTTTCTCCGGATTATTTCAATATTGTCAAAATCAATTTTGTGGCCTGATTCTATAGCATGTAGACCACGACCACTACCTGTGGCTGATGATTTTTCAAACTTTTCTAGTTCACTAACTGGATTTCACGGTAGTCGAGAAAGATGTTCTATGGTGTTCATTTCTTCTGATTTTGGTTTCTCTGGCGATGTTTGTTCGATGTGTATCGCATCACATTCCAAGCATTTTATTTTGTAGACACAATTAGATAGAGAATCTTCAGGGATTTGGTCTTTTATATGGACAAGGTTGTTTCTCAGTATGTCTGATGTTTTGAAGAAAACTCTGATGTCGAGCTTATTGAGTACTCTTCTGATATCGTCTGACGTTTCTGATGATCTGTATGAAATGACAACTGTTGATGTCCATGTTTTCGGAATTAGTTTTCGGCCATACTTAATGTCTGTGTTGGTTTTGTTGATGAAGTTCCTTGGGTAGTTGTTTTGCTTGAGAGTTTGATATTTCTTCTTCTTTTTCTTGCTCATCCGTTATCAGAGAGTGTGCTCGTCTAAGAATACTTGAAACAACTGAAATCTTTGCGCTGATGGGGTGTGATGATCTGAAGTTTAAATATTTATTGGATTGGGTTTCCTTCCTGAATATGGATATACTAAAATGTCCGTTTTTCTTTCTCTTAACTAGACAGTCTAGAAATGGTAGTTCACCGATGTCTGATTCTGCTTCCGAAGTGAACTGGATTTTGGGGGATACACATTTTATTTTCTCCAGAAATGATTTGTGTAGATCTTGTTTTAGTACTACAAAAGTATCATCCACATATCTTAACCATATTTTAGGAGCGAGTATTCTTGAACCAACGACATTGGTTGGGATCGCGCTAAATCACGAATCGGTAGAAGTTAGAATTCATGCGCTGGCTGGCCATTGAATCGGGTCCCAGTTGTTGTTGAATGGATACGCGCTTGCTTTGTAACCGGGAGGTCCTGGGTTCGAACCCTGGTGGTATGTGCGAGCTTTTTACTCTAATAATAATAATAATAAAGACATTTAAATATTTAAATGAAAACAAAACTATAACACTGGAAAATTACAACTGATAAATCTTTTTCAACCTACCCGCATATAAATACTCATTAGAGTTGAGAATATTTTCGTCATAGTTTCATCACTGAATGGTGTCATACTGATCACATGAAAATGTCGCATAAACCGTTGTGTTACATCATTGCGGCCACCACCTGGAGGTCCCATAGCTCCAATCAAGTGAATATCTTGTAATGTCAGCTTAGTAGTATCTTTCAGATCATACCTAAAGTATAATGACAGAAGAGGACAAACTATACAGTTCTATGCTGCAATGAAAATGACTAGAATTATATATATATATATACTTCGCCGATGAAATATCTATGTCTGATTTCCCACAAACTGGAAGATATGCAGGTGATAAGCAACAAGCTGGCAGAAGAAGCATCCAGAGAAGATAGGACTTCAGGTGAACATAGAAAAAACAGAGGTGATGAAGATTCCTGGCCAACAGCAACAACAACAACAGATAACAATCAGCATAAATAGGAGGAACCTGAAAGAAACAACCTCCTTTACCTACCTAACTACCTTGGAATCATCGTTTCAACTACAGGCGGAACTGGCAAAGATATCAAAGCAAGGATCGGAAAAGCAAGACAGGCTTTCATTGCTCTTAAGTCTGTGTGGAGATCAACAGCACTCCAATGTGAAGTCACTGCTACTATACGAATCAGAGACTTGGCGCGTCATGAAAAGCACTTCGAACAAGCCACAAACCTTCATCAACAGCTATCTTTGCTGAGTAATCAAGATCAGATGGCTAGAAAAGATCAGAAACAGGGGTCTCTGGGAGCGAACCAACCAGAAACTGATTGTGCAACAAATAACCAGGAGGAAATGGAGGTGGGTTGACTACACTCTGAGGAAACCATCAAGTGACATCACTAGACAAGCCCTCGAGTTGAACCCAAATGGGAAGCGGCGAGTTGGTCGTCAGTGCAAGGGTGCCTTGGAGGAGGTCATGTGGAGAGGAGATGAAAGCATGTGCGCAGACTTGGAGCGGCGTGAAAACTCTAGCAGAGAACTGAACGCAATGGAGGCGTGCGGCTGAAGCCCTCTAGGAATTAAAGGAAATTATATATATATATATATATATATATATATGTAAAGTTTTCTATAGTTGGTTTGCAAGTATTAGTTTTGTTTTTACGAGTAGATCACGGATTGATATCAGTTAGAGAACCATTGAAAACTAGCCACATGTAATACTGGACGACTGTTTCTTCTGTCCTAGTTTGGGGTTCGGGCGCAGGACCTTCCAGTTACAAGTCAAGCACGTTTATCATTCAGCCACCACTGGCATCCAATCCAATGGCCAGCCAGCGCATTAATTCTAACTTCTTCCAATTCGCGATTTAGCGCGACCGCAACCAATGCCGTCGATGTGACATCCATCCTCACATTTGAATGAATGGTATACGAGCTTGTCTTGTAACCGGAAGGTCCTGGGTTCGGACCCTGTCCGTAGGTGCATGTTTCCCATGATTCCCAAACTAGGCTGATGAAACAGCTGTCCATTACCCTTGTGCTGGTTTTCAACGATTCTCTAACTGATATCAATCCGTGATAAACTCGTAAAAATAAATAAAGTTAATTATAAGATTCAAGTCAGTTCAAACAGTTGGGTGATGTATAATACTAAGTTATTTTCACCAGTAGATGTATAGAAGATAACATTGTTGAGAAGGACTATTTCATTAGTGTCTGGATGGGGATTATTCATGAATTAAAAGAGTTCAAACACACTGTAGCACTCCAGTGTTGAAAAGAATGGACGAAAAATACTTACTAACCGTTTTCAAAAGGAATGGATACCCTTCCAATTTCATCAAAAAGTGTTTAATCCCGAGTCATAACACTAACCATACTCAAAGAACCATACAAGAAAATTCATTTTACCATATTACAAAAAAAAAACATTTCTAAAATAACCATTTGAAACAAACATAGCACACAAACTAACATGGTCACTTCATCCAGCATTTTGTGCAGACCAAAGGATCCAACAGTAAAAGAAGACAAGATTATCAATATCATTTACAAAATAAAATGCGTCAAGTGTGATAAAAAAACACTACATTGATCAAAGTGGGAGACCCCTTCGAATCAGAATCCAAGATCAAAAACTGGCTGTGAAAAGACACAATATGCATTGCTTCATATCAATACGTGTAGACAACGACGGACATAATTTCAGTTGAAGAGAATGTAGGAATTTTAAACAAAGGAAATACCAGAAGTAATGCTTGGATATTTCTAAAACCCTGGTACTCAAAAGAGCCAGAGATTAAGAAACACGCATTACTACAGATCAAATGTACACCAACTAATAAAAAATAAATCACATGACGAGTAAGTCTAAACAAATTCCAAGTCAATAAAAATGTAATTTAACAAACAATCAAGACAATTCAAGTATTGGTTTGTAGGGATTTAGTTGATTGATATAAGTATAAAACTTGGGCACAGTGGTAGAGTATAACACTATTATAGATGAGATTTTATTTTGATAAATCACACAGTGTTGTACAGTTATATTAACTGATGACGTTTCGAGCACAAATCTTATGTTTGGGAGTCGCGCTATGTAGTGAATCGGCAGAAGTTGGAGTTCATGGGCCATTGAATTGGGTCTTACAAGGCTTATGGTCTACGAGCTCGCCCCGTAGTCAGGAGGTCGTGTATTCGAAACCCGGTGGGTGCGTACTGCTGAATAGTCCCGAACTAGGACGAAACAGCTGTCCAGCTCTCCCAGCTGGTTTTTCAATGGTTCTCTAACTAATGTCAGCTCATGATTAAATCCTGTAACCAAGACAATGTTTATCAGGAGATAGAATTATATCCATTGACGGGGAATTCAAACAGGTTCACTTTACATTAAAGCTTGAGCTCGAGGATGTTGTCTAGAAGGATAGCGACAGCTTGACAATTGAGTCAGAGAAAAACAGCTAAATCAAAATCGACCAACTGAGCTACAAATCTTTTCCATGATGTAAAACCGGTGTTCTACTGTCAACCACCATGTAGTGAACAATCAGCTGATTTGGTTGAGATGTTTTAAAATGATGATCACAATGCATCTATGTGTACATGTAATTGAATAGGATTAAAATCAACTCAAAAGAAAAAAAACAATTGAGCTTATCAAAGACGGCGTATTTCTCAATGTAGGCATTAGTGTGAAGTAAATTGTAATTTGATCTTCGGGGTCTTATCTCTTATTAATCCGATCTTCGGATATAATCATTAGTTTGAATTTATCACTAAAACAATATACATAGAAGTCAAATAAAAAGAAAATACGAAATAGCCGTTAAAACTTATGTCACTAGTGGTTTTCCCTCTGATAGTGTATCTCTATTATGCCTGATAGTATAAAAAAAGTGTTGCTAAGCTATTCAAATACATAAGATTATGCTTGCAATAGGAGTCGGGTATATTTTTCTATAATATATATAATTGAATGTACCGTTTATTCATGAATTAGGAAAGCATAGATTAGTTTACTAACTGGAGAAATGTTTTCTCTTAACAACTTTGTTTTTCAAGGTGTACAGTTGTATTTTTAATATGTGAAAAGCCAGTTATTCGCTTTAATATAAGAATAGAACTTGTGCAGTGTGGTAGAATATAATTTCGTTGTGGATAAGATTTATTTTGATAAAGTCTTACAGTGTTTGTTATACAGTTGTAATTACTGATGACCATACGTTTCGCGCACAATTTATTACTGCTCATAATCATATCAACACACTACTCATCACACAACTCTCCGAATTCCTTCATATAATTCGATTATTTCTCATCGCTTGACTTGATCGGTAGTTGTAGTAGTATTTCCCATATTTCCAATTTGACTGATGAGTCATTCCTGTTACACGTGTGTCGGGTGTAGATTATTCTAGAAGAAAAACCCAGTACTGAACAGCTGTTTCGTCCTAGTTTGGGATTCTTCAACAGCATACATCCACAATACAGGGGTAGAACACAAGACCTTCTGGTTACAAGCATAGCGAGCTTGTAGGACATTGAGTCACTCGGACGCTATCCAATGGCCAGCCAGCGCATTAATTCTAGCTTCTGCCAATTCGTGATATAGCCCGACTGCCTCATTCTCGAACCCCGACGGGTGCGCACTGCTGAAGAATCCTAAACTAGGGTGACGAAACAGTTGTCACGCACTCCCAGCTGGTTTTCCAATGGTTCACTAACTGATGTCAGCTCATAATGAAATCCTTCAACGAATCAAACAAAAACCCTAAAATATACCAATGCTTGATAAAAGATTCAGTAACCAACCAATCTGTCTACCTACCTACATTACTTTTAAGAATTTTGACTGTGTTTCATCCACCCTATTGTGTGGTTGTGTGCTAATGCATGCAGTGCAATGCACTTCTGAGTTTTTTTCGCAATTACTTATCTTCGTGTGATCAATCATTCTAACCTCAGCTACTCCTGATCCACTAGTGTGACTCATCAGATGTCTCAGATGTCCCCTCCTTATATGGCAAAACTACTGAGGATGCCTTACATTATTTCTAATTCATGTTAGCATTATTAGTTTCACCATCTTTCTACCTTGCTTTCCACGTTTTCTGATCTTCCTAATGAATTTTATAGGATAGTTAATTATTTAACACCAGAATTAAGGTCTTTTGTTGTGCTACTTAGTGCTATAGCTCGGTTTGTTAAACACCTAACTAAGTCTGCCTTCACAGACAGATAATAAACAGATGAGACGAATTAAAATCTGAATACCTATCAGAATGCGTTGACTTTGTATAAACGTTAGTATGGTTGATTACTGAATTTCTGTCCACAGAATAATCTACACCCAGCGCGTGCAATAGGAATAACTCATCACTCATATGGGAAATATGGAAAATACTGGTATCAAGTTAAGCGCTGAAAAATAATGGAATTACATAATTGAAGTTTTGGATTTGTGTGATGAGTAGTGCCTTGATATGAATGTGAGCAGTAATAAATTGTGCCCGTAACGTGTGATCATCAGTAAATATTACTGTATAGCGGAGTTGGTGGCACTAAAATCTCTCAAGTCAGTACGAATAATCGATACAATAGTGCCACTTATTATAATAAAGCTTTTTGTATTTCCCAGTGAATGAAAAACAAAACGATATTGTTTTTACTGACGTTTCGCTATTTAATGCTAATAGCTTTATCAAAGTGCCACTTATTGCCTTTTTACACAACAGAAATACTATTGAACACCTTAAAAACAACAACTTTTTCTCTGCCAAATAAACCTTCTGATCTCAGTCAGTACTCATCATTCATTTGGTCTTCAACAGATGCGTAAAAATGGTATTACTCTTCAGTTAGTAATGCATATGCTTCGTTAAACCTTACAACCCAGTAAGATTAAGTTTTTTGTAAATACGGTCTTCCTCCAGTTACATTAAAATTGGCCAGTCCAACTGGTGAAACTGGTGTAACTTGTAACCATAAGATAGTTGCTATCTATGTGATTGTGGTGGATTGCATAATGTGAACATTAAGCTAAGTAATGGAGATAATATTTAAGATTTCTGTTAGACGTGAAGTTTAGATTCAGTTTATTGATTGATAATCAAGGGAATAGAGTTGTCACAGTCCTATTTCAGGTGATAAGGAAGGTGACTCATTAAAAAAAGATATTCTCCTGTTTTCAGTTGTATAAAAATTAAAAAATGATACTTTTATCAGGAGGGATGCAAACTGCTGACTTTTCAAGAAGTTCAACTGTAGTCACTCGTCCATAAGCTTCATTGGCGACAAAAGAGTTGAATTCTGCACTTTACTGCTTAAGTCTGATCTTAAAGCGGGCAATGAGAGATTGATCTTCTAACCGAAACTAACAGCTGCAGGGCAGTTCACCATCCTTGACGGTTAAACGACAGGTAGTAAGAGAAATTTTATGTCTCCTCAAAGCACCTAGACTTCCAAAGATCTACGCTAAAGATATTATCCACAAAAAAAGGTGAGAACCGCCGAACCAAATTTCTGCGTAACCGATACCCTCAAATATATATATATATATATATGGCGCTCAGCACTCTTGGCTTTGAATCTAGCAACCCCAGTTGGCATCTCACCGAGACCTCTGGTGTTTCGGTGGTTCATTGGTAGAATACTTGCCATCCACGACGCCTCATGAGTCTCGCGGTCCAGTCCGCTGATGACACACTCCTAAACCTCGCCAAGTCGGTATAGAATCTGGTAAAGTGGGAATGTTGGATGTGAAGCTAGCAACCTCGTGCAGTATAAAAAATAACACCAGTGTTACTGATACTTCAAAGCTCAAGCCTGAAGTCCTATTCTCCCCTAGGAACGCAGAGGAATAAATAAAAAGAAATAAATATATTTAATGAACAGATTTTTAAATGACCAATTTCTTAAAGAAATACTCAAAACACTCTGTTGTCTATGGTTTGTTTAAAATGAACTAGATCATATAAATGTTTACTAACCAATAACCATGATCAATCAGCATTCTCAATAATTCTACTGGTGGTTGAGCTCCATAGATTTCTTTAGTTGGCATATTTAAATCATCTACGAAGAGAATAGCTGTTTTACCCATTGGTGGACCATAAATCCCTTTACGTCTTCTATCGATCTTTGACATAACAATAAACTGAAAAAGAAGATAAAAGTTAGGTGAAGTAGTTTTAGAATCTGCTTACTCAGATTACATATCATTCTCCTGATTTTTTGTATAAAAGAACGTGATAACGAAAGTGAGTTGCACACTCATCGATGATAGCACGTAGTTCCCTAAAGTATGGACGGTGAGGTGGTGTTTAGACACATAGTAGTTAACAGTCAAAAATAGAGTAGAAAAGTTAAGGTTTCAGTAGGAATACTGACACGAATTTAATGCTCTTCTTCTAATGGATTGTGTGGTATAGCGTTTTGCTTTAACAATTGTCATTGGTGCTCGACACGATTTTTTATCTATCTTTTTATACTACTTTTAACTTTTTAAGTAGATGGTTAAATTATTCTCTTTTTCCCATTAAACCATTTATTGCACCAATGTAACAAGACATCTTGGAACATCATAGTGGGCGGAAATAGAGCTGAAAAGTTGGGAGGGGGGAGGGTTTCAGCACCAATACCGATATGAAGAAGTCCACATCTTCTTTTTTTAATGAATTGTCGAATATGCTGTTTTGCAGTAACAGTCATCTTTCCAGTATTCGACACATTATTTTTTCCATTAATTAAAGATGCCCGTTGAGAATTTCGAAAAATAGATTAGTGAACAAAGAACATTATTCTTTTCGGTAACTTCATCATCTAGTTTTACATCCATATGCATCCATAATAGTGGGAGAATGATTGTTATTGACAATATTAGTGGTTTTTAACAATAAGTGACATCGAATCACTTAGATATGAATTCTAAAAGTTATTTGTAAATAGATTATAATCCAAAATATATGTGTGCATATCGTCATATGTATAATTATGATACCAAACTGAACACCAATATTACAAAGTTAATGACTATGAATGACAATGGATACATAGTAATGAATTCTCATGAGTCATGTTCATGTTAAATTCCATTCATATTAATTATGCACTTTAGGTGCGTCCGTGGCACAGAGGTAGAGCGCTCGACGACCACGCCTCAGGTGGTCCGAGATTCTATCCCTGGCCGACAAGGCATTCCTTTACCTCGCTAAGCCAGTAATAAGACTAATAGAGAATAAAAGTTTGGGAAGCATGAGGCTAGCAACCCCATCCTGTAAAAATAACCACAACTGCTACAGAAACTTCAAGCCTGTAGCTTGAAGCCCTATGATTAACTGGGAACGTGAAGGCAGAAAGGAAGAAAGCGGACTTCAGGTGGGAGGACTTTTTATTTCATTTCTTATTATAGTTTGATTCCACATGAAATTTCGATACAAGTACGGAATTTTCAGCATGTGCTATTTACAGCCCGAATTCAGCAGGCTGACCATTGATATCATGTGTGCGTCGAACCCTGGACCATGTGCATAGTCAGGGAGCATCCTAACCGTTGTGCCACAAACGCACAAATAATGGGCCAATCCTCGAGGTGATGCAATACCAGGCCGACCCGTGGATGGGGTTGAGGAAGCTGCGTAAGCGAAGAATACAGGTAGTTTCACTAGTCTCAGTTTAGAGACCGTTGCAGAAAGTACATTGCAAAGAACAGATACTACACGCTGATCTTAGCACAGACAGCCGAGCAGCGAATGATCACGTCAAGGACGGGGGGAGAGAACAAATTTCAGGTAGAAGGTTATTTGCGTTGCATGTGTATCAGTGTGTAAGTTAACAACTACGTTTCAAATGAGAGAACCAAAGGGTAGTCATTGCGAATGTAATAACGAGATGTAGCGAAAAATTTGTGTATTAGATGGAAGGCCACATCAAGAAGAGGCAGACATTTTTCAGCTATTTCTTCATACTACTTTTAATTATCAATTAGCACCATCGAATAGCTGAGTTATTCATTTTTCCCGTCTTTTACTTCGTCTACCCGTAGCTTGACTCACCTGTTACTTGTTCTATTTTCTTAACGTTTCTTCTTTCATTGGTTGGGCATCAGTTAGAGAACTATTGGAAAACCTAAGAGTATTCGACAGATGTTTTGTCCTTCCTCGTTCGGGACCCTTCATCAGTACGCACCCACCTCCACGGTTCGAACCCAGGACCTTCTGGTTCCAAGGCTAGTGAGCCCGTAAACCATTAGGTCACTAGATTTTCTTTCGTTTTCAGTGTTTTGTTAAGTGGTCGTGGTTCTTGAAGATATCCGAACCCCCTTATCCAGCCAGCTATTGAAACAGACTTTTCAGACTGAATATGAATAACTTCCTCTGGATACTTAACATAACCTTGGTAAAATACGTAAGCCAAGCTTTTTCAACCAATAAAAAATTAAGATTTTCATTATCCTTAATGTCAACTTCTCGCATTCTCTACAATCCTTTTATTCAAATGCCTTCTAGACCACTGTCGCTTTATTTATTACTTGAGTAGTTGTTTCATATTTTAATTAGTGAGAAGGTAAACAGTAAATAACTCTACTAGCGTGTTTTACGGGTTGATCACGGATTGATATCAGTTAGAGAACCATTGAAAACCAGGGAGTACTGGACAGCTGCTGTTTCATCCTAGTTTGGGAATCATCGGCATTACGCACCCACTGGGATTCGAACCCGGGACCTTCCGGTTACAAGGCAAGCTCGTATACCATTCAGCCACTGGGACCCGATTCAATGGCTCGTGAATTCTAACTTCTACTAATTCGTGATTTAGCGCGACCCCAACCATTGTCGTTGGTGGGACATCCATCCACACACGTGACATCTAATTGGACCTCACTGGTCACGACTTCTCACTAGAACTCAGGAAACTCCAACCTGTAGCAAGTCACTAGCGAGCATCAGATTAACTTTCTATAGTTTGGTTTGTAAGGATTAGTTATGTTTTACGAGTTGATCACGGATTGATATCAGTTAGTAGAAGTTAGAATTCACGAGCCATTGAATCGGGTCCCAGTGGCTGAATGGTATACGAGCTTGCCTTGTAACCGGAAGGTCCCGGGTTCGAATCCCAGTGGGTGCGTACCGCCGATGATTCCCAAACTAGGATGAAACAGCAGCTGTCCAGTATTACATGTGGCTAGTTTTCAATGGTTCTCTAACTGATATCAATCCGTGATCAACCCGTAAAACATAACTAATCCTTACAAACCAAACTATAGAAAGCTCCTAGTGTGTGTTATATTGCAAGTGTTGAATTACCAAAAAAGTAAGCGATAGTTATTCCCACAAACTCCGTCTGAATTTAACCAATTTTTATTCTTGAAGTAATCGGGTGGACGATGACTAACAGCGGATGTACTCAAAGTCCGTATGTACCTGCATTCCCCAGTCAGTGGTCTTGTCCTAAGTAAGGTGTTTGACTCCTGAACCCATCATTTCAAACGCCAAAACTTCATCCAACAGACCTCCCGGATTACTCAAGCCACCAAGAGGTGCAAGAGGTGTGGAATTAATCAAATGGAAAATTAAAAACTGGATTAAGAAGCAATCATTATAGTCTTTTTGAAAAACGATAATTTGCATATTAAATTCTTGTATAATGATGACTTTTGGCTAGTAATTTATTTAATACGGGTGTAAATTATGTCTCCACAACTTCCACCATTGATACAAATCACAGTAATAGATTGTCGGAGGCGATCGGCCACAGGAAGCCCTCCACCCTAGGTTTCGAGTTGGTTGGTACTCACCAGTCAGTAAGGTGTATCTCTGTAACCTTTAAGGAGTTAATGTCCCTTCTAAGATTCGAAACCACATCACCCAGTTCTTTAGTCACAGACTTTGCGACTCAGCTATCCTGGTTCGTGACTGACATCCCGTAGGACTTTTACGGATACTTAGATTGGACAGTGTAATGCGTCTAATCTTTTGTTTTTTGTTGCAGACTCAGTCCCAATGAACTGGATTGGCTAGCCACCTAAAATGGTGGACACATTGCAAAACTGACTGATAGAATTCAGTCTCTGAACCAAACAAAGGATAAGATACACTTAACAATCTAAGTACAGATCATGATAACGAACATAGCTTCGAGGTTATAATTTAAGCGGAGGTAGCCACCAGCAGAGCTCAAGTCCGCTGCTTCCTCCTACTTATCACTTTCATGAAGTCAATATACTTAGAGAATATCACTGAAAACCAAGTGCCAAAGGAAAGCTATTTCATTCACGCCTAGGACTTTTCATCTGTCTACATAAATAATAACTAGACTGAAACCGTTCCCCAGTAGCTGGCTGGCTTTCAGCATTATTTCAGGTTTGACCACGAATTGATATGTTAGAGAGCCATTGAAAACCTAGAAGTACTTGACAGTTGGTTTTCCAGTGATTCTCTAACCAATGTCAGGTCATGATGATGAAATCCTATAATCAATCATTCAAATCCCTACAAACACCAATACTTAGAAATCAATGACATGTTCACTAGCGACTGGCTCTACTCAAGTAGGTAGTTACCTGGGGTTCCAGTGGGACGCTGTGATCAGTAGAGTGAACCATGTTGGGTGTGAGGACAAATACTCGCCGAAGACACTGGCTAGCGGTCGCATCATGTCATGGGCAGTTGAATCGGATCCCAGTGGCTTAATGGTCCACGAATTCACTAGCCTTATGACCAGAAGGTCTTGGGTACGAACCATGGCGGTGTGTGCATGCTGCTGAAGAGAGCATTTTGTCTTAAATGTTAAAAAATATGCTGTTATCGATGCTCACTAGAATTTATAGCCTCTAAGGGACAATATTTTATTTAACTAAGCCAGTCGCAGACTGGGTCTTTGGCTTCGATTCCCAGTAAACGCATTCTGAAACTTTCTAGTTCGCTTAACCAATAGTAAGTCTGCAAAAGATGTATGGCTGGAGGGTAGGAAACTTTACTGGTTGACGGTATAAGCGTTCGCGAATTGTACAGAGTATATTAAAGCAAGATCTTATACCAACAACTTCTGTGTCATTTGTTTCTCGTGTACTAAAGGCAAAGCAAAACACCACAACTGATTGTCCAAATTACGGACCAAATCGCGGACTGAAGCGGAAGCTAAGCTGGCTAGTTATCGTTCTCGAAAGTGACACGACGGAGTATCAAATGGCAGGAATGTTTGACCGGAAGCCTTCAGCTAAACAAGTCGGCTTAAACACTAAGGGTCAGCATCCAATGTTCACTGATGATTCTTATGGTCACGATGTAATTCGTCGCCTAGACGTAGTCTATTCTTATGGTCAATAATTTTGGGGAATTATTTACCGCTACAAAACAAAAAAAACCACCAACCACCACTGAAATGTCAAAGTTTGAGTGAAGAGGATTTCACAAACAAACAAAAAAGAACAAAAATTAAGCAACAGACAGTATATGATGATTATTTATTTGAATTTTCGATTTTCCCGTCGATTGGTAATTGGACCGAAGTGCTCGGTCTCAGGTTGACATGTCAACTTCTTGTACAGATGCTGATGAGTCCCAAACAGGACAAAATGAGCATCTTCGATTCAACTTCTAGTCACCATCCTCTAAATGACTTCTAGTTACATGCTTAGACATCGTCGAAGCATCTGCACAAGAAGCCGACGTATCAAGCTGAGACCAAGCAATTCGGTCCAATCAATCGATGGGAAAATCTAAAACTCGGTTAAATATTTAAAATGACCCGTAGAACAAGAGGTAGTAGCTCTCGTGGCCTAAATGGTCTAGTGGATATTGCTTTGGCGTTTGAAACTATGAGCACTGGGTTCGAGTCTCGGTGGGAATGCAGGTACATCCAGTGGCCGACGAGTCCCAAATAGGACGAAATGCGCGCCATCCTGGTGGACTCCATTGCTAGTCACCATCTACCAATGAAAAGTATATGATGATATATTGGTGATAAAAGAAACAAAGCAAATTACCTGAGTTTGATTTGCACTAGTTTGAGCAGAGAAATTAATAAAATAGGCAACATATTTTTCTTTATCAATTTCTCGCATTAACTTTTCTTGAACATAAACTGATTTTCCAGTCCCCGTTGGTCCAACATACAGCAGTGGACGACGTTTTAATATGCATAAATCAACAAAGAATTTATAACGTGCTGTATCCATTGTTGGTACAATAATTTCACGAATTTTTCTATCAGAAAAATTTTCATTTGCTCTATTCTTATCATTCCAGTGTTTCCATGATCCACGACTTTTCATCTGTTTTAAGAAAAATGAACTTTAGTGAATTTGTTTAAGACGATTTGATTCGAGTCGAGTCGAGTGCAGTTATGGAAAACAAAATACCTTCTTGTCGCACGTGACAATTTGGAACAGCTTGATGCATTCAACATCAACAGTGATACTTATTTTGCGATGTCTTAGGATACTGTGGTACTGTGTTAGAGAACCATTGAAAACCACCAAGGTGTAGTGAACAACTGATTCGACCTAGTTTGGGACTCTTCATCGAACTAAGAACCCAAGAGTTTGATGGTTACAAGGAAAGCTCGTGGACCATTTAGCCACTTGGGAGGCAACTCCTCAACGGTCTGAGGATGATTCATATGAACTGTGATTAAGATTTGACCGGATAGTTGTGAAATAATTGAGCGCCGAGTGAGAAGTAGACATTATATTACAAATATAATTTTACAAAGGTCAGAGGATGAATTCTAACCAATTCTACGAATTCGTGATTTTAGCATGACCACCACAGGCAGTTTTACTGGCGAGTATTGGTCCCTAAGCTCTACTAGTGGCCTGATGGGGCTCATCACCAGGTTAGGTGTGAAGAAAAATACTCACCAGTGAGTACTGGCTGATGGTCGCGCTGAAGTCACGAATTGGTAGAATTTGGAATTCGCGGGTCATTAAGCCAAGTCTTAGTGGTTGAATGGTCATTGAGCAACCAACAGCAGTCGCACAGATGAAGGATCATATTTCATCTTGGCCTTAGTTGACACCCTTTTATGTGTTAATTTACCGTATTGTTGTTAATTTTTTGACCTTATGTTGTGTTGTTTCTAGCTTTCTGTTACATTTAATCCTACCTGTTACTTCTTCATACGCCGATATGACATGTTACCACTTTGGCCATGCTAGGTCCTACATTGAAAATACTTTTTTTCTGGCTGTCGAAACATAGTAACTCGGAAAGTATTTTGATATAATTGCCGATAAACAGTAGGCGAATACGAAAACCACCGGAAAGGTTCGATGGAGTGCTATAAATCACCTTTAATACTTTTGTTCTTTCCACCAAGTGGTCACTATCAACTAAATACGATAAAATAGAGCTTTATAAGAACAAACTAAGCTCGTTTAAATTTACACAATGAATTGTTAAATGTCTTAGAGGCAGAGCAAGAAAGATATGCACCGACGACCTCTTACAAAAGGAATTTCCATATATTCACGATTCCTTGACGGGGATGGGCTATCCAATTAGTTTTATAGAGAAACAATGGATTGGATAAAAATCCTGAGACTATGACAGCGCATAAGAAAGTACTATTTATTAAGTAACTATTTAATGGGGACTTATCAAGTGACAGTTTGTTCCAGAAACTAGCTAGCATACAGAGAACTTCTACGCAGTGAAATTGTGTTTGTTATTCTCTAGTCGACGAATAATTGTGAGTCGGGCGAAAGATAAGCTGGGCAGTCTTTTCATATCTATGTGTATTTATCAATTCAACTGCATCTGCAGAGATAATCATACTGGATGCACTACTAGACAGATTAGCCAACATGTTGTTGAATATCCACCATCGTGGTTTGTCAAAGGACAGAAAAAACCATCCGTAGCTCCGTTTTGTCATACTTAGTTGGCAGTGATCATTTAGTGGAGAGAACGAAAGCATTCAGGATGGCTCATCACATCTCACCGAATCTTTTCAGTGGAATCTGTATTCGTCTACGACATATAGCTGAGGTGATAGGCATTCATACTATTAATTTCGTACAGCCACTATCCCTCCCTTGGCCTATTAAGACATAACCAACTGATGAACTCTCCACCACTCCATCCTTATACTTTCGACCTCTCTCTTATCATGCCTTAATCTTTTCACATCTTCATTAAAAAGTATTATGTTTACTTCCCTTACGATCTAGCATTACTTAATCGGTTCATTTGATTTTCTTAGCCGTTTTAGACTACTTCTACTTGGACATTTGTTTGTTCAATCAGGTTGTTTTTCGTTATTCTTGCTATCACAGATCGCTCCATTTTCCCATTTTTGTTAATGACAGAATTACCATTGACAAATCATGTCGATTGGGTTATATTGAATATTTATTTCTAAAGTTTTGTATAATAAAGTGAGGCCTGATAAGATCTAATTGAAAAGAGTGTTGCTCGCCTACATGTGTTCCCTAAAACATTAAGAATTGGCAATATTATATATATATATATATATATATATATATATATATATATATATATATAACAACTTAATCATCGTTCCTCAGCAACGGGGATTTTTCGCGTTGTCAAGTTAGCCAGTTAGTAAAGATAACAAAACCAAGTGTAGATTGTTGGATTGATAAGTGTGACAAATTGTAAAAACAGCGTGTGTTTACATAATGAAATTGCTTATCACATTCGTGTTGATCTTGTCATTTCATAGGGGAGAGGGGAGGTATTGTAGCCAGGTCAAATTCTGTTTTAGTCCATCATTCCTATTCGTCAGACAATTTGGATTCCACTTGAAATGAAGTGCTTTTGATGATATGAGACGTTCTTTGTGATGTCTGAAATGCTTTTCCTGGATTACTTCAATATTGTCAAAATCAATTTTGTGGCCTGATTCTATAGCGCGTAGACCACGACCACCACCTGTGGCTGATGATTTTTCAAGCTATTCTAGTTGACTAACTGGATTTCTCGGAGGTCAAGCAAGATGCTTTACGGTGTTCATTTCATTGGATTTTTCTTTGGAGATGTTTGTTCGATGTGTATCGCATCACATTCCAAGCAAGCATTTTATTTTATAGACACAATTAGATAGAGTATCTTCAGGGATTTGGTCTTTTATATGAACAAGACTGTTTCTCAGTGTGTCTGATGTTTTGAAGAAAACTCTGATGTCAAACTGACTGAGTACTCTTTTGATATCTTCTTACATTTCTGATGGTCTATATGGAATGAAAACTGGTGAGGTCCATGTTTTCTGAATACGTTTTCGACCATGCTTAATGTCAGTGTTGATTTTGTTGATGAAATTCTTTGGATAGTTATTTTTGTTGAGAGTTTCAGTGATGTTTGATATTCCTTCTTCTCTTTCTTTCTCATCCTTTAACATCTCAAAGAGTTTGCTCGTCTAGGAAGACTTGAAACAACTGATACCTTTGCGCTGATGGGGTGTGATGATCCGAAGTTTAAATATTTGTTGGAGTGGGTTTTCTTCCTGAATGTAGATATCCTAGAATGTCAGTTTTCCCTCCTCTTAACTGGCCATGCAATCTGGAAATGGTAGTTCACCGACGTCTGATTCTGTTTCCGAAGTAAACTGGATTCTGGGAGATCGACCGTTTATTTTCTCCAAGAATGAACTGTGTAGATCCCGTTATAGAACTACAAAAGTATCATCTGCGTATCCTAGCGGGGAGGTATATTGTCTAATATTTTGTTATTCAGTTAAGTGACGATTGTATTTCATTTTATTACCTCAATATGCATCGTCTAAATATTAATAAACGCTTAGTCTCTAACGGTGTTTATATCAAGTAAAGAAATTATGTTGTAATAGTTCCTCCATATTAGTTTCTTCATTAGATGTATCACAGTGAAACAGTGTTGTTTACTGGATGACAAAGTTTCTAAAAGAATTTATTGTCGTTCAAAATTGTTCCCTTGAGTTCCTAGTGGAACATAAGGCTTCAACTCCACGTCTCCACTTGTTTCTGTCTTCTGCTGTACTTTTCACCTGCATCCATATTATTCCATACCGTTTCAACTCCTCTTCACACGTCTACACGCTATAACATTCATCCACTGATAGGCATCAAAATTTAGACACACCTACAGACTATGACCACTTACTTACCTTGTAGTAAAAATCATAGACAAGACCAGACTCTGGAAATGGAAACTCCAGTCGTTGACCCAATTGTTTTGGTAAAGGATGATTTTCATTAGTACCAGCCATTAGATTTCTTAGAAAACGATCAAATTTCTTTCGACTATTATAATCCAGACAACCAGCAATACCCCATATAAGACTGAATACAATAGCGGCTTGTAACCATAATCGTAGATAACGATTATCACAGGCATCCTCTTCATTGGCTATATCTTCAATAAGCATATCAACAAATCCTAAACATGATGTAACTAAATTAGCTTGACGTACAGACACCATAGTACGACATTCAGTTTGCACAAATTCTAAGCATGGATCAATTGTCCATTCAAGCATTTCATTGATAATAACTTTACCATCACCAGCTGTCAGTGAAGCCGGTAAACGATTCATCCATGAACGAGCAATTGGACGCCAACCTAATGATAAAGGTTCCATGTATATCATACCACAACGTGATACTGTAGCTGGCTGTTAACAAAAGTTAAGAATAAAACATATATATATATATATATATATACATATATAAGTGAATTATACAGGCTTTATTTCTCTAATATGTTGCAAAACTGATCCCAGTTTCTCATAGGAATGTTAGCAGACATAATTAAACCAATGTCTATTAAAAACTCATCTAACTGGCTATATACCATATCATTTTGGGGAGCCGTTTACCATTCTGATACATTTTCTTTTTAGGTGGGCCCAGAATCCTTCAATGAAATAATAGGATCTGCCGATTCGGCAGAATTGTTGAATTTGCGGTAAATACAGCCTGTTGATGATAATGGCGAACAACCTTTCTACTTTTCCATGTGAATGGTAGTGTCTAGGAGGACTATTCGTCGCATAATTGGTATTAAGACATCAGAACTTCTGTTCACGATGCGTTCTACAAACCCTTTATGAAGATTTGTGTCTTACAATCCCAGCACCTCTTCTCCTACCTAAGAAATTCATTCTTCGTCTAGTAAGTACTCTTTCGTCAATATGAATGACGACCCTAACTCCTTCAAGTACACAAGTAATCCCACTGAGATTTTTTGACGCAATATCACAACAGTACTGATACCACTGCGTTGTCGACTTTGAAGTATTCTCTGTTTCCGCAGCTCTGGCAGAAAATCGTCTCTTCAGTAGCCAGCTGCGGCATGTATGCAATATTTTACTAAGGAAGAGTTTCGATTTCGAGAAAAAAGTATCTTAAAAAATCACCATAATGTACGACTTACCAACTCTTACAGACTTCCTGATATGACAGTAATGGCAAAGTCCAACAATAGCGTCCCAAAGATGCGAACGCACAAGCGACCCTTAGGCGACCACTCATCAGAATGAGGAATTTTTGCACAAAATGTGAAGTATATTTACAAGAAAATCCATGAAAATACATTAAACAGGGTATCTTTCTCTGACATGACTTAAAAATACGTCCAGTTATAATAGGGAGTATCAGTCTGTCTGTCTGTCTGTTTTCGACATAGAACTTTGCACAAATGTGAGGCAGTCCAAGTCGCCACACTTCGTGTAGCACGCGAAGCAAGAGAAGAAAGTACAAGAAAAGCATAATAGAGACAGTGAGCAGAGGTGTGAGACAAAGGAGTAATAACGAAGAACAAAATAGTTTCGTTGGAGATCATAAGTCACAAGGAGTGGATGCATCTGCGCCAGTGAGAACGATTTTGAGCCATGTCACCAATTGTTTCCAACCATAGATTTTTACCCTCCCGAGGACCCCAACCAGGAAGTCTACACCTTCCTGCGTGGCTTAGACCAACTGTTGTGGATTTCATTGACTGGTGTCACGTTTTTATTTGACCGCCGCTAGCTTTTTTCCAGCCTGACCCTAATCCGCTAACATTGCTCGTCGAGGGAGGCGATGGCTTGGCATGCGTAACACATGTCCTAACCATCTCAGTCAGTATCAGTTGCTAAGTTAGACTAATTTCTCTACATGTATTCACCGAGGTGACTAAAGATTTGATGTTTCTGTGGATCCTTCATCTCTGTTATTCTGTTGTGTAGTCTTCCACAAAAGCCCTCGGTCGAATTACTATGGTTACAAGTGAGAAGATCAACAACTAATTACCAGGAAAATGTGGATAATAAAACAAATTCAAATAATTGACATCAACTCTAAATCTATCCCTAATCGTAGCCCTAATCGTAATTATAATCCTGATCCTAACCGTAACCCCAATACTTACCTTAACCCTAATCCTAACCCTAACGAGCTATTAACAAATTGTCCAAACAGTACTTAAAAACGTGATTTGAGTAAAATTTGGTGAATAGCGTTGATGTTTCAGCTATGATAATGACAGTTGCCGTTAGCCAACGACTAGCATACATTCAAGGTCACTGCGGCGTTCGCACTCATGGAAAGCTATTGTTAAACTTCGCCCATATATCTTACAACTCGTTGTTTAAAGATCCAATGAACAGAACCAGTGAAGTGCGACTTCATTCACATAGTACACCAAATGCATTTTTGACTTTCTGGCCCTGGGTTTTTTACTGAATATAACAAATATCTATCTGCATCATCACTGACATGCATCAATTTAAAGCGATACAGTTTTATATGTCATTAAACAACGTGTAGCGATAAATAATTCACCAAAATTATTGACCATTAGAATAGACTACGTCTAAGCGACGAATTACATCGTGATCATAAGAATCATCAGTGAACATTTGATGTTGACCCTTAGTGTTTAAGTCGACTTGTTTAGCTGAAGGCTTTCGGTCAAAAATCCCTGCCATTTGATACTCCGTCGTGTCACTTTGGAGAACGATAACTAGCCAGCTTAGCTTCCGCTTCAGTCCGCGATTTGGTCCGTAATTTGGACAATCAATTGTGGTGTTTTGCTTTGCCTTTAGTACACGAGAAACAAATAATACAGAAGTTGTTGGTATAAGATCTTGCTTTAATATACTCCGTACAATTCGCAAACATCGTTACCGTCAGCCTCTAAAAACGTGTCATTTATCTGTGATTCTTTTTTCCGAAAAGGTAGATTTTCAAGGTTTTGACTGAAAGCTTTTGGAATATTATTTATTTATTTTGATTACAGCTTGATGCCACGCGGTATATTCAGTACAAGTATGGAATTTTCGGCATGTGATATCGGAAGCCCAAATTTTGCAGGCCAGCCATAGATATCGGGTGTGCGTCGGCAGGGATTGAACCCCGGACCATGTGTATGGTCGGCGAGAGTCGTAACCACTGTGCCACCGTGAGAATTAATGGATAACTGAGCAGGGGGTTGTCACGAGGCTATCGTGCTAATTCGTGAATACTCTCAAGAAAGAATTCTAGATATTCTAAACGATGTCCATGATGTGTCCACTAGACTAAAATTTAATCAATGAATGTCCATATTGATGATAATAAATTATGCCCACAATATATTTTTTTAAATGTGGGCAGAAATACAGGTTACCAAATTCATGTCTGGTGCTTTAAATATCGTATATTTATTAAAAGATATGAATATCTTGATTACCACTCGATTGTATTTGATAAAGTAACACAGTGGTGTTATACAGTAGTAATATTTACTGATGACCACGTTTCGAGCACAAATTATTCCTGCTCATAATCATATCAACGCACTAATCACACAACTTTCTTGCTTCTTTTATATACATCAGTGGGAATTGTTTTGACATATGAATAAAAATCAATATAAGGTAGAGTACATTCAGAAATAATATTAGTGTTATCAATCAAATACAATCAGATGGGAAATAAGATGTTTTTATAGTGAAAAAAGTAATAATCGGTTATCGCATTCTAGTAGATATTTAAACTTTAATTCATCTCATCCGTTCATTATCTGTCTCTGAAGGCAGGCTTAGTTAAGTGTCTAACACACTCAGCATTAGCACTAAGTAGTACAACAAAAAACCTAAATGATGAAATGAAACAGATAGGAGAAGCGTTAACTAACGATCCTATAAAATTCATCAGGAATATCAAAAAAGGTCAACAGCAAGAGAAACATAATGGTGGAACTAATAAAGATAACATAAATAAGAAAGAATGTAAGGCATCTACAGTAGTTTTGTCATATAAGGAGGGCATATAAGCGAACAATATTGTTTTCAATTAGATCTTCTTCAGGCTTTACTCTAATTTACACAGACTTACATATAAAAATTTTTAACCAATGAGGGTGATTTTGTGGATCAAATAATAGTAATAATAATAATGTGGTAAATGTTTTGAACGTAGTTAACAACGATGATTACAATGATAACAAAACATTGATAATAAGGTTTACGCAGGTGGTGATAAAAATAACAAAGGTAGTATATGTATATATGTGTATATGTAGACAATTCAAAAAATAAACAAATTAGGTCAAATCTTAAAAGGTGAGGTGGACATTAAATCAGAGTTCAAATAAATATCATAAAGTACGAAGGAGATGGAAGATAAGAAAGGGTGGGAGGGTTTTTGAATAGAATTCACCTAGGCGAGCAAGAAAGAGAGACAAAGGTTGAACAAACTTCTTTTGTATGCAAAGACTAAGATTGATCTCTCGAATTCCCATAGCTTTGGCTAAGTGTAAAAGAACAATTCCAACAGTGGTGTGAACACGGGCAGTAATTTTGCTCGAAATATTACCAATAACAAAATTTATCATTGTGTGTGAATTATTGAAACATAACTATACTTTATTTGTAAAAGACACGTTCTGATTCCGTTCGTAAGACACGATGGAATGCGAAAGATAACTTTGAAGCCACTATTTTTTTCCACTTGGTGACAGCTATCAATTAAATGAGCCGAAATGGAACTTCGTATGGATTTTATTTGACCTTTTCCGAACCATGAAGGAAGATGCTCATTAATACATTTGTTAAGCTGTCTAGTTGTTCGGTCTATATAGCTTTCTCCACAGGAGCAACTAAATTTATAGATACACATGGAAGTGGCACAGCTAGGTAGCTTATCTTTCACTTAAGCAATCAAAATTGGTCAACTGGAAAATCACAATCAAAACGTGGCGGCAGTATAAGTCCGTTTTATTGCTCTTGATAATCTTAGATGTAAGACTTCGCTAGCCACGTATCCATTAAATTGCAGTTTCATGAACAGTTGTTTCTTTTTAACTGTTGTCAGTTTTCCTTTATTGTACCTGGTATTCATGTGTCTCCTTACAAATCCACTAGGATAACCCATTTGGACCAACGTATTTTGGATGTATCCTAGCTCATTTTCTAGGAGTCATCTGTACAGATACGTCTTGCTCTGTTCGTGAGGCATCTGACCGAATTGATTTTGTATCGGATTGGTACAAAACTGAAGAAATTTGTATATTTCTATAGACTTCTATCTTGAGTGAACCCTCCTCTCTTCTGCTCAATTGGACGTCAAGGAAATGTAGTCTACCATGATGTTCTCCTTCACAAGTGAAGATGAGCGATGGATGTACATCATCAAACTTTTTTGACATTTCACTCTTGTCAGCTTTCACATCAAAAATAATAAACGTATCATCAACATAACGAAAATAACAATCGGTTTTCTCTATTACTTGTTTCAACGGACCATTTTCAATCTTGGCAAGAAAGAAATCTGCTAAAATTGGCCGCAATAGAGAAACCATGGCAATGCCGTCGATTTGCCTGTACTAAAGGATGTTGAATGTGAAGTGTACATTCATAGTACATCTTAAAAGCAACTGTTTCAGACTAATAACTGGAATTATTATAATAATAATTATTATTATTCTAAATAAAGCAGGAATTAGAGTGGCATTTAAACCTACAAACTCACTCAGAGACAAGCTATTTAGGTTAAAGGACCCATACAGACAAAATAATACAATTTACAAAATACCTTGCAATGATTGTGAGTTGACTCAGCCACATAGGTCAAACCAGTAGGTCGAGGGTAGTCAGATTTTCAGAACATAAGAATTTAGCTAAGGTCAGAATGATTGATCTCACGAAGATAATTAATTTAGAAAAAAGTTCAGCACTGCATTGCACTGCATGCATTAACACACAACCACACACACTAGTGTGAATGGGAAAGAGTCAACATTCTAAAATGTTATACAGGTAAGTGGAGAGAGAGATTGATTAGTGAATTCTGCCTGGTTCATTCAGTCTACACCCAACACAACAGAAATGACTCAACGCAAAAACCAGAGATATGCATGGAAGATATTATTACCAACAGTCAAATCGGAGAACAATAAATAGTATTAAAATGTATTTCAATTCACGTAAATTATAACATTCTAGCAAGTTACTTATTTTGACTATGAAAACATTCGTCTTACTTCCCATCTGATTGTATTTGGTTGATAACACTAATATTATTATTTCTGAATGTACATTATCGTATATTGATTTTTATTCATATGTCTAATCAATTCCTACTGATGTATGTAAAAGAAGAAAGAGAATTTTGTGATTCGTGCCTAGATATGATTATGAGCAATAATAGTTTGTACTCAAAACGTGATCATCAGTAAATTTTACTACATAACACCACTGTGTGATTTTATCCATAATGGATTTATACCATACCACAGTGCCCAAGTTTCATTCTTATATCAATAATCCTAAGTACCAGACACTGTTTAGATGGGTTGCGTTATCAGAATAAGCAGACCAAGTGTGCAAGTTTATTTGCCAATCCACAGGAACTGGTTTATACTACAGTGAATCATTAGTTCATAGAGTTGCAGTAATAATACAGTGTCTTTTTTTCTAGTATTCATGTACGTCAGTGGCACAGCAGTTACGACTCTCGCCAACCATGCACATGGTCCGGGGTTTGATCCCCTGCCGACGCACACCTGATATCTATGGCCGGTCAGCAAAATTTGGGCTTCCGATATCACATGCTGAAAATTCCATACTTATACAAAAACAATACGGTGTGGAATCAAGCTGAAATAAAAAAAAACCCACAAATGTAACTTACAGAGGCTTGAGATAAATCCATTGTTTCAAATATTAAACTCATTACACGAGACATTTGAATAATTTCTCCAGACATTAAACATAATTTTTTATTATCATCTAATACAGTATTCATACTTTCAATCCATAACGTATCAATCGGTCCATCGAATATCACCCATTTTCTATCTGGTGTATCAGTCGATGCGAATTCACGAAATGTATTCGCTGTTACACCATCAGTCCACTAAAAAGCAGTGTTAGCAACAAAAAAAATGAACATTTAACTACTGGAATTATAAGATAAACATAACAAAAAATATTCATTCAGACAATTATAAAACACAAAATAATCGAGAAAAGAGTATTCGTTCGATAAATTCCTCTTCCGACTCTACAATTATATATTCATGCTTAAATATATAGAATATTCTAGATTAGTAGTTAATAATAATATTAGTGTTTTTTAAATAATATCAATTTGTAAAATATGAGAATGTACAATGAATGTCCACTTTTTAATTTAATAAGGAATTATATAGACAAATCGACGGTGTGGGGATGGGGTCAACACTAAGACCCATTCTAACCGACATTTTCCTTGAGAAATTAGAAAATGGACCTTTGAAGGATGTTATAAATGAACTCGAATTTTATTGTCGGTACGTGAATGATAGGGTCGCGGATATAGGGTCAGGCTGGAAAAAAGCTAGCGGCGGTCAAACAAAAACTTGGCATCAGTCAATGAAATCCACAACAGTTGGTCTGAGCCATGTAGGAAGATGTAGACTTCCAGGCTGGGGTCCTCGGGACGGTAAAAATCTATGGTTGGAAACAATTGGTGACATGGCTCAAAATCGTTCTCAGTGGCGCAGATGCATCCACTCCCTGTGACTTATGATCTTCAATGAAACTGTTTTGTATTTCTTTATTACTCCTTTGTCTCACACCTCTGCTCACTGTTTCTATCATGCTTTTCTTGTACTTTCTTCTCTTGCTTCGCGTGCTACACGGAATGTGGCGACTTGAACTTCCGCACATTTGTGCAAAGTTCTATGTCGAAAACAGACAGACAGACAGACGTGAATGATACATTTTTGATTATGAGAAACGAGAAGGAAGCAAAGAGCATCCTGGATAAATTTAATGATGTACATCCTGCAATAAATTTTACTATTGAGAACGAAAAAGACTCCAGTATTCCATTTCCTTATGAACAGAAAAGAGGATGGCACAATAAGAAGAAGTTTATATACAACACCTTCATCAACTGACTGTCAGTATACTCATTTTTTTCAGCTTCGTGCTCTTGAAATACAAACCAAATCTGATAAAGTACTTGGTTCACAGAGCAAGAGCGTTTTGCTCGGATGAATGTCTTGATGAGGAACTTAATAATATTAAACGGTTGCTAAGTGAAAATAGCTATCCACAAAAGTTTATTGATAAGAATATGAATTTTAAATCAAAGCAGCCCAAGGTACCAACAGTTCCAAAAAAGGCCTTTTTCTTAAAGATGCAGTTCCTTGGGGACAACACCAGCGAGATACTAACACAGTGTCTTAGAATTGCGGTCAAAAGAGCATTCCCTGCTGCTGAAGTATGCTGTGTCTTTGAAACCACTCCTCTTTTGCTTTAGGGAGTAAAAGATTAACTGCCTGATTTCGCCTCTTCCATGTGTATCTACCAACTTAACTGCTCCTGTGGAGCCAGTTACATAGACCGTACAATTAGGCGTGTTTCTCGTCGAATTTCCGAACATCCCACTGCGTGTTTGGTTAGGTAAAGGACAAACAAAATCTATTTTCAGCACTATTCTGTCTCATCTTGTGGATACAGAGAACAAGATTGACGTTAACCATGCTTTCAGGGTCATTTACCGCATCCCTGCGAATCTCAATTTCGCCTTCGGAGTTCGACTACTAAATACTGCTGAGGCTGGCTGTTGGGATCCACATTAACAAGTCTAATCTGTGCACCCAAAAGAAGTTAGTTCAGACATCATCATTACCTTGGCCATCTAGGTTTGAATGATCCTGAATTTTTGTGGAATTTTCCTAATTTTAGTTGATATCCTATTCGCTATTATATCTTTATTATTATTATTACAATTTAAGCATCTTTAATGAACTGTATTCTACTGACCTCGCTTTACAAATCGATATTATTCAAAAATCGCTAACACTGATATTGACTACTAATCTAGAATATTCTATGTATATAAGCATATATGTATAATCGTAAAACTGGTCGAGGAATTTATCGAAAAGAATATTCTTTGCTCGATTATTTTGTGTTTTATAAGATAAACATACAAACATACTAGAAACTTATCTAACCTAACAGCACTGTTGAGGTAATTCTGAGTTTTTTGATGTTATTGTTATTTTGAATAGAAGTATAGATTTGTCAACGAATAATCGTCTTTTTGCTGTCTTCGGAACGTTTATTTGACAGATATCAAGTTAGTGAACGAAGAGCACAGAAGAAGCAGATAGAGCTTATCAAATGACTTGAAAGAAAGCCATAGGCTAGTAAATTTCCAGCAAATCCTGAAGGGTACGTCTAAAATTATAGCAATGTTGAACTAAATGAGATACAACTTGAAGTACTTTCCCTTGGCCATAGATTTTTCTATACACCAAAACGAGTTATTCCCTTAGATACTAATATTGAATTTGAAAACCTACTTTAGTGAAACAAGGGATCTAGTTACATCATCCACCGTGAAAATAGAACACTTCAAATCCAGTCTAATTGATTTTTGTTATCAGTATAAAAGCCTCAAATGCGACAGTAAAAGTTTCTTGACAGGGCAGCACAGAGAAGAACTAAAGAAACTGATAAATGATGAAGGACTGATAATCTCAAGGTTGGATAAAGGATCACATGTAGTCCTCCTTGATAGAAGTGACTATATTAAAAAGATGAATGATATATTGAAGGACACACAGAAGTTTGAAAAACTTGAGGAGAAGAAAGATTTCAATGACAAAATAGGGAATGAATTAACCAGACATCTGAAGAAACTAAGGGAGGAACAGATATTTTCTGAAAGTTTATATGAAGAAACCAGGCCCACGGGCAAGTACACACCAAGAGTGTATGGCCTATCTAAAGCGCATTGACCGCGGGTACCGTCTAGACCAATACTTGATATGCATAATCCGCCCTACCATGCTCTAGCTAGATGGTTAGTAAATATTCTCAAACCTTTGCATGATAAGATAGTGAAACGTAGCGTCAAAGGTGTATGTGAATTCGTAGACAAAATCAAGATATTAATATCAAAGACAAAACCATGATATCTCTGGACATAACATCTTTATTCACAAATGTACATCTAGTAGAAACAGTTAACTACATATGTGAACAAGTATATAATCAGTCGATAAACACTGGCATCCGTACTGAATTCCTAAATGAATTGTTATTAAGGTGTACTATGAATGTAAATTTCAAATTTGACGGCACATTCTGCAGATAAATGGACAGGGTGGTGATGGGCTCTCCATTGGTTCTCATTTTGGCTGACTTCTTTCTAAGTAAAATACAAAATGGACCTTTTAACATCCTTATCAGAAAGTTCTCATTTTATTGCCTTTACCTTCATTCTTTGCGAGCTCGTAGACGATTAAGCCACTGGGACCCGAAGACATTGACTAGCAGTTGCGCTATGTCGCGAATTAACAGAAGTTAGAATTTGTGGACTGGCCATTGAATCGGGTCCCAGTGGCTCAATGGTCTACGAGGTAGCTCGCCTTCTAACCAGAATGTCCTGGGCTCAAACCCAGGTGGGTGCGTACTGGTGAAGATTCCCAAAATAGGATGAAACAGCTGTCCAGTACTCCCAGGTTTTCTAATGGTCCTCTAACCAATGTCAGCTCATGATGAAATCCTGTAACCAAAAAAAGAACCGTGGAAGGTAATGTTATGAAAATATTCAAGCGCAAATCTCGCAACATAGATATTCAAACAGCAACTTACTTCATGAGAAACGGGATCGAATTCACCAAACAACTGTCCCATAGTTATCGCCTTAGGATTAATCGTTCTGTAAATAACTTTTTCATATTCGTCATGTCCACTTTCATTTAAACGTGTCATTACTGTGGCCAACGTGTGCAGTACAGTCGTTTTAGATCCAAATGGTTCACCGACGAGCATAAATCTGTGTGGAAATGAAAAAAAAGTGAGTCTGCCTACTCGGAATACAAAATATTTCTCCTTCAAACCTCTGAGTTAACCAGCCTTCATCAAAATTAAATATATCTGATGGAGAAACGCATCACATGTATGATGAATCGCAAAGTAGCTATTATTATTATTTCCTTTAACTCCTAGAGGAACATAGGGCTTCAGCCGCGCGTCTCCATTGCGTTCGGTTCTCTGATAGAGTTTCCACTTGGCTCCAAGTCTGCCCATATGCTTTCATCTCCTCTTTACATGACCTCCTCCAAGTCACCCTCACACTGACGACCAACTCGCCGCTTCCCTTTCGGGTCCCACTTGAGGGCTTGTCTAGTGATGTCACTTGATGGTTTCCTCAGAGTATGGCCAATCCATCTCCATTTCTTCCTCCCTATTTGTTGCAGAATCGGTTCCTGATTGGTTTGCTCTCAGAGATGCCTACTGGTGACGAAGGTCTGTAGTTTGTTTGAGGTGCTCTTTATGACGTGCCAAGCTTCTGTTCAGTATAGTAGCACTGGATTCAGAATAGGTTGAAAATCCGGATGTTATTTTTCATGCTGAGTGCTTCTGACTTCCACACAGACTTAAGAGTAATGAAAGCTTGTCTTGCTTATCCGATTCTGGCTTTGATACCGTCCTCAGTTCCGCCTGTAGTTGAAACGATGCTTCCGAGGTAGGTAGGTAAAGGAGGTTGTTTCTTTCAGGTGCCTCTCATTTATGCCGGCTGATTGTTGTCTGTTGTTGTTAGTGTTGCTGTTGGCCAGGAATCTTCATCACATCTTTTTTGTCTGTGTTCACCTGTAGTTCTTTCTATCTTTGATGCTTCTTCCGCCAACTTGTTGCTTTTCACTTGCATATCTTCCAGTGTGTGGGAAAGAAGACATACGCCATCATCGACAAAGTCCAGATCCTTCAAGTTTTTTGTGTGAGTCCATTTTATGCCTGTCTCCTCGCTGCCCGCTGTCTGTCACATTATCCAATCTACTGCAATCAGGAAGATCATTGGTGATAGTAGGCAACCTTATCTTACCCCCATCTTTACTTCGAAGGATTCCCTAAGTCTCCCGTTGTGGATTACTTGGCATTCAGCATTTTCATATAACTGTTGGGTGAGATGTATAATTGTCGGTGGCGCCCCGTAGTTGTCAAATCACCTCTTGATCGACACTATCGAAGGCCTTTTCAAAGTCGATGAAGTTGACATAGAGAGGTGAGGGGGGATACATGCCATATTAGACTATATTTATTCTTAGAAATGTGATATAACCATATTTAAATCTCAACCAAGATTTTGTTGATTACCAAAACCATCAAGGATGAAGACAGATTTAAGATGATTTGGTCACGGTATACAGTCAGCCCCTTATTTAATGTTATTTGGATAGGTACTAGAGAGAGATCTTTGTTATCATCAACATGAACCTGCCAGTGTTTACAACCAGCATCCCCAAGACACAAAGTGAGCTGGCAGACTATTTAACTAGGATAGTACATGAATTCCAAATTCTTCCAACTTTCTGATATATATGTACGCGAAATAGATGTCCAATACTACCTGATTTTTTCGAATGGTTCTCTAAATGAGGTCAGTTCAGGATGAAATCTGTAGGCGGGCGATCAAATCCCTGTAAACCTACAAGACTTCACTTTCAAGATGGTGAATATTATCTCAAGTACCATCCACCTGCCGACTGTTTTTCAAAAGCTACCTAAGCTGTCCTGTTTTTCACAAAACAGCATAACGCTGAATGATATATTTTCGTTGAGATGGCCGTTTTGTATAGTCAACAGTAAAAAGTGACAAATAGAAAGCGTGGAATACTACAACATGTAGTCATTTGGTAAATGCAGAACAAAGCGCGGAATGGCAATCATACGTCTACCTCAACTTTATAGACTTAGAGAAGGCCTTCGACAGCGTTGATCGTGAAGTAATTTGGAAACTACTCGAGTACTACGACGTACCCCAAATATTCATCAACCTTATTCAACAGCTGTACGACAACGGCACATGTCAAGTGATCCGCAACGGAAAACTCAGCGAGGAGTTTGGAGTAAACACAGGAGTCAGACGAGGGTGCTTATTGCCACCAATCATATTCCTAATTGTGGTGGACTGACTGGATTATGCTTCACACAGTGGGTGGGAAACAAGAAGACAGGGATATCATGGACCGATGTGAACAACCTAGAAGACCTGGATTTCGCGGATGATTTATGTTTGATGTCACACAAAATCGAAGACTTATAAGCGAAAACCAACACACCGGTTGAAGAAGCAGCCGGCAAAGACAGGACTCCAGGTGAACACAGACAAGACGGAGGATATGAAAATAACCAACCAACCAACAGCGCCAACAACGGCAGCAACATTCAGCTCCAATCACCATCAGTGGGAGGGAACATTGTCTCAACTACAGGAAGTTGGAACGGACGAGGATGTCAAATCGAGCGAGAATCGGAAAGGCGAGAAACACATTCATCAACCAACTGAAACCAATCTGGAAATCTTCGTCACTCAGCCAGCCTCAACAACAAAATTCGGTAGGATTTTCAATACAAACGTCAAGTTGGTCAGTTCTTCTATACGGATCAGAAACTTGGCGGGTAGGTCACAAAGAATATTTCCAACACCCTGTTGCAGACTTTTATCAACTACTAACTGTCTTCACTGGCTCTGTACTAAAGATCAGATGCCCCGGCCTGAAAGAATCACCAACAAGAAAATATGGTAACAAACAAAACAAGAACCAATCACCAACGAAAAAATTTGCAGAAGAAAGTGGAGGTGGATTGGACACTTGCTGAGGAGTCCGCTGCTGGTGATATCACGCGCGCGTCAGACCATTGCTCGAGTGGAACCCGAAAGGGAAGCTCGCGGTGAGTGGGACGACAGTGCAAGGGTGACATGGAGGAGATCGTGTGAAGAGGAGTTGAAACAGTATGGACTGACATGGATGCAGGTGAAAAGTACGGCAGAAGGAAGACAGAAGCAAGTGGAGACAGACGTGCAGTTGAAGCCCTATATTCCACTAGGAACCCAAGGGAACAATAATAATAATAAATGCAGAAGATATTTTGTAGTCAAATAAATGCGAAGGCAAATAAACCTACATGGACAACAGAAACAGTATTTGGACAAACACCACTGAATTAGCTAGCCATTTCTTTGGGAGAAATGTCACCTATAATCTAAGAAATATTATTAGTGTAAGACATCATTGTAGGATGGTTTTGTTCAATGAAGCTCTAAAAGACAACGGATGTAGTCAGTGTAATCACAGCCGTGTCTGAAATCCATGTGGATTTTCTAATTTCTTTCTTTCTGAAGTACAATAAAGTGAAGAATTATTTTAGAATCTTAAATTGTAATATACCAGGTAATGGGATGAGGAGGCCGTTGAGAGATATCCCGTGCCAAACTTGACTAGGAGATGACGAGTTGGGCGGTAATCTGACGGTGACACACGGAGGAGATCGTGTGAGGAGGAGGCGACAACTTATGGGGAGTCTTTGGGCCAGATGAAGAGGACTATGCTGTTGAAGACCTATTTTCCACTCGGAACCCAAGGGAACAATAGTAAAATAATGACAGACATCGGGATATAGAACTGATTTTATCTTTAATATCTCTCTATAGTAACATTGATTTTTTCATTCCTTTACTTTCGTAGTAAAGCGTAGGGCTTCAGGCTAAAGGTTTGAAGTTTCAGTAGCAGTGGTATTTATTTTTACGGGATGGGGTTGCTAGCCTCATGCCCAACCTTCTCTCTTTACCAGTCTTATTACTGGCTTAGCAAGGCAAAGGAGTGCGTCGGCTGAGGATAGAATGCCGAACCACCTCCATGGTTTAATTGAATTTTAGATTTTCCTGTCGATTAACTGGACCGAAGTGCTTGATCTCAGGTTGACACGTCAGCAGATGCTTCGACAATGTCTGGGCATGTAATCAGAAGTTAACTGATGGATACGCATTTCATCTTATTTAGGACTCAACAGCATCTGCACGAGAAGCCGACATGTCAACCTGAGACCGAGCTCTTCGGTCCAATCAACCGACGGGAAAATCTAAAAATGTCAACTAAATTTCTTTGACCCGTTGCACAAGAGGTGGCTCTCGTGACCCAAGTGGTCTAGTGGATAACGCTTTGGCTGGTGTTTGAAACTGTGGGCACTGGACTCGAGCCTTGATGGGAAGGCCACCACTGACTCACTGGGGAATGCAGGTACATCCAGTGGTTGACGAACCCCAAATAGGACGAAATGCGCGCTATCCTGGTGGATTCCACTGCCAGTCACCGTCCACCAATTAAATTCGAATCACCTTCACGGTTGGCGAGCATTCCACAACTGTGTCAACGACGAGTAATATTTATCAGTAATTATATTTATACTTACCCATGTCGTACAATCATCATTTCATAGGTTTGTATAATTTTCTCAGTGAAAAATTTAACAGATTGTATATTTCTTTCTTGGCACACTTTATGCACTTCAGCTAAGAAGATACTATAATCTGCTTCAGGTAATACAATGCCAGGAAAGAGATCTGAGATAATACCACGAAACAGTGGAATGTCATGTGATAAAAATTTTGGTAAATTCACATCAATAATTGATCGTAGAAGCTAAATTTTGTTAAGGTGGGGGGAAAAAGAACATTAAGGCATACTTTAAACTTTTGTGTACAAATGCATACATGTATTAGTAAAGATTTTGATTACACGGGACCTTTCTTCACCAACCTTATTCACGTAGATTTCACCAGTGCTAATATATGTCTTTCTGATTATATTACTAACCTGTTGTATGACGTGTAAGTAGCTTGTTTAGATTATGTGGAGATTTCAAAAAACATTGTCGACTGAAGCCTAACAAGGACTGGTAGTTTCCTTATTCTGGCTTAATAATATATATATATATATATATTAAATCGATAAACCCAGTGAGTTGATAGGCTGTCAGTTTTTAAGCATGCGTCGGTGGTACAGTGATAGAATGCTCGGCGACCCCGAAGGTGGTTCGGGGTTCGATCCACGGCCGACAGCATCCATCAGGTTTCGGGCCCAGGACCTTCTGGTAAATAGGGAAGTTTACAGACCACTCAACCACTGGGACCCAACTCAATGGTCAGCCCATGAGAAATACTAACTTCTACCAATTCGTAATTATAGCTCAGCCACCAGGAAGTGTATCGGCGAGTATTTGTCCTCACTCCCAAATGGGTGGAACCTACTGGTCACGACTTCGCACTAACTAGAACTCTACTTGACTTCGTTCTGTAGCCAGTTACTGGTCAACATCATATTGATTTTTATGGTTTTTTTTATTCCTTTTCGTTCCTAGTGGAACATAGGGCTTCAAGATAGAGCTATAAAGTTCCAGTAGTAGTGGTATTCACTTCTACGGGATGAGGTTGCTAGCCTCATGCTCAGAGCCCCCTCTTTACCATTCTGATTAGTGGCGTAGTGAGGTAAAGGAGTGCTTTGTTGGCCGCGGATGGGACTCCGGATTACATGTGTGGTTGGCAAGCACCCTGCCTCTGTACCAACAACGTACAATTTCTAAGAGTTGGTTTGTAGGAATCTGATCTGTTTCAATTAATAATCACCATTCTACTCCTAGTCATAAAATATTAAAGTATATAAACTTGAAGCCTGACATTTATAGGCATCAAGAGCCTATCCATGGAATCTTATAACATGAAGTAGTAACAATAATCTTCTAATTAGTGCAAACAGCTCAATTGTGAGAAACACTTGAATTTTTGTAAGTTAGTTGAAAAATGGTTAATTTTTCCGCCATTTAAATTGCTATGATACAAAACAAAATAGATGGATATAACTTACAATAATATTTTCATCTTCATTTGGATACTTTAGCTTTAGATTACCAGCAGCTTGTAGAACAGCTTTCACTGCACGCATACCATAATCATAGTGAGCTTGTGATGAAAGTTGTTCTGAGCATAAACGATAGGTGGTTACAATTTTCACAGATAAACTACGCGCATCCATAAAACCATATGAGTATAATGAGATTTCTCCAATCATTGCATAATCTGGTACCATCATAGCTACTGGACGAAATAGAACCTAAGAGGAGATGAGAGGAGATGAAATCTAATGAGCAGAGGTGGAGACAGGTGAAAAGGTTGGCGGAGAACCGAACTCAATGGAGACGTGAGGCTGAAGCCTTATGCTCCTCTACAAACTAAAGGAGACAATAATATAATAATAATAATGAGTCATCAATATTGGCTTATTGAATTATTAGGCAAATTATTATTATCCTTTATAATTCCTTTAGGTTAGTAGTGGAAAATAAGGCTTCAACAGAGTATCTCCACTTTATCATGTTCTCTACGGTGCTTTTCAGCTGGCCCGACGATTATCCATTTGCTTTCATCTCCTCCTCCTCCTCGCAATGACGCTCAACCTGTCGACTTCCACTCAAACGATGGCTTGGCGCTCAATGTCACTAATTGGTCTCCTCAGCATGTATCCGATCCATCTCTATTTTGTCTAACATACTTGTTGAGCAACAGGCTCTTCAATGATTTCTTCCCAAAGTCTCTTGTTGCTAATTCTTCTATGGCTGGCCATTTAATCTTCAATATGGAGCCAGAGAAGAAGGCAGCTGTTCATAAGAAGTTTGCAGTGACCTGTTGGAAATAATTTTTGTGACACACATGCAGTGCAAGTTTCTGACTCATATAGGAGATGTGACTAACTGAACATTGGTGTTGAAAATCCGAATTTTTTTCTAGATTGCTGACTGTGTGCAAAAGATTTACATACTGATCTCAGAGTGATGAAGGTCTGTCTTTCCTTCCCAATCCTGATTGGTTTTGACATCTCTCAACCGTCGAGTCATCTGTAGTTGAAACAGAGCTGCTTAGATAAGCATCAGGTAGATGAAAAGACTATGATGTTTGATTAATTATCAAATTGTTTCTCTATTGTCTTAAATTATTGATCATTAATCAAATTAACCCCCTGACTTCATTCATTTTCGCAAATAGCTGTGTAATGGACACTTGGGACGAAACACGCAATCGGTAAAATGTGTGTAACAACAGAAGACAAGGGCAAGGAAACAGATCCTTTATTTAGGAAATCAACACATATTTATAGATTTTCATGTACATTGTCATAGATTATTGTAAGGAAACAAACACAGTCCTCTGATCGGTGGTTTCTCTCTAAACGTCAATCTTTCATCTCTTTGTGGTTATTTATTGAAGTTCAGATTATCTATCTGCGAATTGTATCCACCTAGGCAAAGTCTGCTGTGCTTAACTTTCTCATAACCAATACTGGGGACGTAAACAATGACGTAAATTACTGTCTAACAATTTTGGCTATCACGCAGATCTCACCACACTCGTTCCCCCGTCAAAGACTTCCGACTGAAGTTGGTTCCGTCTACTCGGTTCTAGGAGCTTTGTTCGTTTGTCTTGCTATCTGGAATCTCGGCACTCGCTGACGTTCTCTTTCTTTACCATTGCGATTGTGTCTGCGTAATCCCATCTCAAAGTGACCATATGTGGTCCTTCCAAATTCGGAAACTGTTTGCCTGATTCTGTCAAACATTCGTTGGTATTTCGCCTCACACTTTCATATGCTGCTTTCTCCCGGCCTTACAGCAGCGTCCCAAGTAACAGCCTCATCGCTGACATATCTTGAACGCCACTCAGCTGCGCAGAAGCCTCGAAATCTTGATCGAAGATTCATGTCTCTATCAAAAACTCCAGGGCATAGGCTTTACATTTGTCGGTAAGCAGCGACACCGAGTGTAACAACAGAAGAAATGGGCTTGGCAACAGATTAACACATATTTATAGATTTTTATGTACATTATTATAGATTATTCTAAGGAAACAAACAGTCTTCTGATTGATAGTTTCTAGCACGAAGTTAATCTTCCATCTCTTTGTGGCCATTTATTGAAATTCAGATTAACAATCTTCAAATTGTATCCACCCACGCAAAGTCTGCTGTGATTAGTTGTTGAGCCATTCTTTGTTGTTATTTTTCTCATGACTGATTTCTAGGACGTAAACATTGACGTAAATTACTGTCTATCAATTTTGGTTAGCAATCAGCTCTCACCACATGTTTATCATAAATAGAATAAGTCTTTTTTAGTAGAATAATTAGTAGGGCAACGTGAAACTCACTATTTCGACTTCTATACAACGAGGGAACCTGAGAAACCTTACGCGGAATTCTTAACAACGCAGACTTCCACATATGGCCACTTCAATGTGCATATATCAGTTCACCTGCTCTTGTGGAACTAGGTACATAAGTCATTCTATGTGGGTCTTATCAACATGTGTTAGAGAACATCATCCAACATGGCTGCAAAGAGGAGGCACTGGTTCAATCAGAAGCGCAATAACTGAACATCTCCTCAATACCTTTCACAGAATCTCAACTGATTCATCATTCAGAGTCATTTACAAAGTAAACAAAAACCCACCAAAAGCAGTGTGTTTCCGACTTCGTTTTAATGTGGAACCTCTTACCATATACATCGGAAAGCCAGAGCTATGTGTTCAAAAGAAACTAGTCAAGCCTCTACAACTACCATGGACCTAGTTGGGTATGTTCCCTTATTCTTCAGTTTTTTGTTTTGTTTTCTGTGTTTAATTTTCTGTCTTTGCCTTCATTCAATTCGTCCTATTTTTTCAATTATAAAATCAGTTATTTTAAGTTTGTTTCCATGCTCCTCCTGATCACACTTGTAATCCGTTTAGAATAACCATTTTACCATTATATTCTAATCCTGTATAATTTTTTGTTCCTTTGCCTCTTGTAATCTATATTCACACCTCCTAACTTACATTTCAAGTTGAAAATTTTGATTTCAATTTGTTTCCATGCTCATTTTGTTCACACCTGTAATTCGTTCTATTCCTGTGTCTCTAAGCCTCTTGTAATTCATATCAAGTTGCAAAGAACAATTATCACCTTTTATTCGCCTTTAAAATATTTCTGCAGTTATCAAATATTAATTTTGTATACGTTGTAACTATTTTCTAATCCTATGAAATCTTGTCTCTAATCCCCTTTTAAGCTATATTCGTACCTTCAAAATTTCATATCAAGTTGAAAATTATTATTATCACCTTCGTTACTGTATGTGGAATTAAACAAATAATAATTCTATCCATGTAAACTAATCTATATAAATGCGATTGTATAGATGCTTTTGAGAATGAAACAGCCAAAAAGTTATCTGTTTGCTGAACTTCTTGTTCTTTTCAACCTAATGTTCCATTGGGTATGTTCCACGATTTTGACGTAGTTCTGTATTCTCTGAGCTGAATGGTACATTTGCAAAGCTTTAATTGAAGTTGGCGCTGAAGAGGTAGCCTAGTAGGACAATGTACGCTTCGCAAATAAACCACCCAGTCTAGACAACATAACCACATCAAAAGCAGTCAAACTGTTCTGTGATTTCACATGGTGAAGTCAGGAATTTTTATTTTACATTTTAATGTGGAAAAAATAAAATTTCTGTGCGTCGGTGGCACAGCGGTTAGGAATCTCGCCGACCATCCACATGGTCCGAGGTTCGAGCCCACGCCGACGCATACCTGATATCTATGGTCGGCCTGCGAAATTTGGGCTACCGATATCCATGCTGAAAATTCCATACTTGTACCAAAAATACAGTGTGGAATCAAGCTGTAATCAAAAATAAAATAATAATAAAAAATCCTAATATAAGTGACTGAAAGTGCTAAGCCAGTGACGAAGTTATACCAAGCTCAAGAGGACGAAAAGTACCCGGCCGATAGCTGGTACCTTGACGTGGTGGTCGGGCTTGCATATCGCGACAACCCAACAAGCTACACTGGCTGGAACTGATGTTCCTGTAGGTCCTACCATGCCAGGAAGCTTGTTAGGATAGCGATTAGACTAAACGCAGTTACTGGCACTGTGTAAGAATCTTTCGTACACTACGCTGGGGTTCTGAGGGTGAAGTCGTACTGCTGGGAACAGGGATGTGACAGCAGTAAGGTGTTTCCCTCAGATAACCTGCATGCCAGCCGACTACGCCATCTCTCCACTCCTGAGAGAGGGGGCTAGAAAAGGTTGACCCCAAAAATTGTACATTCTGACTTACCCTGTGGTGGTCCGTAACCGGCGGTAAGTTTACTAATACGGAACCAAACCAAGAAACCAATTCATACAGGCCGTGTGTGTGACCAGCCTCAAGCACTTGTCCCCTGGGCTCTGCGGTCAAGCAACACTAACCTTCTCTCTGTTTCAGGTACTCGAAGAATCAATCAACTTCCGCGGTGTGGGCAGCCGGAAAGTAACAACCGCACACGAAGCCTTCCTGAGAATCACTCTCCTTTACTCACACCACCTTCCTCATCTTGCTTCTCTACTACAGTTAGTATTATTCTGCAGGCTACTGGGTCATCTTCACTTCAATCTGTGACCGCAAACAACGGTGAGAGCCATAGAAACGCCCCAGATAGCCTTTTAAAGCCACGTGGCCAACTTCATATAGGGGCATTTAGTGTCAGACAGGACGAAAAGTAGCTGCGTAGAACTGACAGAACTAACAATATCTCTCTCTCTCACTGCCAATAAAAAGTCCTATATTGTATATCTGAATAATACAATTACTAATTACTTTTCAATTGATATACAACACTCTTCACCAGGTGTTGAAGAACTCACTTTTAAGTTGTCTGGTAATTCAGATCGACCAGCATACCCAGGATTCATTGTAATGCATACGTAACAATTGGGATTCAAATTCAATTCAGTGCCTTCAAATACAAACACTTCTAGATGTGCTTGAATAGCACGTATAATACAGAGAATCTATTAAGGGAGAAAAGGAAGAAGAAGAAAACAGAAATTCATTCATTCAAGTAATGATATATAAAAATTTTAATAAAAAAGCTGATTCGTAATGTTATCCAGTTTGCAATGGTTTATTTGTCTCCTCCCCCCTAGCGTCCCTGGTAGAACACAGGGCTTCAAGCTTGAACTTCAAAGTTTCGGTAACAGTGATTTCTATTTCTACGGTGTGAGGTTGCTCGTCTCATGCCTAACCTTCTCTCTTTGTCGGAATTATTACCAACTAAGTGATGTTTGGGGAATGCATAGACCAGGGATCTAACCCAGGACTATATCAGTGGTCGGTGGGTATTCTAACTCTGTCCCAGTGACATAAGTGTGTAGTACTAAGTCTGTGAATTATTCATCATCGTATAAAGATTCACGAAGGAAGATTTAGACTGCTAGGTCGCATCTCTCCCTAAACGAGATTTTGTATATTTGTAACTACTGGATTTTAAAACATCCTGTGAGAGGCTCAGCTGAGGAAACCGAAAATAGCCTCGTATCAACAGTTCAGTGGTACCAGCACTGCAGAGATATCGCCACATGGAAAATGGAGAGAATTACTTCGTTGTTAGGCGGAGAAGGTGTCGTCATACACGTGGACGAAACTGTGTTACTGAAGAAAGAATACAACCGTGGTCGTGAGTGCACCAACAATGTTTGGGTGATTGGTGTATATGACACCTCCCCGCGGAAAGGATTCGCGGAGACGCGGTCGTCTCTTGGATATAATCATCACAGAGTGGACCATTCCAGTGATTTTGTGGATCTTATTACAGGGACATACACAAATTCTATAGAAGTATTTTGGGGAAGATTGAAAAATAGGATTAGGGCTATTAATGGATCTCAAAACAATGTCATTTATAGTCATTTGGATGAATATGTGTACAGAATCTGGTGTTACTTCTCCATTGATACTCTTATGATAAACTGGGAGATATTTCTATTACATATCAGTGAAAGATACCTTGTGTAACAGTTTTATGCGGTTTTTACGCTTTTTTTTCCACAAGTATACGTTTTCCTTCATCGAAATTCCCTCTTTCATGCGATTAGTCCGTTGAAGGTCGTTCGCTGATTGGTAGTTAGTGGTGCTTAAAATCTAACTTTGCGATTAGCTGTCCAGGTGGTTCTATATAAGTAAAAGCAAGATATGTGCTTGACACCATCCTAGAACTATTAAGTTGCGTGTATAATGACCAAAGTGTGTTCTTACTTTTTATAAATTATTTTAATTAATCCCAGCGTGTTAAGAAAATCAAAACAAGATTTTTCTGAACGTTTCGCCGTGTAAGCCACAGCTTCTTCAGGGTAAATCTGCTGAAGAAGCTGTGGCTCACACGGCGAAACGTTCAGAAAAATCTTGTTTTGATTTTCTTAACACGCTGGGATTAATTTAAATAAATTAATATGAATCAATCTGACTCGGCGCTCAAATTATTCCAGGAAATATTTTCTTATTTTCCCTAAAATTAAGAACTAAATTACTTACTAAGATACTGAATCACGAGAGTTATTCCTTATGCTATAAATGTTTGACGCTGTTCAGACTTGCTCCTGTTTAGCGAATTAGAAGGATTGACATCTGTCGGCATGTGGACCTACTTCATGAATATTTTGAACACCTCCATAACCCTCATTCTGATGTCATTTATTTGTTTGTGATAGTTCTAAATTGCATCACTAATTACTACTGGTATAAATGACACTCGTATAAAGATGATTCGCTTATCAGGCTATCTCCATAAGTCAGCCAAGCAAATAGTCAATGCCAATAGGTGAGATTCAGTAAAGTGAGCGACACATTGTGTCAACCATCTTGGGTAATTGATTATTTGCTTAAAATTCGACAAGCCTCTCCTATGGGTATATATGATTTCTTGGAATGACACGATCATCTTTTGGTTTCTCTGCTCAAAATTCTCAACTCAGTGAAGTAACTTAATACACACACAGGTGTTAGGTGGGTGAAATTGTTACTTGATTTATGGACATACCTATGTTGTGGTTTATGGGACAAAAAATATTGCGGAGCTATTCAGACACATTTGATTATGAATAACTAGGCATTTAGACATATTTGAATAACCGTGTAATACGTCGTGTAACATTATTATTTATTTATCAAAACGCAGACTTGAAAAATTATGGACACCAAGACATGCACCCCACGAAATCTCATAGTTTGTGTAAGGTCTGAAATACTACGCAGATCTACGCAGGTGATTTTATTAAGGCTCTTGCTACTCCTCACCTCAAGCATTTGACTTGAGTTCTCTTCGACAAGGCAGTCGAGCAGCCTCAGAAGCTGCACACATACCAGTGACTAAAGCAGCTTCTTTTCGAATAGTGCAGTCCATGTACACCATAGGTTTGGAAGCAGGGTTTTGTTGGGCCTGCCTTAAGATGGACCAGCATATCCACCAGTCCGATTGTAAGTCCCAGATATCTGCATTCGCCCTTTCAATTTTGTGAAGAATACTCTCGCAGCATGAAGGCAGCACCTGTATGACAGCACTTAGAGAGGAGGAATGAAATCTACCCACTCTCGGCCATACCAGGTCGTTTATGAGGACCTTTCTTGTTTACATATCTAACTGAAACCAACCTTCACATCATTCCCCTAAAAATGTCTATAATTAATGCCATTTTAATGTGTGATATACCCTAAAATGGTGAAGAAGTATCACATTTGTATAATGAATTAATAATAAGGATCATGATATCTTTCATCTTACCTGTTGGGCGACAACGGATAAAACTTCTAGTTCAATACGATTGAATTCATCAAAACAAGCCCATGCACCAGAAGATGCAAGTCCTTTGAAAAACTAAACAGATGTTTGAGAACAAATGAACAAGAAAAATAAATTCAAGATGTTTTATTCGTAAAAAGATTTGTCTATTCATAACAATAATAATTTTATCATCGTTATAATTTGGTGAGATCTGTCTGCTAGCCAAAATTGTAGACAACTATTCGCGTCAGTGTTTACGTCCCGAATCAGGGTCATGAGAAAAAAGAAAAAAGCAATAACAAAGCTTAACCTTGAGGAACTCACCGACCGATCACAACAAATTTAACGTGTGCAAATACAATTCGCAGATATATGGCCTAACTCTCTAAGAAACGGTCACAGATTGTACAAAATAACCTTCAGGAAGAAAACAGCCAATCAGAAGACATTGCTCCTCTGGTAAAATTAACGCTAATAATAATGTACATAAAAATCTAGAAATATCTCTTGATTTTCTGAATAAACGATCTATTGTCTAGCCCTTGTCTTCTGTCGTTAAAATACCATACCCCTGACTTCAGGTAACCATGCAAACTTTCAGTGGAATCTGTATGAGTCGCAGTGAAAAGATTAACGAAATCGTCTGTATGACTAATGATATTGTGAATTTAGCCCAGGGTTAACAGTTGGCTACACGTTTTCTCCCCTTCCAATGATCCTAGTGTCTAGAGAGTACTTAACCACTATATTTGGATGAAATTTGACGAACGTAATTCATGTACAGCATCCAAGATTCCCCCTATATACTACAGGCACATCTGTTTGTTCGCTCAGGGTCATTTATCCGTTCATTAGATAGTTTTCACGTTTTAGGCTGCTATAGTTTAAAGTCACCGCCTATGAATTCCATCAAGATATATACAGGAAAAAGAGAAGACGTTCAGAGAAGAGACTATTTTTGGCGAATTCATTCACAAAGCTGTACAATCGCATTTATATTTAATTATAAACAAACTTCAAAGTCATCTACAGAGTAAGAAGTATTCTTCCTAAAGGTGTACGAATCAGACTTCTTCAAACTGTAGAAGCAATGATGATTCACTTGCTAAGTCCTGAACTCTGAATACAGAAGAAATTCGTTCACTCACCACACTTGTAATCGGCGTATTCTATCTCATTACCCGACAAGTAAATTCTACCTAATCTTTTTTTCTCTTCTGTCTCCTCATTAGTATTCTTTTGTATTCTCAACTGTAATACTCTACATTTTCAGCCTTCTTGTTGTCTACCTTCACCCGATTTAATTTCTCCACCTCATTACCACTGTTACTGACTTGGCCAACGCCCAATGTCTAGTCACTTATGTTAGGTCATCCAACTTATTTGCTCAATTTTAGTTCTAATTTAAATGGCATTATTCTCTACCCCCACTTCTACTTAGTCTCTAACTGTAATCACCTCTGTTGCTACCTTGACCTAAGTTGAAACATTTTAGTCAATTATATTACGTCATCTAACTTGCCGACTCAATTTCACTTTAGTTGCTGTCTGATTAACCTTGTTTCTATATTAGATCATTCTTCTACTACCTGATGAATTATCTAAACTTGACAAACCTCATGTATACACACACACAAATAGTTATATATAAATGCGATTGTACAGCTATGTGAATGAATTCGCCAGCGAAAAGAGTCTCTTCACTGAACTTCTTCTCCTTCTTCCTCTGTATACAGGAATCAAAGGTGATTCCTTACTCACCTGTCTAGTCTTTATTAAATGATAATCATCGAAAGATAAATTTAACACCTTCTTCGCAGACAAAATCAACTTACTTTACCCATAGCAATATAATCCAAACCATCTGAACAATTGAAGACTACACATTGAACAGCGATAGCTTTAGCCAAATCTTTTGTTGTCTCTGTTTTCCCTGTTCCAGCTGGTCCTTCCGGTGCACCATTTAAATTCAAATGATAAGCACCAATTAATGTTCGATAACATCGATCTGTCAGTGGAGTGATGACAAGACGCGGTGAATTGCCCAAATATTCATAAGCATAGGCTACTTTAGCATTTGTAAGCTTAACCTGTATTGTTCAACAGTGAATAGGCATAAGAAGAGAAGTAGTTTATAACAATAGGAATAAATGGTAGTGAGGTGATAGCTGGTTGCAAGCCAAAATTGTTGACAGCAATTTACTTTAATGTTCACGTCTCAATCAGGGTCACGAGAAAAAACAATAACAAAGCCGAACCTTGAGGAATTCACCAACCAATCACAACAGACTTAATATGTACAAATACGATTCGCAGATACATGGCTTCACTTTCTAAGAAATGGTCACAAGCAGTACGGAATAACCTTGAGCAAGAAGAAGCAATCAGAAGACGTTGCTTCTGAGCAGACAATATTCTACATAAAAATCTATAAATACCTCTTGATTTTTTCAATAAACGATCCGTTTCCTGGTCCTTGTTTTCTGTCGTCAAAGTATAACATTTTGTACAATGCTTTACCGACTATTACTATTTCCTTTAATTCCTAAGTAGCAAACAGAATATCAACTAAAATTAGAAAAATTTCACAAAAATTCAGGATCATTGAAACCTAGATGGCCAAGTGGGTAATGATAATGTCTGAACTAACCTGTTTTGGATGCACAGATTAGGGCTTGTTAATATAGATCGTCATAGCCTCAGCAATATTTATTAGTCGGAGTCTTAAGGCGAAATTGAGATTTTTTGGTATGCGATAAATAACTTTGAAATCCATCTCATTGACTTTAATCTTGTGTTCTGTATCCACAAGATGAGATAGAATAGCGCTACGAATAGATTTTGTTTGTCCTTCACTTAATCATGCATTGTGATAACGATAAACACGCCTAACTGTATGGCCTATGCAACTAACTGGCTCACTCCACAGCAGCAGTTAAATTGGTAGATACACACACATGGAAGAGGCGAAATTGGATAGTTTGTCTTTTACTCTTGAACGTAAAATAGGAGTGATTCTAAAGACACAGCGTAATTCGGCAGCAGCAGCAGGCAATGCTCATTTTACCGCATTTCTAAGGCGCTGTGTTAGTATCTCGCTGGTGTTGTCCCCAAGGAACTGCATTTATAAGAATAAAGCATCTTTAGGAACTATTGGTACCTTGGGCTGCTTTGATTTTAGATTCATATTCTTATCAATAAACTTTTGTGGATAACTATTTTCACTTAGCAACCGTTTGATATTATTAAGTTCCTCATCAAGACATTCGTCGGAGCAGATTACTCTTGCTCTGTGGCAGACCAAGCACTTTATCAGATTGCGTTTGTATTTTAAGGGCATGAAGCTGAAAAAAATGAGTATACTGACCAGGTGATATAGGTTTCTTCTCATTGTGCCATACTACTGTTCTAAAATATTCTATATATACAAACATATGTATAATTGTATAGCCAGAAGAGAAAATTATTAAAAATCATATTTAATGGTCAGAGCAGAATTTCATATGAGATAATAAGATTTTTAGAAAAAAGTAATAGATAATTTACCTGAACATTTTCATTTTCCCAATAATATCTTAATTGTGATAACCAATTGAAATCATTTTCTGATGTAACGCCTAATTTAATCATTTCTTGTACAACATCCCGCGCGTGTACATCAATAACAACCAGAGCACCAAGTGTAATACGCTGTTGAGCATTCAGCTTTCCACGTACTAATCTTACAATATCAGCCATTTGTTCATCAAGTTTTTCATGATAATTTTCTAAACCTTTTACACCATAACTAAGTGATTCGTGTACTTCTAATGTCCAATAGATTTGTGAAACACACAATACAACTTGTCCAGGCCAGTGACAAACCCATAAATCACGTCTTTCATCACCATAGGCCTAAAAAAGAGATATATTGAGGAATAGCGAATGTGATGGAAAAGTTGAACAATTAGTGTTTATATATATATATATATATATATATGGTTTAGACAGCCAAATAAACGTCGATGGTCCAACGGTAGAAGATCCACTAACCACCCATGTGGTTCGAGGTTCCATCCCCCAACTGACGCACTCCTACAAAAGTACTTCTGCACTACGTCATCAACTTCTTATCTGACCTCATGTGCAGCGAAATTTTGACCTTCTCTTATCTAATTACGTAACCATTACTAATTTTCTTTTGTTACCACCTTAACAACACAACTGTTAATTAATTTTTTTCAAGAAACTTCCCTCTAACAAGATATATATATATGTCGTAACACTTTAGACACCTTGTAAATCGCAACGCCTCATTTCACTCTGACGCCCTGACAATATGCTTGGTAATGGACAAAGGTCTGTTAAAATTGTACACTTTTTTACTATATCAAAGAATTCAGGTTGTACGCAGCTGATGAGAACCGACGAAATAAAATGGATCCAGATTATTCTGAACCAATGTTTCTTGTTTCTTTATTCAAATTTATAAAAGGGAATCATTGTATGAAATGTTATCTTCTTAGATTCTGAACATCCTGTCCATACGCAACTCTCTCCTTGCATCCCATCCGGTATAAGTAGAAGCAACTATAAAAGACTGTATACTCGGACGACCTAGTACAAAATTTCCATAACACCTTATTTGACAGGCACACATTTTATGCGGTGAGAAATGTGTAGGACAGGAAATTACCAACTTACTGAGGATCTCTAAGTAAATGGCGTTGTTGGATTTGTTCTCATTATTACATTGTTGCTGATGTTTTTTATTTGATTTAAGTTTATACTCACTTCTTGTTAAATAATATTAATAATGTAAATGCCCTAGGTTAATTATTGCCTCTGAAATGAGAAAATTAGACACAATATTGTATTTTGTATTACATGCAGAGAAATATGTGGTGAGAGCTGGCTGCTAGCCAAAAGTGGTAGACAGTAATTTACATAAATGTTTACGTCCCCAATATTGGTCATGAGAAAAATAAGAACAAAGAATGACTTAACAACCAATCACAGCAGAGTTTGTTAGCGTAGGCGGATACAATTTGCAGATAGATGATCTGAACTTCAAGAAACGGCCACAAAGGGATGAAAGATTAACTTTCAGTTAGAAACAATCAATCAGAAGACTGTGTTTGTTTGCTAACAATAATCTATAATATGTACATGAAAATCTATAAATATGTGTTGATGGCATTTCATAAAACTAGATGTCATTATACCATAATTTGTAGTGGCAACGTTAAACTTTAAGCTCCAATAACCACCAATCACCGAATGACCTTGTGCGCATCAGCCACGTGAAGGAGGCGTTTTCGTGTATGGAATACCTTTATATTTATGAAATAATGCATAAAAACTGTAGAAATGTGTTACAGAGGATACCTTGCTCTTATATGTGATATGTGTGCGTCGGTGGCACAGTGGTTAGGACTCTCGCCGACCATGAATATGGTCCGGGGTTCGATCTCCTGCCGACGCACACCCGGTATCAATCGTCGGCCTGCAAAATTTGGGCTACCTACATCAAATGCTGAAATTTCCTTACATCTACTAAAATAAAAGCTATAGTGTGGAATCAAGCTGCAATAAAAAAATAAGACGAAGTTCAGCAACAGCGTCCCAGGAGTGCGAATACTTTAATGACCTTGAACTCATGTTAGTCGTTGGTTCCTAGTTTTTGAGTATCAGCAGAGTATAATTCCATTGTGGGAAAAAATTCACTTCGATAAGGTCTCATAGTGTAATACAGAAATATTTCGTGAGCAATAAACTGTGCTGGAAACGTGGTCATCAGTAAATATGACTGTATGATACTGTGAGATTTTATCAAAATAAATGTTACCCATAATCGAATTACACTCTACCACAGTACCTAAGTTCTATTCTTATATCAATAGAGTAATTCAAACACATTCTATGCATGTAATTATTTAGGTCTTCTAACCCTGACAATAATCCTAATCTTTCCTGAACCTAACCCAAATGTGAAAATATCCCTCAGCTAACTGTAATCTAATTCGAACCAACCCTAATGTCACCTTAATTAGGTTAACCTATCGCCAAACTTGTCCTTGGCTTCGATGAGCATATTTTAATGATGATGTTAACATTATCACAGACTTGCTCAGTAAGCGTTTCAAGATGATTGGTGTAGTAGCATTCCAATGGTAGTTACTCGTGCTGAAAGTATAACTTGGCCTGTGTAGTTTACTTTTATAAGAAAGTTTAATAAATGAACACACAGGCACACACACACACACAACTTACGAACGAACAACTTACCTCTCTAGCCGCTGCTATCACATCTCTAACTGACATTACCATCACTTTTTCCACTTGTAGCAACCATTTCTCTACTGCACCACGTGCTTCTGATGTACTTATAGGCTAAATGATATTATTTAATGTAAATAATAAATCATACATATATGAGTAAATGATTAGTGAATATAAGAGTACAGAAAAAACAAAAATAAAAACGAAATGGGTTATTGCATTCGTCAAAAAAAAATGGCAGAGCTTGTGAGTAAGTTGAATCATACGTACCCTATCATCCAAATTTCCGGTAGTCTTAACTTCAGTCACGTGACTGGATGTTAGTTTACATAATATTCGTATACTTTTCTATGATAGGCATTACAGTTTCTTCCTTCTCATTAGTTATGCTATTTCCAGTTCATACATTTCGTGTTCATCCACATGAGTTGAAGAATCTATTCCGTTTGATTCGAGTCAATTGCCTGTTCTAATGCATTTGCACTTGCAATTTGGTGAGGATAAGGTTTTCCAGTACTGCTTGGATGTGGGGAAAAGATTTGTTCATATAGAAGTGTCATGAGTATAAAAAAACTTCAGCAGGTCAATTGATGGATATGTTTATCGTTGTGCAATTTGTTTGAGACGAGTTAGTGTCAGTCAGGGTAAAGGTAAGCTGATGATTTTGATATCTCGTAGGAACATGTTTTTGCTAGGTCTCATGTGTGCTTAACCCAGATTTTGTGTGTTTGCGTAATTAATGGGTTTTAAAATAGGCTGTGAAAGGTGCAGCTGCTGAAACAGTGGTACCAGCACTGTAAAGACATCGCCTCATGGAAAATGGACAGAATTACTTCGTTGTTGGGCGTAGAATGCATAGTCGTGCACGTGGACGAAATTGTGTTACTGAAGAAAAAAATACAGCCGTGGTTGTGAGCGAGCAAACAGTGTTTGAGTGATCAGCTTATGTGACAGCTCCCTACAGAAATGATCGGTTGAGAGAATACCAGACAGAAAGTCAATTACCTTGATACCTATAATCACTCGACTTGTGAAACAGGGATCTATAATACACATCGATGAGTCGAAAGGTTATAACTCCTTGTCATCCCTTGGATACATTCATCACAGAGTGAACCATTCCAGTGATTTTGTGGATCCTTTTACAGGGACACACACAAATTGTATAGAAGGCATTTGGGGAAGATTAGGAAACAGGATTAGGGCTATTAATGGATCTCAAAACAATGTCATTTATACTCATTTGGATGAATATGTGTACAGAATGTGGTGTAACTTTTCAGTTGATACTCCTACTGTTACACTGGGAGACATTTCTATCACATATCAGTGAAAGATACCCTATGTAACAGTTTTATGTAGTTCTTATGCTTATTTTCATCAATATATATTTTCCATAACCAAAACTGCATCTTTCACGTGATCTGTCCGTTGAAGGTCGTTCACTGATTGGTAGTTGGTGGTGCTTAAAGTTTAACTTCTCCATAAATATCCCGACGAAAATAAAGGCGGGCCTCGTACACGCCATTATGGAGACACTGTCAAATGACATCGTGAGCTTATGAGCAATTGTGACGCCAGCTGAAGCGTACTGCAGAGAACAGGACAAGATGGAGATGTGCTGTTGAGGCCCTTTCTTCTACTCGGAACCCGAGAGAATAAAACAACAATCAGTCCTTGTTTTATGCTATTATATTTCATTGTTTTAATATCAAATTAGTTCTTTTTAAAAATGAAAGTAACACTCAATTCCCGGACATTCGTCTGCCATTCATAAATCAAGATAAAAGGAGTATTAATCCATGAGATAATATCATTTAAAGATGCAAATTAATTAACACTTATGGAGGAGACAAACGAAAACCTAACGAAAAAAAATTTCTTCATATTCACAACTTTGGTACAAATTATGATAAATTAAAAAAAATAGTTAACACAAATCCGTAAGCTTGTCACTTCAAATCAATTGGAGTGTACTACAATGTCGATTTTCATACAGACTGCCCAAGTCAGTGGTACGCCAAACGAATAAAACAAAAGCCGACGATTTGGATTCCACCGTAAAGTAAGTTGATGTTCCCATTTCAGTCATCACCTCAATAATCATCACACCACTGTGTTGCGATTCTCTTCGTAACTTATCTCTATTTTAGTTTGTGGATGTTGACTAGCAGTGGAATCAAGGATGCTCATTTCGTCCTATTCGGGACTCGTCAACTAGCTGGATGTACCTGCATTCCCCAATGAGTTAGTGAGGACGTTCCCACCGAGGCTGGAACTCAGTGACCATATTTTCAAATGTAAAAGCGTTATCCTCTAGACCACTTGGGCCACGAGAACAGCTCTCTCTTATGCGACGGGTAATATTAATTATTTAATTCAATTCTAGATTTCCCCATCGATTGATTGGACAGAAGTGCTCGCTCTCCCGTTGACATGTCAACATCTACGAATTAAATTTTAATTAAATGCCCAGACAGTGTCGAAATATCTGAACAAGAAGCCGATATGTCAACCTGAGACCGAGCACTTCGGTCCAATCAACCGACGGGAAAATCTTAAAAAATTCAACTAAATTACCTCTATTTCGCCTTAATTTCTATTTTCTTTGCATCTAGCTGTATACTACTTACTAATAATAAGTAGAATGAGTCATGCTCCATTAAATGCACTGCTTCCAATAGAATCAAAGTCGTTCATTTTGGTGGGAATTTATTTCATTCAGTTTGTTCGTGATAATTGCAGTCTTTTGATTAAACTGTATTCTTTATAATATATGTTTGCTTTGTGTCCCCACCCTCACTATTCTAGCTCATTCTAACATTCTTTTTACCTTGTTTTCTGTATTCCTACCTTTTGCATTCTTAACCGTGAAACAATTTGACATATCTGTTTTACTTATTCCTTCCCTCACCTGTTTGAAAGTCGTTTAAACGGTAATTAGTCCAGAAATCTCATGATTACAGGTTTGTATTTCACACCGCTAATTTAGCCTAATCTTAAAATAACTACTTTTTTTCAGAGTAAACTAGGGAAGGTTACTACCAGCAGAAAATAATGACTGAAAAGGCAGTTCAGTTCAAAGTAAATTCTTTTGGACGACCGTTTGATTTCAAAGTTATATTCAACCAATCAGACTAGTAACTTGTTGGCTTAACTTTCTGAGTGTCTGCAAAGCATATATTTATATGCTGCATTTTCGTCTGATAAAGTGAATTGTTCTCACTACCTTGGACCAGTCTGTCATCTATTCTTTTTTGAGGTAGATTCTGGGGTTTAGATGTAGTCAGTATTTATTGTTCAACGTTCAGTCGAATATCAACTGCATTTCAATATCAAATCCAAGTTACAGAGTTATCATGAGTGTTTGTCATATGAATTTATAATTTATCGCTTGAAAATGAAAAAAACTGTCAGCGAAGTTACAGAATAGCGAGCTAGGAGTGCGAACTCATTAGTGACCTTGGACGCATACTGTCCATTGGATCAAGGAAGGGACCTACCATCATTGCAGCGCCACTACGAGCGCTGTGCATCGGTGGCACAGCGGTAAGATGCTTGCCAATCACTTATGTGATTTGAGGTTCAATCTCCAGCCGATGCACCCCTTTACCTCACTAAGTCGTTAACAAGACTGTTAAGCAGGGAAGGTTGAGTATGAGGCTGGTAACCCCATCCCGTAAAAATAAATACCACTGCTACTGAAACCGCAAGCCTCTTGCTTGAAGCCTTATGGTTTACTGGGAGAGTATAAAGGTATAAAAATAAAATAAATGAACAGTGTGTACGAAATGAGGTGGAAATCTCATCCCCGTTTCAGAGACTTGGCGAGTCATAAAGAGCATCTCAAACAAACTTCAAACCTTCATTAACAACTGTCTCCGCTCAATACTCAAGATCAGATGGCCAGAGAAGATCAGCAACAGGGATCTCTGGGAGCGAACCAATCAGGAACCGATTGTGAAACAAATAGGCAGAAAGAAATGGAGATGGATTGGCCATACGCTGAGGAAACCATCAAGTGACATCACTAGACAAGCCCTCGAGTGGAACCCGAAAGGGAGGCGGCGAGTTGGTCGTCAATGCAAGGGTGACTTGGAGGAGGTCATGCGAGGAGGAGATGAAAACATGTGGACAGACCTGGAGCAGGTTGAAAAAGTTGTCAGAAAACCGAAGTCAATGGAGGTGCGCAGCTGAAGCCCTATGTTCCTCTAGGAACTAAAGGATACAATAATATAATATAATAGTCAAGATGCTTTAGCTGCAGTCTTTTAGTAAATAAGTTTAGGGTGTTCATAATTATTATTTGTATTTTTGTAGTAAATATAAACGTTATTTTTATGAAAAAGGAGCTGGTTTTCTGATTGGTTGGTCACCTCAAGGACATTTGTGCGTTCATATTGTTTGTTAGATTGTCATGAATTCTAGAGAAAGTCGAAACAGGAGATAATAAGAGATATTTGTGGCCCGAAAATATATAAACATGGATGTCTGGTGTTGTGTGAACTTTAATATTTTGTTGTGAACTAAGAAAAAAGAGTCAAGACTCCTCGTTATCAAAACAAAAAACATTCAAAAATGAAATTTCAGAGTCAGTGGTTACTTGCAATTATTAAATATTTATTCAGAGTAACAATGCGTCGGTGGTGCTTAGTGGAATGGTCGCCAACCACGCCTCATGTGGTCCGGGGTTCGATCCCCGACCGATGTACTGATTTACCTCTATAAGCCAGTAATAAGACTGGTTGAAAAGGAAAGTTTGGACATAAGGCTTACAACTCTATCCTGTAAAAATAAATTCCACTGCTACCAAAACTTCAAAGCTTTAACCTGACGCCCTATGTTCCATTGGAAACGTAAAGGAATAAATAAAAACAATAGTAATAACTAATATATACACATTCGAAGAAATAGGGTCATCATTGTAAACGGTAATTTTACTCAAAATTTACTCAAAATCATCTAAATAGTCTAGCAATTATGCCTATTAGTATCATTCTTACTTTCCTTTATAACTTGAGAAGATAATTACCTGACTCAGTTGAACCTTTTCACCTTCACTTGAAAACATTGCTTTAATATCCAAACGATTGTCAAATTCCAGTTTAGCAATACCTTCAAAACACTTTTTCAAATGTGGTTGTACACGAAGTGGATCTTTAGTTTCTGATAAAATCTCTAACATTTCATCATTTGATAGGAAAAAGAATCGTGCAAAATATAAACGTTTTTTCTCTAGGTATGCATTCAAGCCTTTATTAATTTTATCGAGTAATGCATTGCTGTCTTTGATTTTCTCTAGAATTCCAGGGAAATCAGTTGCCTAATTTTTGAAATAAAAACAAACAGTAAAGTAGTAGCGGTGTTAAAATTAATATTCATTGTTGGGGAACATCATCATTCTGACACTGGAACATCGTATATTGACTTCATTCTTATTATTTGTCCTTCTCCCTATTTAATCTGTAATTTTAATGCTTCCCAAGTATTCGTTTGTAGGGATTTGATTGACTGGTTACAGGATTACATCATAAGATTACTGACATCGGTTAGAGAACTATTAGAAAACCACCAGGGAGTACTTAGCAGCTGTTTGAGACTCTTCATCAGTACGCACCCACAGCCAGGGTTTGGACTCAGGACCTTCTGGTTCCAAGGAGATCTCGTAGATCAGTAAGCCACTGGAACCTGATACATTGTGATAAAGTGAAAATTTGTTGTTTTATGATATGATTTTCACCATCCTGAACTTGCGATGTCTGAGAGAAGTACTGGTGTGTGATTCTTGTGGACAGGGATTTTGATCCCACCTTATTGGTACTTCTGACAGTTGAAATGCAGTTAAGCTTATTTTGTTCTCTACAGTGCTTGTTCTTTACTTTGAAACTCACCTTGTCTGTATCGCTGCTGAGGTAAATTTCAATGTTTGATTTTAATAACGTTGAACAAGAATCACACATGGATTCCAATCACCGACAACCGAATTTCTGCTGTCTTGGAGCGTTTCGTGACTGTGCATTTCTCAAGGAAGATTAAGCAGCTATACAGTAGGCCGCAAAGATCAATTTCCTGTGTTCATACCACTACGAGTCGGTTATGGGGTCCCAACAGACATGAAGAAAGCCTGACACTGATTCTATCGTTACTGAATTCACAGAAACAATCGTATGGAACAGCGTAAAATCTTTTGTGAAAATTTCCACTAATTCTGTTCTGTAACACAGATGATCAGTGTGTCTATCCATGTGTCGTCATCGAGTTACAAAGGTGTCACTGAGAGTTTATAACCACTGAATTTCAATGAATCAGTGAATTTAATTTGACCAAGCAGTCTGTTCCTACACTATTATAATTCCCTCAGCTTCCAAGCGGAACAAACGCCTTCAGTAGTCTAATTATCTGCGTTTTGTTATGTTCACTGCAAGCCTCTTTAGCTGGCCCCATGACTGCCCGTAAGCTTTCATCTCCTTCATGTCACCATCGAACCCACACCCAACTCGTCGTTTTCCACTCGGATTCTACTCGAGCAGCTATGGCCTGGCGCGCAGTGTCATCCGACGGTCTCCTAGATACTTGAAGGAACTGACCACTTGCAAATTAATTCCGTCGATAGTGATTGAAAATTGTTATTATTCTTGGTTCGTGGTTTTTTTTATCACCGCCATCTTCTGTATATTAACTTGAAGTGTTGTCTTTGCTGCTTCTTCTGTCAACCTGTTAGCTTTCGTCTGTAAAGTCTTCGAGTTTGTGTGACTTTAGACTTTAATTAAATCCATTGCCACCTACATCCGACACATCTGTAGTAATGATGTTCTAGAAACAGAATTAGACCTTTTGAAAGGAATTTTCATGCAAAATGGATACCCATCAAGATTCATTTATAATGAATATCAAACGAAAATTTTGAAGGAATGAAAATTCACTTGAACCGAAAAAGAAACTCTACATAAACTTGGATTTCAAGGGCGATTTAGCAAGCGATATTCTCAGGAGAAGGACTATCACACCATCTCTGAGAAGTACATTCTTTGCAGAAACGCCAAGAATGGTGTTCTCCAGTCGCCCAGTGATCTCCAATAGCCTCAAGGACAAGACCCCTTATCTGAACCCTTCTATGTGCATATATCAGTTCACCTGCTGATGTGGAGTGGGATACATCGGTCGTTCGATGCGTACTCTGTCCAAGAGGATTCCAGAACACTATCCAGCATGGTTGCGAACAGGCAATAGTAGTGCAGTTAGGAGTGCGGTAATTGAACACCTAGTTAACACTGATCATTCCATCTCAACAAACGCCTCCTCCTTCAGAGTAATCAACAGAGTCACGAATAACGTACCAAAGGTAACACAGTTTCATCTTCTTTGTATTGCTGAAGCTCTGGCTATTCACATAGAAAAACTGGAGCTCTGCATACAAAACAGAATTACCCAACCACTTCTACTGTTGTGGTAACAACTTTGTTGATTTTGATGACTTTACTTTGTTTGTTTGCCTGTTCTTTAATTGCTTATAATTCATGTATTCATTCAGAACTCTTACGTAATTTCGTATTATGTGCTTTGTTCTTATGTGCATCCTGAGTACAACTCACTCATCAAACAATTCATATTATTACATACCTTCTTTTAACAAGTGTTTGTGACAACTCATCACCTGTGTTACTACCCTAATTTCATTAAAACCTAATTTTCTTGACTGATTTTGTATTACGTAACTCCAATTACCAATCTTCACCTGTTTAGTTAAAATAACCATAACCAATTGTATTTTTGTTTGATAGACTTAAGGCACACATGCATACAGAGAAAACTGATATATATTTGCGACTATACACCTGAAGAAATGAGTCCGCCGAAAAGAGACTCTTCACTGAACTACGTGTTTTGTTTTCATTAACTTTAGACATGAATTGTTGTTTATATAAGGACCATTCATTAACATCCAATAGCAAATTAACCAAATTTTATTAGAATAGATTAGATTCTTTGAGTACCTGAATCAGAGAGAAGGTTATTGTTGCGTCACCGCAGGGCTCAGGGAACAACTGCTTGAGACAGGCCAGTCACACACGGCCTGTATGGACTGGTTTCTTGGTTTGGTTCCGTATTAGTAAACTTACCGCCGGTTACGGACCACCGCAGGGTAAGTCGGGATGTACAATTTTTGGGGTCAAACTTTTCTAACCCCCTCTCTCAACATAGCTGGCTGGTATGCTGGTCATCTGAGGGAAACGTCTCATTGCTGTTACACCCCTGTTCCCCAGCAGTACGACTTCGTCCTCAGGCACTCAGCATAGTGTGAGAGAGATTCTTACACAATTCCGGTAACTGCTTTTAGTCTAATCGCTATCCTGACAATCTTCCTGGCATGGTAGGTCCCACAGAAACATTGGTTCCAGCCGGTGTAGCTTGTTGGGTCATCACGACGTGCAAGCCCCACCACCACGTCAAGGTAGCAGCTACTGGTAGGGATAAAGGTCATGCTGGTTAACATAATGAGTTGTAAGTTTCAAGCTTAACATTATCTGTATCACATAGACCGCAGAAAGGCGGGACAAAATAGGGTTTCGTTATGTTTTTGTGCTTGAGCGAGCGAGTATATAATCTTTTATAATGACTTCTAGTTCTAACTGATAACATGCAAGGCGGGTAGAGTTGTGAATAACTAAGGTGTTTATAAGGGTCAGGCGATATGGATTTTGACCATTTCTCTCGCATTAGTTCAAGTTTCTGTCAACTACAATAGTAACGAGCTAGCTGACTTAGTGACACACCAACTACCCTACTAACACCTCTAATACATTTCGCAATATGATATAGTCCTTTTCGACTAATCCAGGGAAGACTAAGTGGTGGTGGGGGGGACAACAGAAAACAATACGATAAGACGCGAGAGTTCACCAATTATATAAGCGTAGAGACTGAGTGATACTTCACTGTCTTAACTTCTTGATGTAGAAGATTAGATGGAACATACGTTACAACACGACTTCACCACCAGTTTGCATAGTTTTCAGGATTATTTGCTTACTTTCAAAAATAACTGTCAAATGAATATAATTATCAAAAATATAAATTCACAACGATACGACTGAAAATTTTAAGAATATACTCAAGGATATTAAAGTAAAGCTAATAGAGCTCTGCAAAAAATTTAACGTAACCTTACCTTCAAAACATTAGGATCTTTAACTGTATTCTTCATAATATCTTTGAAATTACGATTAACAACTTGAAATAGACGTCCTTCTTCTGGCATTTGTTGCATAATATCTTCTGAACTAAATATTGGCTCAAGATATAACCATTGGGCTTGCATCTTCAACCATTCATCTATTGTTTCTTGTATATGCAATAAGCGTTCCTCCCATGCCTTTCAATAATTGAAAAGTAAATAAATAGTGAAAAATTTAAACTAAACACATTTGGAATTAATGGACATTCAATTAGATTTATAACCTACAGCCTATAATACCCTTCTCTGTCCATGACTACTGTTGTTCTTCCTTTATCAGCTGCTAGAATGACGATGTCCTTCACATTTTTCAGCTTCCTGAGGGCCTTTATCTCTTGACAGTTGAGTTGTGTGTATTGTTTTTTTTCTATTTAACCATTGATACGATTGTTTGGCGTATCTCCTCTTGTATCTCCTCGTTCAAGTTTGATGATTTGAGTAATGATTCAAGGGCAGCAAAGAAATCAGTTTTTGAAGCGACTTCAGTATTGTAGTTTAATCTTTTTTGTAGTAGGTGTTGTTCTATTTTTGATAGTGGTTGTTTTGATAGGTTGACTACGCAGCCAATAGGTGTATTGCATGGCTGTTGTTTTCTAATCTTGGCCAGGTTGATTTTGAGAACTCTCCGTCTTTGTTCTCTGTGTCTTCTATTTGACAATCTAATTGGGGTGATCAGCGTTGACATGTGTTTCTGATTAAGAATTTTCTCTGGTTTTTTCTCTTTGGGCATCCATTATTTGTTGACATTTATTGATCCGATAATGTGTATCTGTAATCACTAATTTGACCATTCGTCTCCCATATTGTTCGGCGGATTTCCATCCCATTGAGCAGTTGACTGGTGGTTTTTATCTGACACTTGCTGGTAGGATTTGATGACAGAGGCACTCATGGCGAGAAAAATAATTGTTCTCTGGTGGATCCTTGCCTTTTGGCGAAATCTTCTCACTTTCGAACAGAAAGAAGCGTGTTCCTCTCGTAAGATTTAGATTCGATGGAGAAGATTTGTAGGTCAGGTAGATGATTTTGATGTAGTTGTGTTCTCTGAGCTGGATGGCTAATTTGCAAAGCTTTCATCGCCCTAATAGGCAAAATCTTCAGCGGATCCAGGTCAGGGAACACAACTACATCAAAAATAGCCTATAGTCTTCGAAAGTATCAGATGGTAATCCCCTAAAGTACGATTTCATACTTCTACTAGCCGGTTATTCGGATAGTATTTGATCTGGTTAACATAACTAGATTAATCAAAATGTGGCAACTGAAGCAACATTAAATAATAATAGGCCCCTTCAGTTAGTCGAAATCATTAAAAAAAGTGTACTGAAGTCGAATATACTACTCATGAGTAATTCTGCCGAGATGCCTGTGTCTACAAATCCAACCTGTTTGAAGTAGGACTCCACACAAAAGGGAATGAATATGAAAAAAGTTTTTTTGAACAGATTACTGAAGAATTAATTGACTTTAGAGGGCTCGACAACAAAAAGAATTTTCCTCAGAATATCGCCAAATGTTGTAGAACTATTCAGAACTTTACAAATGTCCGTCGTTTACTGACAGGTTAATGGATTGTGATCCTTTAGGTAAAGAAGCCTAATTTACTACTGAAATCAATTGGGCTGCAAAACATCAATTTTACAAAGCTATACAGTCATCTTTAAGACTACAATGAACAGCTGAATTAACGATTGCTAATAGAAAATAATTAAAATGTTTAAAACTCTATACTACTGATTGACTGAGATGAGTAATAGCACACCATTCATATCAACCAGTAGTGCTTGCTAGTTACTCAGCCAGGTCAATATGATCTAAACACCGGGTGGGAGTGAGCTGATCAGCGGTGTACGTGGTTTGACTCATCTCAAACAGCCCAATCAGTTCATTGATATCGTGGTGTGCAACTACTTATTTCAGCAAATCAGTAGTGTATAGTTTTATACAAAAATATTTGTTCCCTTGATTACCATTTATGCTATAAAGTATTTCACATACTGTAACTTGAAAAAATTTCGGTTTCTAAAGGAAAGTACGCTGAAATTTCAACAACTGAACTGTATAGATTTCAAACTGCTAACCAATTTGAAAATTCTGAAAATGTTTCAAAGCTTCAAAGTAGAACAGTTTATCCTCAATAAAGAGAATATTCGTACCTTAGCGTCCTTTGAACTTCCTTAGATTTCCTCCAAGTATCTAGACAAGATAACTATCGGAAATATGCTTGAAAACAACTTGCCTAATATGACAATGTTGCCAAAATTCATGGTAGTAAGATAAAACACCTCATACGAGGTGAGTTGTTCGTCGGTTTTCAGTAGTAGAGTGCTGGCCAACCGTGCACGTGGTCAGGGGTTCAAGTTCTCACCGCCGCAATCCTTTATCTTCCTTAGTCGGTTATAATCCTGAGAGAGAGGGGAGTTTGGGTGTAAGGCTAGCAAATCCACTCCGTAAGAGGAGGTGAAAAGTTATGACCACTTGTAGACCCAGATGAAGAGGGCTGCAAAGGACAGGACAAAGGCCGAGAGGTGCTTTTGAAGCTCTATGTTCCACTAGGGACCTAAAGGAATAACAATTGAGAGGAATATGAACAGGTACTTTTTACTGGCACCAAAATTTCACTGAGTAATTGAGAGTCTTGAAAAAATCTCCCTCACAGCTGACTACGAAAAGAAGTTTAAATCCCAGTGTTAATTTTCTACTTTACTCCGTTATTTCAATTTTTTTTAAACCCGCTACTGTACATGATAAAGCAATGATAGTTTAATGAAATGAACTGCATCCATCTAATTTGGCAGGCGCTGTTATATTTTTCTTCAAACTGAAGATAGTTCGAAAAAATTCGTATTGACGACCATGAACTATCGTCAGAAATCCTTCAGTTAAGCCAACCTACCTAGAAATCACAAACCCTCGTATGCATTTATCTTACCTGCCAGTCTTATATGTCATTTCAAACAATGAAGGTAAGTTGAAGATTACATCTCTTATTCATTAGAGCCTTCCAGTAGTGTACTTTACTAGTGTAAAATGAACTAGGTGCTTTTTATGACATATATTTTGCACCCAGCGTGATTTATCTACGAGTCAGTAAGAAGTACACTGATGAATGTTTAATTTAATCAGTGTATCCCTGTTACAAGATTTGGATTTTCAACACAACTGTCAAGTCAGTCAGTTTTTCGAAACGGGTCAGAAACTTGCATTGTATGTCACGAAAAGGATTTCCAACAAGCAACTGCAGGCTTTTGTCAACAGCTGCCTTCACTGGCTCCATACTGAAGATAAAATGACCGGCCAGTCAGGAAGAATTAGTAACAAGAAACACTCTGGCTGGCAACAGACCAACCAAGAGCCGATCGATCAACAAATAGACATCTGAGAGAAAATTTAGATGCAGCGGGTATACACGCCACAGAGGATGCTGTCGAATGAAATCGTGAGCAGTGCAGGCTATCGCTTGAGTGTAATCCCAATGATAAGCAACGAGTGGGTCGTCGGTGCGAGGATGACATGGAAAAATTTCGTGCGGTAAGAAGGAAATCAGAGGTCGTGGTCAATCATGTGCCCAACTGTCCATCTGTTTGTCTGTTTTCGACATAGAACTTTGCATCGATGTGCAGCAGTTCAAGTCGCCACACTCAATCTACCACGCAAAACAAGAGGAGAAAGTAGAAGAAATGCATAATAGAGACAGTAAACAGAGGTGTGAGACAAAGGGGGAGTAATAACGAACAAGAATATAGTTTCATTGGAAATTATAAGTCACAAGGAGTGGATGCATCTGCGCCAGTCATTGAGAACGAATGTGAGCCATATGAACACTTGTTTCCAACCACTGGATTTTACCGTCCCGAGGACCCCAACCAGGAAGTCTACATCTCCCTACGTAGCTGACTGGCTTATACAAACTGTTGTGGACTTCATTGACTGATGAAGCAGTGTTTTGGTTTGACCGCCGCTAGCTCTTTTCTAACTTGACCCTATGTCAGCTAACAGTGCCCGTCGAGGAAGGCGATAACTAGGCATACGCAACACATGCCCTAACCATCTCAATCGGTGGAACTTCACGGCCTCGCCGATTGATTTCCTCTCTCACATACGTAGCACTTGACCAATGCCTAACCTCAATATCGCTCACCTTATTATACCACTTCACACGTAGGACAGAACGTAGGCACGTATGGTCGAGACACTCAGTCCCTATTTAAGGAAGAAATAGCGAAACTAGTGTCTGAGGTCGACAGCAGGAATTCCTCTGATCTAGCCTGGCACAGCATACAGTTAGCTGTAAACACAGCTGTAAAAGCTGTTAATAAACTAAAACCAAAAGTTAGGAAAAGCCATTGGATCTCTACCGCCTCATCCGAACCCAACTGAAGAGGATGACAGTGGTATATAGAAGAAAGTGGAGATGCGTTATTGAAGCCCTATACTCCGCTCGGAACCTAAGATAACAATAATAATAAAAAGTAATAATAATCCTTGTTGCATATTAGAACTGTTATGTCACACTGCTTACCTTGATTTCCACTTCAAATGGTTTAATGAATGGGGATCCACGCATTGTCTGTGTCTTAACAATTTGATCATCTAACATTTGTTGTGTATCATCCACAGAAGCAAGTATAAATATACCAGATTCACGATAGGGAATTAAACCAAATGATATTTCAGTCCAATCATCACGCATTTTATTCATATTTGTTTCTAAAGTAAACTCTTTGCTAGCACCAGTTGAAATACCAGCAAATTCTTCCATATATGGATCTAAATTCATTTGTAGTATTTTAGCTAGTGATGTTCCACTGTCTGGTGTAAGATCTCTACCAGCTATCTCAGACATTGCATCCCAATGTCTTTTTCGTATGCCTGGATTGCACAGGACTGCAATAACTGGTATGGTTTCCTTTGAGAATTATAATATGAGCAGAAAATTAAAAAAAAAGATGAAAACATTTATTTCCTGATACGAAGTTAAAACAAGCAACAAAGGTTAATAAAGCAGGATTTAATGAATTCATCAAATTTCGGTAGAACTCGTCAGCTGAATACTCTACATACACGGGTATAAATATACTTTTAAAATTACATTGGGAGATATAAGACTGGTAAGTAAACAAACTGTAAACTGTGCAATTCGAGTTTATAAGCCAGGTGTCTGTGTACAAAAGGAGATGGTCGTGACCCTGAATCCACCATGGTAATACGCTTTACTTATTATTCTACCTCTTATTATTATTATTATTTTTGATTCATTTGAAATTATCCTTTATCAGTACCATTATCTTAACTCGCTTCAACACTATTATATTATTATTGTTATTATAACTATTACTATTGATATTACTCTGTTCGCAAGTCTTGTTATATTCTCCAATGACTTATTGTTTATCTAAGTGATGTGATTGAAGCGTAGTGCACTTTAGCTTTATTTTGATCTCTCATACTTTCTCTCCCCTTATCTACTTGAACATGACCTGGGAAACATTCGCACGTGTCTTTCTGCATGACTAATTCAATGTAGTTTGTTTACTTATCAGTCTTATATCTCTCAATGTAATTTCAAAAGTACATATATCCGTGTATGTAGAGTATTCAGCTGACGAGTTCTACCGAAATTTGATGAATTCATTATATCCTGCTTAATTAAACTTTTTTCCCCTGTTTTAAAAGAGAGATGATCTGGTTCTCCTATTTAAGATATTATATATATATTTCAATTAATAATAAAATGTTTTGACGCATCTTCCTTATTCACCAATGTACCACCTATGGAAACAGTAGACTTTGCATACGAAGAACTCATAAGATGAAACATCGATGTCGACATTCCTATATTTGCTATAAAGGAGATTCTCTTGAAATGCACAATTAATGTCCACTTTTCATTTAATAAGGAACTACATAAGCAGATCGAAGATGTGGCAATGGGGTTACCACTAGGATCCATTCTAGACGACATTTTCATTGTGAAACTAGAGAATGAGTCTTTGAATGATGATATTGATGAACTTGAATTCTATTGTAGGTATATGGATGATACTTTTTGATTATGGAAAATAAGAAGGAAGCAAAGAGCATGCTGGATAAATTTACCGATGTTCATCCTGCAATAAGTTTTACTATTGAGAAAGAAAAAGGCACTAGTATTTCATTTCTAGACGACTTTATGACCAGAAAAGAGGATGGCACGATAAGAAGAAGTGTATATAGAAAACCTACATCAACTGACTGTCAGTGTATTCATTTTCTCAGCTTCGTGTCCTTGACATACAAACGCGATCCGCTGAAGTGTTTGGTTTACAGAGCAAGGGCAATCTGCTCCGATGAATGTCTTGATGAGGAACTTAATAATATCAAACAGTTTCTGAGTGAAAATGGTTATCCAGAAAAGTTTATTGATAAGAATCTGAACCTAGAATCAAAGCAGCCCAAGGTATCAACAGTTCCTAAAGAGGCCTTATTGCTAAAAATTCAGTTCCTTGGGGACAATATCAGCGAGATACTAACACAGCGCCTTAGAAATGCCGTAAAAAGAGCATTCCCTGCAGACGAATTACGTTGTGTCTTCAAAACCACTCCCCTGTTTTGCGTTCGGGAGTAAAAGACAAATTGCCTAATTTCGCCTCTTCCATGTGTGTGTATCCTCTAATCTAGCTGCCCCTGTGGAGTGAGCCAGTTATATTGATAGGCCATACAATTAGGCGTGTTCCTCGTCGAATTTCCGAACATCACTCTGTGTGGCTAAGTAAAGGACAAACAAAATCTATTCGCAGTGGTATTCTGTCTTATCTTGCGGAGACAGAACACAAGATTTACGTTAACCATGCTTTCAGGGTCATTTACCACGCACCTAAGAATCTCAATTTCTCCTTAAGAGTTCGACTACTAAATATTGATGAAGCTGTGGGGATCCAGATTAACAAGCCTAATTTGTGCGTCTAAAAGAAGTAAGTTCAGACGTTATCATTACCTTGGTCATCTAAGTTTGAATGATCCTCAATTTTTGTGGAATTTTCTTAATTGTAGTTGATATTCTATTCGGTATTATATCTTTATCATTATTATGATTTAAGCATATTTAATGATCTGTAATTCCATTGATCTTATTTAACAAATCGATATTATTTAAAAAAACACTAATATTGTTATTGACTACTATTCTAGAATATTCTATGTATATAAACATGTGTATATAGTTGTAGAGCCAGAAGAGGAATTTTTCGGAAAGGATATTCTTTGTTCAATTATTTTGTTTTTTATAGACTCTGGAATCAGTTTACAGATCTTCTACTGTTAGCATAAAGAAGAAGATTTGGAATTTAAGCGTCAATGTTAAATCAGTCAGCTCTTCTATATGGTTCAGAAACCTCTACTGAGCGTTAAGAGGAGCATTTCCAACAGTTGGCTGCAAACTTTTCATTAACCACTGACTTCACTAGCTCCATGCTGAATATCAGATGGTTAGGCAGAAAGAATTCGTAAGAAGAAAGTCTGGGAACGAAACAGTCAAAAAACTATTGCTCAACAAGTGTGTCAAAGAAAATGGAGATGGATAGATGACACACCGAGGACATCATCGGGTGACATGGCGCGCCAGTATCTCAAGTGAAATCGAAATGGGAAAAGATGAGTTGGGTGACACGAAGGGAACTATGTGAAGAAGTGGTGCGGGACTATGCGCAACCGTCACGCCGGCTAAAAAGGACCATAATGAATAGGACAAAGTATAGATATACTGTTGGCGCCCTTTTTCCCATTGGGAACCCAAGGGAACAATAATAATAATAGGGAGGGTACGTTAAAATAAAAATATTTTTCTCCAGTAAAATGATTGATTACCTTGAAATTTTTGATTTGTTCCTGAATACTTTTTATGATATCTAAGGCTGCAGGTGGTCTAACATCTTCTGTCTCTTCTTCTTCTTGTTCAGGTAGAAGACCATCTTCTTTGGCTTCACCTTCAGCAGCAGCAGCAGCACCCTCACCGGTGGCTATGTCAACACTTTGCAAACGTCTTCGTTTTCTACGAGATTTTCGCCGGGCATCCAATTCCATACGCATCTTTTTAACTCTTGCGGTGAATATTTTTTGAAGTTTAAATATTTCGCGCCAGTAATCTTCAACTTCAGCTTCTATTGCTTCAGCGTTTAATTTATCAAATTCACCATGTAACCAGCTGTGTATTTAAAGATGTACAAAAATATTTTATTTTTAAAATATAATAGGGGGTGAAAATTTCGTTTTTACCGTTATATAATACAGTAATGCGTCGTACTAGCCTAAATTCATAAAAAACACTACTCAAATCCACTTATTAGACAAATGAATATTAACCTGAGTTTCATACTAACCTACAGGAGGTCGATAGCAAGTCCGAATAGCTCTGGCTGAACCGTTATGTGTGACTCAGGCTGGAATCTCAAAGGGGGGGACATGGGTTCTTTCAACACTATAGATATGAATTGATGATCACTGGTGAGTGGGAGTTAATAGGAGAAAAAAACCTAGGTGGGGGGGGCATCCCGACGATACCCTCCAATTACCTAATAACAATATATATATCAGTTCTTGAAATAATACAGAAGATTTGTAGCTCAGGTGGATGATTTGCAATTACCTCGATTCTATGGTAGGCCAAAACTACACAAACCAAACATTCCCTTACGACCAATCGTTTCGCTTCCAGGAACACCAACATATAATCTATCTAAAGAAATTTTCAGGAAATTAAATTACCTAATAGAATCATTCAACCATTCTATCAATTCGTCAATCCAATTTTTAGACAAAATCAAAAACATCTAAGTAGAAGACAATGAAATAATGGTGTCCTATGATGTCACAGCATCATATACTTCAATTAGTCCAAAACTAGCAACAGAAACTATGTAACAATTACTCTATAAGGATGAAAACACAAAAACGCAAAGTTCAACTTGGGTGGAAATCATAAAATTATGCCTTACAACATACTTCCGATTCAATGCTCAAATATATGAACAGATAAAAGGAACACCAATGGGATCGCCCATATCAGGATTAATAACTGAAGCCATCATGCAGAGATTAGAATTAATAGCTCTACCTACAATTAAACCGAAAATCTGGGTACGTTACGTTGATGACACGTTTGCAAGAATGAAGGGAAATGATTTAGACTATACCCATAAATTAATAAACAATATATTTGAAGACATCACATTCACCACAAGAGAAGAAGAATTAGATAACAAAATCCCATGTTTAGATGTCTTAATCAGGAGAAATAACACACCAAATTTAAAAATACAAGTATATAGAAAATCAACGCACACAGATCAAATACTCAACTATACTAGCAATAATCCAATTACCTACAAAAGAAACTGTGTGCAGACATTGTTCACAAGAGAGTTTAAACACAACACTGTAGCACTCCAGAGTTGAAAAGAATAGAAGAAAAATACCTACAAACCGTCTTCAAGAAGAATGGTTATCCACAAAATTTCATCAAAAAGTGTTGAAAATCCAGTCACAACAGCAACAAGGAACCATCATCAAAGACCACAAGAAAATTCATTCAACCATACATGAAAAATATCTCTGAAATAACAGTTAGAATACTGAAACCGTTTGATATAGATATAGCACACAAGCCAGCCAAATTACTGCATTCGATATTGTGCAAACCGAAAGACACATCCAACAGAAAAAGGAGATAAAATTAATACCATTTACAAAATAAATTGTATGAACTGTAACAGGCATTAAATCGGCCAGAGTGGGCGCCCCTTTGAAATTAGAATCCAAGGATACAAATCAGCCGTAAAAAGACACAATATATATATTTTTTCATATCAATGAATACAGACAGTTATGGACATCAGTTTGATTGGAATAATGTCGAAATCTTAGACAGAGGAAACACCAAAAGTATAGTTAGGGAATTCCTAGAAACCTGATACTCAAACGAATATGCAATTAACAAACACATTAACATATAGACCAAATATACCAACTAATAAAAAGTAAATCAAGTGACCAGAAAGTTTAAAATCCGAGTCAATATGTAAAGATGGTTACCAAGAGACGCAATTATATCACTCATGAAGAAATTTAAATCACTTCACTTTATGCTAAATACTGCGCTGAAAATGTTGTCCAGCAGGGGGACGACGAAAGCTCCACAACTAAACCAACCAGCTCAGAGAACACTATTAATTGCATATATCAATTCATCTAAAAATGATTATTCATAATTCATTATAGTATGAAAGAGATCGTAGGTGTAATTTGTACTACAACTACTTCCTGATGAGTGTAAGTGTCACCCGTATGGCTTAAACTCAGTATGCATAATTTTGAAATAATAGCGAAGGTCAATAGCTTAGTTGGATGATTTTAAGTTGGTTGTGTTCTCTGAGGTGGTCGGTTGAATTGCAAAGCTTTCGTTGTCCTTCTGGACAACATTTTCAGCGAACGCTTTTAATATCAATAAAGTGAACTTGTTTGAATGATCTATGAATGGTATAACTGTCTCCTTTCTGACAACCATTGTTGCGATTAGTTGTCAAAATTTGCATTGATCATTTTTATTGACTTGAAATTTGAACTTTCTTGTCGTGCGATTTATCTCTTATCAGTTGGTAAATTTTATCTATAGTAATGCGTGTTTGTTAAACACTGATTCTTCTGAGTACTAGAGTTCCAGAAATTCCCTGGGATTACTTTTGGTGGTTCCTCTGTTTAAAATTTTTACAATCTCTCAATTAAATTTATGTCTTCAAGTGATGGTTTGTAGGGACTTGATTTGTTTCAGGATTTCATCATGAACTGACATTAGTTAGAGAACCATTGGAAAACCTGGGAGTACTGGACAGCTGTTTCGTCCTAGTTTGGGACTCTTCAGCAGTACGCACCCACCGGGATTCGAACCCAGGACCTTCCGGTTACAAGGCGAGCTCGTACCATTAAGCCACTGGGACCCGATCCAATGGATATGGTATAGGAGCTCGCCTTGTAACCAGAAGGTCCTGGGTTCGAAAGCCGGTGGGTGCGTACTGCTGAAGAGTCCCAAACTAGGACTCCCAGGTTTTCCAATGGTTCTCTAACTAATGTCAGCTCATGATGAAATCCTAAATTTATGTCTGTCATCGTCTACAAGTATCGCTATGAAGCAATGAATATCATGTCTATTCACAGCCAGTTTGTGTTCTTGAATTCTGATTCGAAGGGGTCTCCCATTCTGATCAATATTATAGTGTTTATCGCAGTTGATGCATTTCATTTTGTAAATGATATTGATAATCTTGTCTTCTTTTACTGTTGGAACCTTTTGTCTGCACTAAATGCCGGATGAAGTGAACATGTTGTTTTGTGTGCTATGCTTGTTTCAAATAGTTTTCGTATTATAACCGCTATTATAATTCCCTTAGGTTACGAATGAGATATAAGGCTTCAACAATACATCTTCACTATTTGACCATAGCCTCTCATCTCTTCCTTACCACACGATCTCTTTCATAACAAACTTGCACTAACAACACACTCGTCGCTTCCCACTGGGATCATATTCAAACGATGGCCTGAATTGCAGTTGATGTTATTCGACGGTCTCATCAACGTATACTCGATCAGTTCATCTCCATTTTCCTCTACACCTTTGTTGAGCAATAGGCTCTTGGTTGATTTGTTCCCAGCCACAGTTTCTTGTTACTAATTCTTTCCGGCCTGTAGGCCATTCGATCTTCAGCACAGAGCCAGCGAGGATGGCTGCTATTAATAAAATTTTGCAGCACACCTGTTAAAAATGCTTTTCATAATGCGTACTCCAAGTTTCTGACTCACATAGAAGAACTGACTAACTTTACACTTTTGTAGCAAATCCGAATCTTGTTCTTTATGGTGGCTGAGTGACTGCGGAAGATTTTCATACGGGTTTCAGGTTGATGGAGGCCGTTATTTCAGAGATGTTCTATATATATATATATATATATATATATATATATATATATATATATATAATTAATATTTGATAACTTCAGAAATAATTTTAAAGGCGAATAAAAAGGGGCAATTATTTTCAACTTGATATGAATTACAAGAGCCTTAGGAACAAACATAACGCAAGGACAGAACGAATTACATGTATGAACAAAATGAGCATGGAAATAAATTGAAATCAAAATTTTCAACTTGAAATGTAAGTTACCAGGTGTGAATATAGATTACAAGAGGCATAGAAACAAAAAGTAGTTATTCTAAACGGATTACAAGTGTGATCACAAGGAGCATGGGAACAAACTTAAAATAACTGATTTTATAACTGAAAAAATAGGATGAATTGAATGAAGGCAAACAGAGAAAATTACACACACAGATAACAAAACAACAAAAAAAGAAAAAAGGATAAGGGAACATACAGAACTAGGTCCATGGTAGTTGTAGAGGCTGGACTAGTTTCTTTTGAACACATAGCTCCGGCTCCTCGATGCATATGGCGAGAGCCTTCACAGTACAAAGAAGTCGGAAACACGCTGCCTTGGGTAGATTTTGTTTACTCTGTAAATGACTCTAAATGATAAGTCAGTTGAGATTCTGTGAAAGGTATTGAGGAGATGTTCAGTTATTGCGCTTCTGATTGACCAACTGCCTCCTCTTTGCGGCCATGATGGGTGATGTTCTTTAACACGTGTTGATAAGACCCGCATAGAATGACTTATGTACCTAGTTCCACAAGAGCAGGTGAACTGATATATGCACACTGAAGTGGTCATATGCGGAAGTCTGTCTTTCCCGTTGCTCAAAAGTAGTGGGTGGCTAGAAAATATCACTCTTAGAGTTGCTGCTGGAAAAGTCTTCTTCAGGGAATTAGAGATTCCCCTTTTAAGGATATCTGCTGCTAGGTCTCCCTGAATTCCAGATTCAAATAAAATGTTTTCTTTTGCATTGAAGAGTATTCTTCTCCTTTTGGCCTTATTTCTCCAGTTATCAAATATTAATTTTGCATAAGTTGTAACTGTTTTCTAATCCTATGCAATCTTGTCTCTAACCCCCATGTAATCTATATTCGTACCTTCAAACTTTCATATCAAGTTGAAAATTATTGTCGCCTTCGTTACTATGTGGAATTAAACAAATAATATTTGTATCCATGTAAAATAGTCTATATAAATGTCATTGTACAGGTGCTTTTCAGAATGAAATCGCCGAAAAGATCGCCATCTTTGCTGAACTTCTTGTTCTTTTTAATATAGTTTTATGAGTCACATCGGAGTCAAACACTACGTTTTTGTGTGTTAATCGCTTTAGTGTACTTGATGCATAGTTTCGTTGGCTAGTTTAAGACCAATTGAAGTATTTAAATATACTGTGACATCAAAGAACACCATGATTTCATTATTATGCACTTGAATGTTTTCGGATTTTGTCTAAAAATTGAATTGACGAACTGACATAATGGTCGGATGATTCTGTTAGATATTTTTAAATTTTCTGTAAATTTCCTGAGATAGATTACAAGTCAGTCTTCATAGCTGCGAATAGAATTCTCGTAAGGAAATATTTGGTTTGTGTAGTTTCGGTCTACCGTGAAATTGACGTAAAATAGCTCCGTTTGATTTCACTACCCACTGATCTTGTTTATTCAGCAATTTTTCCTGATTTCATTAGATTATTTAATGTTATTTTGATTTTAATAAAGGTGTTTTGTATCTCCCAATGAATGAAAAACAAAACGATATTGTTTCTACTGATGTTTCGCTATTTAATGCTGCTGCTAATAGCTTTATCAAAGTATTATTAAACCAGAATTTACAAAATCCAATCAACTTATATATAACAAAGAGTTAAGAGGTGAGAAAATAGACTTAAGTCAAACTAAAAGGACATAGTGAAGGTAAAAATAACAATGAAGATCATTAAACCAAATAACAGAGGTAATAGTACATCTATTATGATATCAAAACAAAGTTTACTAACTTGATCGTCGTTCGTCAGTCTGGGGTCATTTTTCGTTGTCAAGTTGGTCAAACGGTAAAGACAACAAAATCAAGTGTAGATTGTTGGATTTGATCAGTGTGTAAAATTATAAAAGCAGTGTGTGTTCACATAATGAAATTGCTTATCACATTAGTGTTGATTTTGTCACTTCATGTGGATCGGCGGGTGTTGTAACTAGGTCAGATTCTGTTTTAGTCCATCATTCCTATTCGTCAGGCAATTTGGATTCCACTTGATATGAAGTGCTTCTGGTATTAGACGTTCTCTGTGATTTCTGAAAATTTTCTGGATTATTTCAATATTGTCGAAATCAATTTTGTGACCTGATTCTATAACGTGTAGACCACCACTAACTGTGCCTGATGATTTTTCAGGCTCTTCTAGTCCACTAACCGGATTTTTCGGAGGTCAAACAAGATGCTCTATGGTGTTCATTTCATTGGATTTTTCCATAGCGATGTTTGTCCGGTGTGTATTGCATCACATTCCAAGCAAGCATTTTATTTTATAGACACAATTAGATAAAGAATCTTCAGGGATTTGGCCTTTTATATGGACAAGATTGTTTCGTAGTGTGTCTGATGTTTTGAAGAAAAGTCTAATTTCGAGCTGACTCAGTACTCTTCTGATATCATCTAACGTCTCTGCTCTTTATGGAATGACGACTGTTGAGGTTCATGTTTTCGGAATGCATTTTCGGCCATACTTAATGTCTGTATTGATTTTGTTGATGAATTTCTTTGGGTAGTTGTTTTGCTTGAGAGTTTCAGTAATGTTTGATATTTCTTCTTCTTTTTCTTGCTCATCCACTATCAGAGAGTATGCTCGTCTAAGAAGACTTGAAACAACTAAAATCTTTGCGCTGGTGGGGTGTGATGATTTGAAGTCTAAATATTTATTGGAGTGGGTTTTCTCGCCTCTTAACTCTTTGTTATATATATGTTTAGATTTTGTAAATTCCGGTTTAATAATACTTTGATAAAGCTATTAGCATTAAATAGCGAAACGTTTTGTTTTTCATTCATTGGTAAATACAAAAACCTTTATTATAATGAATATCATATACCCAATGCCCAAATTTTTTCAAACCGTTAAAAGTGAACTTGGTCTGGATATATATAACTTGTTTTGATTTTATTCTCTAATGTCTGCATGATGTTTTTCGTCAACTGTTGATGTACATTATTACCTTTAAGTAAATCAGCTGCTTTCTACCTGTAGTCTTCTGTGGCCATAATTACTATTATTCATCCTTTGCCAGCTGGTAGTATGGCTATGGGCGATGATATATGTCTGATTTCCACACACTGGAAGATATGCAAGTGAAAAGCAACAAGTTGGCAGAAGAAGTATCAAAGATGAGACTTCAGGTGAACATAGAGAAAACAGAGTTAGGTGATGAAGATTCCTGGCCAACACCAACAGCAACAACGACAACAGACAACAATCAGCCAGCATAAATGGGAGGAACCTGAAAGAAACAACCTCCTTTACCTACCGACCTACCTGGGAAGCATCGTTTCAACTACAGGCGAAATTGAGGAGGATATCAAAGCAGTGACGATTGGGAAAGCAAGACAAGTTTTCATTTCTCTCATGTCTGTGTGGAGGTCAAAAGCACTCAGCATCAAAAATCCAATTCAAATCCAATGTGAATTCACTGCTACTATACGGATCAGAGAGATCATAAAGAGCACCTCAAACAAACTACAGACCTTCATTAACAGCTGTCTTCGCTCAATACTCAAGATCAGATGGCCAGAAAAGATCAGCAGCAGGGATCTCTGGCAATGAGTAAACCAACCAGAAACCGATTCTGCAAAAAATAACGAGGAAGAAATGGAGTAGGTGGATTGTGCATACTCTGAGAAAACCACCAAGTGATATCACCGGAGAAGCCCTCGAGTGGAACCCGAAAGAGTAGCGGCGAGCTGGTCGTCAGTGCAAGGGTGACTTGAAGGAGGTGATGTGAAGAGGGGGTGAAAGCATGTGGGCAGACGTGGAGTCAGGTGAAAACTCTAGCAGAAAACCGAATGCAGTGGTGACGCGCGGCTGAAGCCCTATGTTCCTCTAGGAATTAAAGGAAATAATAGTAATAATAATGAGTATAACTATGACCTTTGTTATTCTTCAATTGCTTCAATGTATTTCACTCTTGAGTGTTAAGCTGGGTATGATGCATTGACTCATTTCCTGTTGTATTTCCTCATTTATTTTTGATGATTTTGAGTGATGACTCCAAGGAAGTACAGAAATCTTTTTCTTTATGAAGCATCATCAATCATTTCCTGAAGGCATACAGTTAGGAAAGTTAGATCTCATGTGATAGTTACCAGCTGAAATTAATGTTAAGCCTGCTATATTTCGAAAGATTGTCATATTTTAAATGCCGTTTCAGTATCTAAAATAAATTTGTAGTGTTTCAGTTTAGTAAAAACTTAAACATATAAGACAAAGTTTTGAAAAAGATGAAAAATAATAAAGTTTGTTATACATTGAAATCTGACTAACCGTCTCTCTGATTTACAGTATTTAACCACAGTTGTAAACAATCTATGGAATGGCTCTGTCAGATTACGTATCTCTTCTAGTTCAGGATAATTACTAATTGTAAGCTTGTATAGATCTTCTTCTTTATTAATCCATATTTTTTCGTTTTCAGCATCTTGAAGACGCTTTAAAACTGCTCGAACATCTTGAACATATTGAGTTTGCATTTCAGTATCCATTTCTCCATAATCATTAAATTCGTCAACACGATTTTTCAATCGATTTATTTCAGTGACTAATTTTTCACGTCTAGCTACAACAGCCGCTTCAGCAACAGTACGCATTCGTTCTTGAAGCTAAATATTGATTTAGAAGAAGAAAGGGAGGCTTTAATAGTAGATATAGTGAAATTGTGGTAAAAGAAAGAACCTAATTGCTGGATGGTGACTAGCAGTGGCATCAAGGATGCTCATTTAAACCTATTTAGGACTCGTCAACCAGCCGGATGTACCCGCATTCCCCAATGAGTGAATGATGATGTTCCCACCGAGACTCGAACTTAGTACATCCAGCTAACGAGTCCCAAATAAGAAGAAATGTGCATTCAGTTACCATCGACCAGTTGACTTCTGATTACATGCCCAGAGATCGTCAAAGCATCTGCACAAGAAGCCGACATGTCATACTGAGACCAAGCACTTCCGTCCAATCAATCAATGAGAAAAATCTAAAGAACCATTAAACTTTGACAAAAAGTGTTAATTCTTCAATTGCACTGCCCAAGTGTCTTGACCATTTCGACGAATATTTTCATCATAAACTATAAACTAGCTTAAATATCTTTGAACGCAAAAGAACAATTTACTCCTCGAGCAGTTTATGTCTTATTTTATGTAAACTCGTAAATCTGAAGGAAAAACAAACAATTTAGTAGAAGGGCTAGACAGCTAAGATAGAACTTCAAGTGAATATAAAGAAGACAGAGGTGATGAATATACCTAACTAAGTAACAACAAGCACATCACCATCAACCGGAGAAATTTGTAGGTGATCACATCTCTCACTTATCAATACAGCATCATCTGAACTACGGGCGGCACGGATGAAGTTGCCAAAGGTAGAATAAGGAAAGCAACGCAGGCATTCATTACACTGAAAAATCTGTCCAGTAAATACTCCGAAGGAAATGAGGATGGATTGAACATACGCTGAGGAGACCATCGAATACGATCCCACACAATGTAATCGATAGAGCAGATCCTGAATGGGAAACGACAGGTTGCGCGTTCCAATGTGGTACGGGAGAAATCCGAGTTCAACGTCGATTATTTAGAAAGCTAAAGATGACTTCAAAGAACAGCATGAAGTGGAGATGAGCTAATGAAGTTCTATGCTCCACTAGGAACCCAAAGGAATAAGAATATCATAAGTAGCAGTACTGTCACCAAGCATCTCCGACCTAATGGGCTAAATACTTTCGTTTTTTAGCAGAAACACCATGATCACTATCAAAACATTTTTAAAAAATATAAGGGTGGTGGATTCCATATTAGTTTGTTTACTAGATGTATCACACAGTGAGTGAAACAGTATTATTTACTGGATGACAATGTTTCCAACAAAATTTATTCTTCATAATCATATCAATTGTAATCACACGACTTTGAAACTTGAGTTTTATAGTTTTCTTTGTCTTCTCCTATTTAATGTCGTTGGGGTAGTAAAATCATTCCTATTACACGCGTTTGCAGTTGATTCGATAAACAAAGCTTCTGTTATCAATCTCTCCCTCCACCCAGCTGTGACATTAGATTTTAAAACTGTCATCCTATTGTATGGTTGTGTGTAACTGCATGTATTGCTATACATGAACTATTCTCTACATTTCTTATCTTATTCGGGTCAACCAATCTAGATTTTGCTAAGTTTTTATGTTCAGCTAGTCTGACAGTCCCTGTTCTACCAGTGTGGCCTATGTATTCGACCTGACAATCGACACAGGCATGGTATTAGATAAACTAAATTGTTTTGTTTTAATGGCTCAACAGGATCCTTTAATCGACAAAGCTTGTTTCTAATTGAGTTTGTGGGTTTGAATGCCAGTCGCTTTTATTCCTGCCTAGTTAAGAATTCTGCGTAAGGTTTCCCAGGTTCCTTCCTTGTATGGAATTACTACTGATGATTTAGATTCCTTATTGTTGGTGTCGTCATTAATATTATTATTATTATCACTACTATCATTATTTACTTTATTTTAACATTTCCCTACCCACTTTCTGATTAATTTATCAGGGTTATAATTAAGTTTCAAAGCTTCCCTCATATGTCTCACTTCCTCTCTTCGATTTTTATTGGTACTACTTAGTTCACTTAAACATTTCACTAATCCTATTTTATACTGACATAGGATGGGATGATAGGAAGTCCAAATATCTGTTTGAATGTGTGGGTTTCCTGTACACACTAGTGTTTGCCTTTCCATCTTCTTTCTTTTTTATGTTACAATCTAACATTGAAAGTTGCCCCTTCCTGACTCTCCAATTCATAAGTGAATTGAATTGCCTCTACCTTCGAGTTGATGTGCTCGAAAAATCTATCTATATCCTGTGTTCTAAGTAGAGTGAATGTGTCATCTATATACCTCCACCATACTTTTGGTGGGGAGGGCGAACGTTTCAATCGCTATGCTTCCCCACCTATCCATGAATATATCTGCCACAACCAGGGGGATTGGTGGCGGATATTTCATGATTGTCACACCATTGTGTAAACGCGCAGACAGAAAGATCAAATTTACACTTTGCTGAGAGGGGTATAATGTTAATTCATAATGGCAGTCAGCACCAATCACCACCATCAACGGGAGAGATTTAACCGAGGTTACCTCCTTCACTTATCTGTCCAGGAAACATCGTATTAACAACAGACCAGCGGAACGGATGAATATGTCAAAGCCAGCCAGAAGCGGAAAGATAAGATGCGTATTCATTAATCTGAAACTATTTCGGAGATCTTCTGCTTCACTCAGAGAGCATAAAGAACAAGATTCAGATTCTGTTCAACACAAATGTGAAATCAGTCAGCTGTTCTATATGTGCGAGAAGCTTGCACTGTGTGCCATGAAAAGAATTTCCAACAAGCCACCACAGACTTTTATCAACAGCTGCCTTCACAGGCTCTACACCGAAGATCAATTGTCCAGAAAGTGTAAGTAACAATAAACTGTGACTGGGAACAAATCAACAGGCTACAGCCGATTACTCAACAAATATGTAGGAGAAAATGGAGATGGGCTGATCAGGCATACGCCCCTGAGGATGCTGTAGAATGGCATCGTGCATGATACAGGCCATTGCTCGAGTGGAATCCAAATGGAAAGCGATGAGTGGGTCGTCGGTGCGGAAGTAACACGGAGGAGATCGTGTGCTAAAGAGGAAATGAGAGATCACAGGCAATCGTGATCCAAACTGAAGAGGATGGCAGAAAAAAGGACAAAGAGGAGATGTGTTGTTGAAGCTCTATGTTCCACTCGGAACTCCAGGGAAGAGTAATAATAATTATTATTATTGCATATGAAAGAGCTAAAGAGACGTAGAAATGATGCCACAATAGAAAGATGGTAGCAAGAGAAACGTAGTAATCAAAGTTTTGTGAAAGTCTTAAACAATTTTTAAGACTAAAATGTCTGTAAAAAACATACTTCAAATGATTTTACAAAACATTTTATCCAAGGTGTCAAAGAGTTCCAAGGACCCTGTCTAAGCATTCTATGGCTTCTTACTTGGCTTGAATTGAAAGTAGCGGAATTCATGGATTGTGATACTAAGTTTCGTTTTTATCGTCTTCACCCTTGTTTCCAGCCTAATTCTTACTCATGGCTTACTAAGCAAGACAATGTTTGTTTTTATCACGTCTCACAGCCACATTAGGTATTTATTTTTATTTTTTACTTTACTTTTGATTACAGCTGAATTCCACACCGTATTTTTGGTACAAGTATGGGATTTTGAGCATGTGATATCAGTAGCCTAAATTTTGCCGGCCGACCATAGATATCAGGTGTGCGTCGGCAGGGGATTGAACCTCGGACCATGTGCATAGTCGGCGAGAGTCTTAACTACTGTACCACCACCCTACAGGTACCTTCAATATCGGTAAAATTTCGGATACAGTATGTATAAGTGGAACTTAATGATACTTTCACTTGTCACCAGCTTTCCAAGTCACACAGATTAACATTATTTAAAATACTATTAAATTACCTTATCATTTGCATCGAATTCAGGATAGATTCGGGTCTTCCAAGTTAATACTGCACTATTTTTTGCAATATCTTCTGGACTGAACAAATAGACATCAAGTAGATAGTCCAGATATTCCATGGTTAGCTAAATATAAAATAAGATGAAGTGTGCATTAAAAAAGCAAACCCAAACAGTGGAAATGTACTTGTGAGTTTATGTGAAATCCATTAATTATGGTACATTTAAATTAATGATTTAGAAACATTTCAGATGCTTGTATCTCTGGACGAAAGTGATTCTTTTATGACTAGTTCGCTAGTTTTCTAATCGGTTAGAAGACCAGGGAAAGAGGAAAGGTCGGGTATAGCACTAGTGACCCTACCCCTGAAAATCAATCCAGTCGCCATGGAAACGCTAAAGTAAAGCAAAAGAAAAGTAAAAAAAAAACAAACCTGTTGTTAGCTGTAATCAAAGAGACAGAATGTTGTCGGCTGGTAACGAACTTCAGGAAGCCAGTCAGTCGATGTGCTTTCCTTCGATGAAAGCATAAATAACCTTCAATTGTGGAGGAAATTTTATTTTGCTAAACTCTCACAGTATTATACAGTAATATATTACTGATGATGTTTTGGAGCACAATTTATTGCTATTTATCAAAATAAATATCCTTATAGCAAAAACTAAACATTGGGACTAAGAATGTTAGTAAAATCTGGGGAAACTGCCCAACAAATATGACGCAGAAATTGGAGGTGCATCAGACAAACGCTTACCAGACCATCGGGTGATATTGCAGACCAGGCGGTCAAGTGGAACCTTTGCTGGAAATGATGAGATGGGCATCTAAAGCTGATATAGAAAGGGTTATGTGTTAGGAGAAGACGCAAATCTACGGGCAGTCGTGAGGCCAACTCCAGAGAACAGGACAAAATGGAGACTTACTGCTGAATCCCTATATTCTATTTGGAACCCAAGGGAACAAGGGAACCTAGCTGCTATAGCTTGATAAACGAATAGGCTTGATATTCCCTCAACTGTTCCAGAAAGGCAGTCATTTTAAGATTGCATTTGTATCTAGTTAGAGTCAGGCACCAGCTTATATCGGAAGTGTTAGTATTAATTCAATCTATCAGACTGAAGGCACAAATTTTTCTGCTTATTAATAAAACATATTGAACAATAGTTATTTCTGACTATTCTTAAATTCTAATATGCAGTCAGCGAAAAGTTTTAAAGTAGTTTATATGGATGACTAAACCTATAATTAAGACATACTGGACAATTTAGATCATTTGATTGGACACTAGTAACTAGTGTGACATGTCTAGTCCTCTCTTTGGTACAGACGGAGTTCTATCTGTCAGGTTTGCGATGTGGCCACCATACTAAGTAGCTTGCCGTCACGGTGCACATTGATTACATAATATTAGATAGTTGGAGGCAATTGGCCACAGGAAGCCTTATCTGGCCCAGGTTTCGTACCAGTTGGCGCTCACCATTGGCGTATCTGCAAACCCGAAGGAACTCATGTCCCTTCCGAGATTCGAACCTGCATCACCCAGTGAGCGCTGCAGTCAGAGACGTTACCGTTGAGCTACTCGGGCTCGCGGTTGACCTCCTGTAGCACTGTAGTGGGTGATTAGACACTAGTAACTAGTGTTATGTATCTAGTCCTTTCTTTAGTGCAGACTGAATTCTATCACTGAAGTTAATCGGAAGCCTGAATAGCTCAGTGGTAACGTCTCTGACTGTAGCGCTCACTGACTGACATGGGTTCGAATCTCAGAAGGGACATGAGTTCCTTCATGGTTGTAGATACGCCTTGCTGGCTGACTGGTGAGTGCCAACTAGCACGAAACCTGGGCCAGACAAGCCTTCCTGTGGCCGATTGCCTCCAACTGTCTAATTTAGATAACTGTTTTCCTAAGTGAAAACTGATCTTATTCATTTTACTTCCCACGGATTGATACACTGTCATACTGCTTCTTGATACACAGTCAACCTGTGCTACAAAAGAATGTCCGAATAACAGCCATATATATCAGACTGTTGAAGGCGATGAGAAGGAAGTACTGGAATTAAATTCCGTACTAGCTGACACTCATCAACAAGATATATCTGTAGCTTCGAACTAAGTGATTTCAAGTGTTTTCCCTTGTAGGGATTTGATTGATTGGTTACAGGATTTCATCATGAACTGACACTGGTTAGAGAACCACTGGAAAAAAAACAGAGAGTATTGGACAGCTGTTTCATCCTAGTTTGGGACTCTTGAGCAGTACCCACCCACCGCCACAGTTTGAACCCAGGACCTCTTAGTTACAAGGCAAGCTCGTAGACCATTAAACCACTGGGACCTAATCCAATAGCCAGTCCATGAATTCTAACTTCTGCCAATTCACGACATAGCGCGAACGTTATCCAATGTCTTCGACGAATATTTGTCCTCACACCCAACCTGCTGCACCCTACTGGTCACAACTTCACACTAGAATCCAGGTAACCACCTATCTGAATAGGGCCAGTCCCTAGTGAGCATCTCATTGATATTCAAGTTTTGGTTTGTAGCGACCGATGTCAACTCATGATGAAATCCTGTAACCTAAATGATTTCATTTAAGAGATCTGAACCCACGTTAACCGATGCAGCAGTCAGAGATGTTAACTCTGAGCTATTCAAGATCAGGACTGATCTGGTGTAATGGATTGATTTGTATATATAAATGTTCGTCTAGCATAATACTCTACAATAGGCTAGATACAATACAAAAAATATAACCTACAGATATTTTCTCTGTCATACGAATCATTCCTTGACATCTTGCTTCTTCCATATACTGAATCATATCGATTAATTCTTCACTATTTTGTGGGATTGCACGACAACGATCACGCATTTCTTCAAAAGCTTCACAAATCCTGCGGTATTCGAATTAACAGCATAAACAGAAGACACCATTGTAACTGTTACTTTTAAATAGCATTAAGTGAAACATGATATTACTACTGTATGTAGTTGTAGCTTATGTGTTGTAAGAATGAATGTCTCCCAGTGACTACACAGACGATCTATAGAGAAATCGTACTATGTTCGATAGATCCATTCATCCAGGCGATTGTAGGTCATGGTACTTTGAGATCCATTGATATTACTGACACTGTTCTCCAACCTACTCCTAAATCTAGCCATAATCCTAACTTCTAATGTAGTGAGAGCTGTCTGCAAGCCAAAATTGTAAAGAGCAATCTACGTCAATATTTATGTTCCGAATCGGGGTCAGGAAAGAAAACGAGAACAAAGCGTAACCTTGAGGAACTCAACAACCAATCAGAGCAGGCCTAGCATGTGCAAATACGAATCGCGGATTTATCAACGAACTGTCTAAATAAACGGCCACAAAGAGATGACAGAATAACCTTGAGCAATAAAACAACCAATCAGAAGACTCTGTTTCTCTGCTAACAATAACGAATAGTAATGTGCATAAAATCTATAAATATTTGTTGATTTTCTCAATAAATGATCTGTTGCCTGGCCCTTGTCTTCTATCGTTACATTAGCTATAACCCTAAACCTAACCTTAACTCTAGACGCTAAAGCACAAACTTAAACGCCATAATCCTACCTAAAAGCATAGATTTGCAGAAAAAGTATCCAGTAAATAAGTGAAATACTATATCTACCCTTTCCAAGTCCAAAACGCAGGCATGATTTGATCTGGAATGAAATTTTGCATAGCATTCACTGTATCTGATCACTTCCTGAAGGTGAACTACTAAATGACCTTAACTTTGGGGCTATGATACTTTAACTTCGCTTCTCACATATGCTTACTTATCACTCGGTGCCCAACTTTTGTGGAACAATTCAGTTAGATCTTAATCATAGTTTATTTAAATTAAATACTTAATTCTGTCCTTTTTCTATGCGTTGACCTCAATTATGGGCAGTGAAGCTTAGCTACAGTGAACGCTTTCATTACCTGTATATTATATTATTATTTATTGCTATTATTTCCTTTAATTCCTAGAGGAACTTAGGGCATCACCCGCAAGTCTCCACTGCGTTCGGTTCTCTGCTAGAGCAATGGCTTGTCTAGTGATGTCACTTGATGGTTTCCTCAGAGTATGACCAATCAGTCTGCATTTCTTCCTGCTAATTTGTTGTAGAATCGGTTCCTGGTTGGTTTGCTCTCAGAGATGCCTTTTGCTGATGAAGGTCTGTAGTTTGTTTGAGGTGCTTTTTATGACACGCTTAGTCTCTGGTCGGTATATTAGCATTGACTTCCCATTGGAGTTGAAAATCTGGATGTTATTTTTCACGCTGACTGCTGTTGACCTCCACACAGACTCAAGAGTAATGAAAGCTTGTCTTTCTTTCCCGATTCTTGCTTTGATGTCCTCGTCAGTTCCGTGTGCCTGTAGTTGAAAAGATGCTTCCGAGGTAGGTAGGTAAAGGAGGTTGTTTCTTCCAGGTGCCTCCCCTTTATGCCGGCTGATTGTTGTCTGTTGTTGCTGTTGCTGTTGCCGAGGAATCTTCATCACCTCTGTTTTCCCTATGCCCACCTGAAGTCCTATCTTCTCTGGATGCTTCTTCTGCCAACTTGTTGCTTTTCACTTGCGTATCCTCCAGTTTAAGGGAAATCAGACATATATCATCGACGGCGAAGTCCCGATCCTCCAAGTTTTTTGTGTGGGTCAATTTCGATGCCTGTTTCCTCATTGCCCGCTGTCTTTCGCATTATCCAATCTACTGCCCTTAATCAGGAAAATCACTGACGATAGTAGACAGCCTTTTCTTACTCCCGTCTTCACTTCGAAGGCTTCCATAAGTTTCCCTTTGTGGATTACTTGGCATGCAGCACTGTCGTACACCTGTTTGATGAGACGTATAATTGTCGGTGCCACCCTGTAGCAGCTAAGTAGTTGCCAAATCACTTCTCGATCGAGGCTGTAGATGTAAGCATAGCGTATAGGTCAGTTAAAAAATATCTCTGCTTAGATCTAATTGTTAGTTGATTCACCGTACACAACTGTGATAGTCGGCATTTTTATGAATCACCTCATTTAATTTTGCTTAGCCATTTTAGTAATTTCATTCACAAACTGAATCAGCCCCTTAATTTAGTTTAAATCTGTCCGATTTTCGCCAAGAACCAACATCAATTAGAGAGAACACTCTTCAGCTACTTCGTCCTATTTTTAGACTCTTCATCAGCGTTAACCCGCGTTGCCACCAGAGATCTAGTCAGAGAGCTTAAGACTGAAAATCAAGCTTTCTGACCATTCAACCACTTCAGGTGGAATCCACTGACGATTGAATTCCAACCAGTCACCTACTGTATGCCAATAAACTTTCAAAAAGCGTAGTCAAAGACTGTGAAACATATTCATCGTATACCTCTGGTTAAAATGTATTTTTTTAAATCACCCTAGTTTTCGAGAAAAAAAAACAAAAATACTACTTACTCGTCATTGTTTTGTCTGAAGTCAGAAACTACACGATCTAACAGTAAATTGGCTAAACGATGACATTCCTTGGACAGACCAACTTTAACATCTTCGCAGTCAAGTCGAATTAAATCGAAGTATTCTGCATTCGGTAATGTCATAACTTCGTTTGCTAAATCATGCAGTTTAGCTATGTACTACGGGAAAAAATTCATGAAAAGTTAAAAAAGAAACAGAACAATGAGATTAGACAGTTTACAGAGAACTACAGATTCGCTTCAGCACAATTATAGATCTGTTTAATAGCAAACTAATCGGTAAACTTCTAAAGTCTGACGTATTTGTTCAGAAGCAGTGTCTAGTTCTAAAGGGTGCTGATAGTCATAATCTTCAAACCTATACACCACTATGCCCTTCCATGTTATCCCAATAATCCTCTTCATTTTTTCTAAATACCGTGAAGAATTTAACACTTATCTCTCTGTTGCTTAGTGATATATCCACTATGGTCATATTTGTTTGACGGCCTACCTACCTGCCTACCTGTTGTAATTTGCATGGAATGTCGATTTTGTTATGAATCGAAATCCCTTAGAAAGTCATTGAACAACGGTCAGTAGTGGTTTCATCTTACTTTAGGAAAATTCAGTATGAATCCACCTCAAGTTGTAAGACATTCAAATTAACATCCAACCACTGTGTTGAATATCTAACACTCTAAGAATTCTAACTGTTATGGTATGGCGACGACCATTTATCAATGACATTAGTGAGCATTTGAGTAGTCAGTGTGCGCTGACATTTCTAGGTACTGGTTTGTAGGGATTTGATTGACTGGTTACAGGATTTCATTATGAGCTGACATCAGTTAGAGAACCAGTGGAAAACCTGCAGGGAGTACTGAACAGCTGTTTCCTCCGTCCTAGTCTGAAACTCTTCATCAGTACGCACCCACCACAGCGTCTCAAACCCAGGACCTTCCGGTTGCATGGCTAGCGAGCCATTGGGACCCAATTCAGTGATCAGTATATGAATTCTAACTTCTGACAATTTACGATATAGTGCGACCGCTAGCCAATGTATTCAGTCTCACACCCGACCTACTTCGCCCTACTGGTTACGACTTCCCACTAAAACCCAGGTGACCACCTACCTGAATAGATCCAATCGCTAGTTTGCATCTCACTGATATTCAAGTGAATTGGCAGAAGTTAGAATTCATGGGCCATTGGATCCAGTCCCAGTGGTTTAATGGTCTACGAGCTCGCTAGCCTTGTAACCAGAATGTCCTGGGTTCGAACTCCCTGTGGTGGGAGCGTGCTGCTAAAAAGCCCCAAAGTAGGACGAAACGGCTGTCTGGTACTCGGAGATTATTCTTCATTTGTAGATTACTCTGAAGGTGGAGACACTCGTTGAAATGGAATGACCAGTATGTTGACAAGGTGTTCGATTATTTGTTTGCCTGTTTTTCCATCTTCTCATTACTTTTGTATTTCATAAGAATTCTTTCATAATGCTGTGTATTCTTTCGTTTCTACGTACATCCTGGTTACAAAATGACTCATTGAATTATTCAACCCATCTTATTCGTCGATTGGTATTCACAACTACAACTCATCATTTTTGTTACTATCCTTTGCCATGAAAATTCACAATCAGATGTGATTGTACAGCTAAAGCGGGGAATGAATTCATTTTAAGTTTGACCACAGATTGATATCAGTCACAGAAATATTGGGAAGCAGCCAGGAGTATTGGACAGTTGTTTCACTCTTCCTAGTTTGGGACTCATCAATGCAGGACCTTCCAGTTACAAGTCAAGGTAGTTGGCCATTCAGCCACTGCGATGAAACGCAATGGCAAGCCTATGAATTCTAACTCCCTACAAATTCGAGATTTTAGTGCGACCACTATCAAACTAACTCTTGGAAAATGAATTCACCGAAAAGAGCCCTTTTCGCTGAACTGTGTGTTTTGTTTCCACTAATGATATATAGATGATAAAATATGCTGACAAAAGATTCAGTTCTGCAAAGCTTGTTCTTGTTAGTTTAGTGGCGTTTATCAGTGAAATGCTGTATAAACAGTGATGTTGTTTTCCCCACTGTCTTTTGGATATTTTGGTCAGGTACTCTGGTCATGATTCAAGCTTTCGTTTAACCTTCAGTTATCATTCTTCGCATGAATACTGCTCAGCAGTTCGCTCCGTCCTTCTCTATGGCTCTGAAACATGGCCAATACGCGTTGAAGACATGAAAAGGTTGACTGCTTTCGATCATAGATGTCTACGATCTCTTTCTCACGTTAGGTGGTATAATAAGGTAGGTAATGTTGACGTTAGGCGTAGTGTCGGGCAAAGAGGGAAAATCAATCGACGACGAGGCTATAAAGTTACATAGATTGAGATAGCTAGGTCACATGCTGCGCATGCCTATCCATCGCCTACCCCGACGGGCATTACTAGCTGATGTAGGTGCAGGTTGGAAAAGAGTAAGTGGTGGCCAAACAAAAACATGGCCTCATCAATCCATGAAATCCTTGACAGTTAAACTGAGTCAGGTAGGGAGATGCAGACTTCCGGGTTGGGGCCCTCGGGACTCTAGGAATCAATGGCTGGAGACAATAGGTGACATGGCTCAAAATCGTTGTCAATGGCTCAGATGTATTCAGTCTCTGTAATCTTTCATATTCCTTTCTACCATTACCCATTATGTTTCACTCTTATACCTGTCAAACTCTATTGATTCTCTTCACTCATCTTCTTGTCTACCCTTGTGTTCTATTTGGAACGTGGCAACTCGAACTGGTGCACTTCGGTGCCAAGTTCTATGTTGAATCCAGACAGACAGATAAATACGAGTTATTTTTATTTCACTCTAAGTCCTCATAAGATATTCTTATCAAATTTTTTTGCATTTAGCCAAGATTCAACTGGATTAAATGTAAAGATTTCTGTTTGAATCTCTCTAGACATTCGCAGCTTTAACTGTTTTAATCGTCTAACATGGAGACTTCAAGTAATGTGATGAAAAATACACTATTTTTGTTTGAATAGGTAAGAGTTTAGTGACTAGTGTTATCTTGTCAAGTATTTTAATGGCAATGATAATTATTATTGATCCCTTGGGTTCCAAGTGGAAAACAGGGCTTCAACAACATCTCTCCACCTCCTTCTATATACTACTGTCCTCTTCAGGTGGGTTCACGATTGATCATAGTCTCCCGCCTCCTCCTCGCCACACGATCTCCTCCATGTCACCATAGGAGGACCCACTAGTCACTTCTCACTGGGATTCACTCGAGCTATGCACTTGCGCGCAACGTCATTCGACAGTCTACTCAATGTATACCCAATCCACCAACATTTTCTCCCACATACTTGTTGGAGTTATGGGCTCTTGGTTGGTTGCCAGAGTTTCTTGTTGCTAATTCTTTCTGGCCATTCAATCTTTAGTATGGAACCAGAGAAGCTGGCAGCTGTTGACAAATGTCTTTAACCTGTTGGAAATCCTCTCCTGACACGCCAAGTTTCTGACCCGTATAGAAGGACTAACTTCATATTTGTGTTGAAAATCTGAATCTTATTCTTTACGCCACGAAGTGAAGAAGAATTCCAAACTGACTTCAGAGTATTGAAGATCTGTGTACTGCCTTTCCGATTCTGGCTGGCTGGTGTTGACATCTTCATCAGTTTCACCGCTTCCTAGATAAGTGAAGAAAAAACTCCTGTCAAATCCCTCCCGTTGATGGTGATTGGTGTCGGTTGTTGTTGTTGTTATTGCTGTTGGTTGGTTGGTTGGTTATCTTCATCATCTCCATCTTGTCTGGAGTTCTGTTCTCACTGCCAGCTGCTTCAGCCAGTTTGTTGGTTTTCGTCTGCAGTTCTTCGAATTTGCATGACATTAAACAGAAATCATCTAAGAAATCCAGATCTTTTAGAGGCTTCTTATCGGCAGTCCAGCGTATTCCTGTCTTCTCACTCCCAACAGTCCACAACAAATAAGAATACCATTGGTGATAATAGGTAACTAACTTGTCTTACTCATGTATTCACTTTGAACGCCTCGCTGAGTTTTCCGTTGTGGATCACCTGACATATGACACAGTCACATAGCTGTAGTTGAATAAAGTTGACAGAGGCTTGGCACTGCACACCGTAGTGTCGAAGCAGTTTCCAAATGACGTCTCGGAAAATTAAGTGTAACAACTGATGCAGATGAAATGAGATTCTCACCGAAGTAACATTTCCTTCCCAGTGGATTCTTCTGACTTTCGGATAGATCTTACTTACTTCTCATTCAGCCACGATGAGATATGTTTTGCGACAGGCTGACTAATTCACTTTGCTTTATCTCCAATGTAAGTGCTTTTTAAAGGGGTAGATTCATCCATCACAGACATATATTAGCTAGACCATCATTTGCTTGTGTCACTGTCATTCATCAGTAAGAAAATCTCAGTAAAATTAACCATATACTATGCACTCTTGACATTTCTTGTCATTTTCTGAAATCATAGTTTCTCCGGTACAATTATAGTTTCCCGAGTTCTACCTAGTTTGTCTAAAAAGCTAGGCGGGTGTTCAATCTCAATCATTCAAATTTATTTCAGAAACAATCCTCCAAATAAATACTTCTTGCGAGTAAAATAAGATTTATTTTAAAACAACTAACGACACAAAGCCAACTGATTGATGGTGGCGAACAGTGGAGTCCAGAATGCGCATCTCGTCTTATTTGGAACTCTTCATTTGATGAAACTACATTCTCCAGTGAGTAATGGTGTTCCCATCGAGACTCAAACCCAGCGCCCATAGCCTCAAACGTCAAGATGTAATCCACCAGACCACTGGGCCACCAGAGTCACCTCTTGTGCAATTGGTCTTATTAATTATTTAATTGAATTTTATAATCTCCCGTCTATTGATTGGATCAAAGTGCTAGATCTCAAGTTGACAAGTGCTGGCTCTCGTGGATCAAGTGGTCTTTTGGATAACATTTTGGCGTTTGAGACTATGAGCACTGGTTTCCAGCCTCAGTGGGAACACCATCACTCACTCACTGAGGAATATAGGTACATCCAGCTAGTTGACAAGTCCCAAACAGGACGAAGTGCTCATTCTGGTGGATTTCACTGTTAGTCACCATCCATCAGTTGGTTTCAAATTACATGACTAGACATCATTGAAGTATCTACACAAGGAGCGGACATGTCAACCTGAGACCTAGGACTTCCCTCTAATCAATCGACGGGTGAATCTAAAATTGAATTAATTAACCAACAACACAACTAAGAAATGATTGGCTGAGAGACTTATAACCACCTTATCATTTCATTGACAATTCACCATGACTGATTCATACTTTAACAGCTGTCTGCAAGCCCCAACTGTAGACAACAATTTGCGTGAATGTCCCCAATTGGGGCCATGAAAGAAAACTAGAACAAAGCCTAACCTTGAGGATCTCACCAACCAATCACAGAAGACCTGGCGTGTGCAAATACGATTCGCAGATTTATGGCTTAACTTTCTAAGAAATAGTCACAAGTAGTACATAATAACCTTGAGCAAGAAAACAACCAATCAGAAAACGTTGCTTCTCTGCTAACAATAACGTTAATAATAATGTGAATAAAATCTATCAATATCTGTTGATTTTCTCAATAAATGGTCTGTTGCCTGGCCATGGTCTTCTGTCGTTACATATGTGACGTTATGTATTATATTAGGGTAAAAAGCATGGAAAGATCTAACTGGATGCTGCATGTTATTCATTGTACTTATATCTTAAATCTACTTCAAAAAATAACACTTTCAGCTTACCTCACAGTAGTGTTCAAATTGTTTACCACTTCTGAGAAATTCTTCCACCTTTCTTGCTTCTCCACCATCAAATATAAATGAATACGGTTCAACTAAAAACAAACAAAAACAAAACAAAAAATGGAAGAAACATGAACACAGTAAATTCATTGTTTTTTAAAAAAAGGTTTGAAGAATTTACCGATTACTTTGACAAAATACTGATAAGGTGTTTCAAAATAAAGTTTTACAGCTTCTTGAAGTTTTCGTCTACATGCTCCATGTACATCGAATGGAACTTTAGCATCAATAAACACTGGGACTGAAAGCGAATTTAACCAACTTTCAACTGTTTGAATCTGTAAAGAAAGTGAAAGAGGTAATAAGAAGAAATAATAAGTAAATCTCAGATGATAGATAGTATTAGATATAAAGCTTAAGAACTTTTATCATTATTCCATTAAAGTTACATGAAATGTAAAGATCCACTGACTGCAACTAAATCACTTTCTAATCATTCAATACCGAACAAACCGAATTGTAACATTCACACTCAGTCTACTAACTAACTGGGATAATAAAAGATAAGAAATTGTGAGCATCTGCGTCCACCAAGTCAAGCAAGAGGGCAGGTACCCGTCTGTGACACTGGTTAGAGGTTGGGCTAAATATATATATCACGAATTGGCAGAGGGTGAAATTCACGATCTGGCTATTGACTCGTGTCTGAAAAGCCTACGAGCTCATCTTGTAACTGGAAGGTCGTGGATTCAAATTCCCGTGGGTGAATACTGCAGGAGAGTCCCAGATTAGAGTAGAACAGCTTCCCACTAATCTTAGGTCTTCTCCAATAGTTCTCCTACTGATGTCAGATCGTGACCAGTCTTGTAACCAGTTAAATTCCCGAAAGTGTCAATAGTTGTCATGTCTTATTGTCATACATTAAAAACGACTAGGAGAAGTTTCTTTCCATTCTCGCGTTCCTTGTGAGTTTGAACTTAGACGCCTTGAAGTTTCGGTAGAAGTTGTTTTGCTTTTACAAGGTTGGATCACTAGTCTCATAGCTAATCGTCCGTCTATTCTGGACTTGCAACCGGCTAGGTCATATTTCGGAGTATGTCGGTCTGCATTGGAATTCCGAAACATTTGATGGGTTGGCAACCATCCTACCGATGAACCTCCGACTCATCAGTTGGGTGATGTACGCCAAATTAATAGTGTGTATAATAATGAGATAAAAAGTGGAAGTGTATTTTTGTTGACCTATCCTCAAAATCTTATCGGCTGGATATGCTTGCCTCAGAGAAGAAAAGTGTCAAAATTCAAACTGTAAATCAGAGTACTTAATTCTACACTAAACTGGTTTTCACAGTTGAACTTTGAATAAAGTGCAGCATTCCAAGTCGCTTTGCTAAAATCAATTCAGATAATTTTAATCTTCGGTATGTTTTAGCTTATACAGTCAAAATGTCCATCTATTAATGTCATCATTTTCCGATCTTTAATTTTTCACTATTTTAAAGTCTTTTCTCACATAACTTGAATTATTCTGAATAGCTAAAGCTAACGTCAAATGACTTCATATTATTGAAGTAATTTGATGAATGTTGACAAACACTTGAATCCAGAAGGCGCATTTCGTCCTATTTGGGACTCGTCAGCCCATGGATGTACCTGAATTCCCAGTGTGGCTGACAGTGTCCCCACTGAGACTCGAACCCATCGATCCAATCGCCAAAGCGTTATCCACTAGACCACTTGGGTCACTAGGACTGCCTCTTGTGCGATGAGCATCAGTTATTATTGATCTTTGATTCAATTTTCATTTCCCCAACACTTCCTGAGAATGTATGTACACCCAGTTGATGAGTCCCGTATAAGAAAAAATTTGTATCCTCGTGGATTCCGCTGCTGATCATCACCTAATAAATTACTTCAATTTAACCTTGAGACACTGTTGAAGTATCCGTACTGGAAGCTGACATATCAACAGTGGCCCAACTTATCGGTCAAATCAACCAGCGGGAAAATCAAACATTGAATATAGGTTAACATAGTACACGTAACCCTTCATCTAATTCCGTCCTAATTCTCTATGGAAGAGACTTTAATAACCTACTTCTTACTTATATGATGAGGGAATTAGACTAAATTATTGTTTCCCCTGCTCCGCACAACTTCTTCAACATACAAAAGTGTCCTGATACAGTTTAATTTTACTTCATGTATTTACTACTTGCTCGATATGACTTACGCATTGATAGGAAACACTGATCGATTGATTGCATTATACTTTGTAAAGTAATAGCATTCATAATCTTTTATCAAAATAGAATATTTGCTTTCATTAGACACTAGTAAATAGTGTATTGTGTCTAGTCTTTTAGTTGGAATGTGGCCACTATTCTAGGTAGCCCGCCATTACGGTGCACATCGATTTGATAATATGAAATGGTTGGAGGCAATCGACTGATAGAATTCAGTCGGCACCAAAGAAAGGACTAGACACATCACACTAGTTACTAGTGACAAAATCAAATTATCTACTACAGTCCTACAAGAGGTCGATCGTGAGTCCGAATAGCTCAGTGGTAACGTCTCTAACTATAGCTCTCACTGGGTGACATGGGTTTGAATTTCAAAATGGACATAAGTTCCTTCACCTTGCTGACAAGTGCCAACAAGAACGAAACCTAGGTCCAGGGCTTCCCACCAATTTTCTCCAACCATCTAATATCATCAAAATATTTCCTTATTGTCTTTGTGTAGTGAAGACTGGGAAAATTTAAATTTTTTAAACGAATATCTACAATAATTTTATGGGTATCAAGACTCCACTGTGTGTAAACATTTCACATTAATGTTTAGGAAGACTAAAACCGTAAAATGTTTTAATCTATTGAAACTGAGGTGAAAATTAATTCTAACGCTGAGAATGAGTAACAAGTTTCTCAAAAAATGAAATAAGATCAGGCTGTTGAGAAGTATCAGTCAATTGTTTAAGATATTCTGAGCATACTATCCGTGTCATAGAAACAAAAAATGAAATAATGTTTACAGATGTAAAACCTGGAAGTCAAATGACACAGTGATATATAAATATAAAGAGTTCGTTTGTAAGGGGTTTGATCTGTTTCCAGATTGACGGCAGACTGATATCAGTTAGATCATTGAAAACACCAGAGAGTACTAGACAGCTAGCTGTTTATTCCGCCTTAGTTTGTGACTCATCACCAGCACGCAGGCACCCATCACCAGGGTTCGAACCCAGGGCCTTCCGGTTGCAAGTCAAGCTGGTAGACCACTCAGCTACTGGGATCCGACATAATGGACCATGGATTCTCAATTTCACCAATTCATGATTTTAGGGTGACTGGCACCACCTAAAGTCATAAATGAGTACTTGTCCTGACTCCCGACTGGGTGGACCCCACTGCTCATAACCTGCCACTGGAATTCTACGCATCTTTGACCAGCAACCAGTCACTGGTGAGCATCAGATTAATTATCAAGAGTTAAGATTATTCTTTGACATAATGTGGTGGTAAAGCTGCTCCAGAAAATCACACATAAATGTAAAGGAAATGGATTTAATGAAATTACAATGAATGCAGATTTAAGGAGATAGAATAGTTAAATGAAGATTAGTACGAACGTTTAGTGCCGAGAAGACCAAAAGTAGTGAACACGTTAGCAGCATTTTGAACAATTTTGATCCACATCACCAAGAGTTAACAACCGTTGGTTTTTAACATCCCGGTGATTGTAGCCAGATAGCTTACAGTATTATGAAGGTTCAAAATCAGCAGTCGGTGACTGCTTTACGAACTAGCGCCTTGCTTTCGTCTCACTTTTTTCAAATCTATTTCAGTTAAAATTATTCGTGCATGAGGAAAGCTATCCTCAAATTACCTTCTCCATTGGTGAATAGAGGTTAATTGCTCAATATTTTACTGGTCATCCGATTGATGTACGCGGTCAATAGATAAGACATTGTGATCCGATGGTTGTTGGGACAAAGTGTAAAAGATGACTTCATAGGCATCCCCAGTATGCTTTTAGAACTGACCCATCTTCCATACTTTAGCATTACGATCAGCCACTCAGATAACTGTAACTGAGCGTTTGCTTCTCGACAGCCAATTGACATTCTCCTATGAAATTCGTCCTTTGCTTCATTTGCAGTGCAGGTTGTTGATGTGGTAGTGGAAACTTTCAAAAAGCATCGACCATTATCACTATCTTTTCTTATTTACATTGACACACATACAGGACTGCTTATTAGGATCAGTGAATTTTTCGTCCTTAAGCTTAGTACTATCCTTCCACTAACAATGTCCACGAAAACTACTCAAAGGACCTACTGGCACTCATTGGGTGAAGCTAATATATTCACCACGTCGATGAAGTGTATTGGCTGATTTGATAAAAGGTCTACATACTGAGAGATACATTCTAAATTTAGAGACATTGTTTTAAAAGGGTAGAAACGATGTTCTTCGACCCAAGTGACTAGAAATGGGAAATAGTTAAGGGAAGGAGAAGAAACTGCATAGGGAAGAGTACTAAGAGTGAAACAAAGGTTAGAAGACAATTAGGAGAACCTTGAAAGTTTATGGGAGCATTTGGGTTGTTCATACTTCCCCACTGTAAGTTAGTTTCTCTGTGAAGTATATAAAAAACAGATTCCTTGTTTTTGGACTAATGGAGAGACCGTGAGACAATGCTTTATGACCGTTTATATACAGCCTTTCAGTGACAAAACATTTCGTAGTTTCATCAATAAAAAAGACCCTGCAGTCAACTGATTTTGGGTCCACTTTCTTTGAGTCTTCTCCTCCAGAGCTGGAAGGCATTGTAGCTAGTCTGGTAGTTGCTTGAGGAGAATACCTTTCATATAGTGCGCTTCATTGTACCAGCAGTGTGACTTTACCCAGAGACTTTCATCAAAATATAAGCAGCTTACACTGTGGTGGCAGATTTAAAGCAATATTATAGACGTTGTTTCAGGCATAGTAGAACTTTCCGCAATATTCATTTGAGCCCAAATGGTTCACTGGGTGGATGTGATATGTCAACCTGGCTACCATGCCATAGTAATGACTATCGAGCAGTACTTATTCTTGTAGGCTATAAATAATGATTGCACTGAATCTAGATTCAAAACCACCTGAGAAAGTAAATGCCTACAGTCAACAGTACAGTGTAGAGATCACAAATGATCAGATGGTTTCCTATTAACTTCTAACTGGTGACAGGCGATTGGAATGACAGTTAATAAATTTTGATGAATTAACTCCGAATTTCAGCCATCACTCATGAAGGATTTGCAGCGCTAAACTGCAAATCATAGTTTATGAGAAATGCAGCACGAAACACCACAGACAACTATTGTAGCAGTGGATGATTCCCCGAAATCATTAGTCACAGCATTCATCACTGAATACTGGATCCTGACCCTGACTTTTTAAGTCGACCTATTTGGCTGAAAATTCATGGTTAAGCATCCGGTTCATTCGGTACTCCATCGTGCTACGTTCATTCGTTCGGTCGTGTACGATCCCTAGCTAGTTAATTAGTCAGCCTCGCAGTACGATATGGTCCCAAAATATACTCCGTATTTTGGACGATCGCTCTGGTGTTTTGCTTTGCCTTTGGTCTACATGGAACGAACACTGTAGAAGTTGTGGTCATTAGATCTTACGTAAGCATAATACGCACTATTCGTGAACTTCAACAACCTCGGCCTCTAAACTATCTTCGCTTCTTACTGATCATTTCAATGGAATGTTTTGACTTATTAAACAAAAGAAATGGTGTTTAGACCGTTTGCCCCCATGATACTAAGATGCAAAATTACTTACACTTTGGAGGGATTCACAAATCTGTCCAGTAATGAAAAATATCAATTCTTCAAGATCTTCGAAGCTAGGATAGAAAAGAACCTTCTGGTCCTCATAAGTTAGATACATTTTCAAGACTGGAAGCCGCTCCTTATGGTCTTCTTCAAATGTATCAACCCATTCTAATAAGTTCCTTTGTAAAAATTGTTTGAGCTAATTTAACATATTTCTTGACACCAATATCGCATACCTGAATAGATAGTAAAGTAGATACGCTTCTGTAAAATGATTCAAGAGCAGAAGGTTTCATACTCGGTATTGAATTTCTATCCACAAACAACTGAATAACTTTTGGATACCATTTCTGCATCAAATGCTCGCACTTAGATTCAACTTCTTGTTTGACTCTTATTCTTAGATCTCCGAAATCAATTGCTCCCAGCTCCCTGAAAAAAGCATTTGTTAATTTAACGAGTTTTACTGACCTGTATTTAGGAATACTGGTCAGTTCTGTGTTATGCAGATACTGATAACAAAGTCCCAAGATCTTCTGCATATGAGGATACGTTATCATAAGCTGAGGGACTAGCTCTTTTTTCTGCATTAAATAGTCTGAATGCCATGACTCTGAAAAAACTGGAATTCTATGAAATGTGTGAATCAGCACAAATAAACAAACTTCGGTCCTTCAGGTGGCAGGGATAAGTCGTCATCTGAAAGCTGAGGTAAGTTTGGCTTCTTTAATGTCTGTCTGGCCAAAGATTTCTTCAAGCTTTCCAGGAAATTTTCTCTAACTTCAAGCAAAACACCATTTAGTTCTTCTTCCCTTCCCGTTTTAAGACGCTTTGGAATTTTGGCCAAAATATTTTGAAGCCAGCTGTCCTGGATTTGAGGTATTACGCTGCTTTCAACATACGACTTCATAATTTTAAAGTTTTTCTAAAGCGAAAGATTACATAAGTACTCAACTTGACATACAGCCAGCCTCATTTCTTCACTAACCATCTAAAAATGTAGGTGTGATTAAAGTTTAATGAATTCTTACGAAAGTTGGCAGGAACGGTGGTTCATTTGGCACAGGGAGGGAAGCTAATTCTATCTGTGTCTTTCTGTAGGCTGCATGAGCTCTCCTGATACTGTAGGTGATATTAGAAACCTTGAAAAAATTACTTCAGCTTGTTTAATTGAAGTCTTTTCTCCTTCTCTAATGAGTACTGAATAAACTTTTGAAGTTTAGGATCTTTCTCTTTTTCAGCTATTTCCAGTTTTATTTTCTCAACTTGCGGTAGTGGCATAAGCTTGCGCTTGATAGGAGAGTTGAAATCCTTCATTTCAAAGTTGAAAATCTCTTGCTGATTCTCAGATCAAGATTTTATTTTGAAACTGGTATATCTACGACTTCAGAAGTATTCAGAATAGGTTAGTTAACAAGATGACCTCATGCTTCAAAAATCTTATAAATTTGCGTTTTTCAACTATAGTTACCTTTCAACATTGGTGGTTTAAAACAAAATTTTTAATAATAACAGAAATTTCATCTGCCACATATTTTTGGAAAGCCAAAGACCAAAATACACCTTCACTAATTTTCCTCAATGAAAATATCTAGGCCCCAATCGCTCTCTTTATTTTGGATATTTACTGAAAGCTAAATTTCGCTAGCATTTAATTTCAATTTGATAACCATTTCGAGCACACCTGAATGACAGATTGCAATTTGACATTCCTCGTCAAAGCCCGCATGCATCTGGCTATGTCTGCTTACTAAAACATCATGAAGACCGAGAGGGTAAAATAATGTATGGATAGAAGTGAAAGGTGGTATTGGTGAAAAAAGTAATTCATAGGAATAGTCAGTTGTCTTATTTCCCATCTCCATTGATTGCCTTATTTAACTGCTGTTCTTGAAATAATCTGTTTCGGGCGAGTGATGTTTGAAGGAGCAAGACCATAATATTTCTTTTACGCAGAGTTGATATATCCTTGTAACTTCTCAATACTACGTTTACTACCAAGTGATTTTTAAAATCGGATTGGGAATGATCCACTCAAGCTGGTTAATTGATAGTAAGCCGTAAAAGAAAATGAGAAAAAATTAAATGACTGCATTACCACAAAGGAAATAAACCTCATGTAGTGAGGGTTCTTGGAGATGAATTTTTAGAATACAACTAAGAACAAGGGGAGTCAAGATGGGATATACTAGGACAAATTGTATGCCTACAAAACAATAATAGATTGCTAGATGTTTGTTCTCAGTGTTCAGGTCGACTTCAAGTGAGATCATGAGCTGATACCACTGAAAACCAGGAAGACCCGCTGATTGTTTCGCCCTGGCTCAATGCCCTCCAGCACCACCTTCCCGAGGCCCCATCGGTGGTCAGATCCAGTACCTTCAGGTTACGAGTTGAAGCCATCTACCATTCAGCTAATAACCCGATTCAGTAGGCAACACCGGCCACGGGTTCTAGTTAAAATTCTAAGTTCAATATTATATATTCAGTTACTAGTGAGCATCACATATCAGTTCATGATCCTCCTTTCAGTCATTCATATCCTCGCAGACAAACACTTAAAAATTATTCTACTGCTCACTAGTCACTGACTTCAGGATAAAGGGCTTAGAATTCTCGTGCGTCAGTTGGTGGAGTCAAACCTCAATTTTGCTTAAATCATATCTAAAGTCATAGTGATGTAAGGTAACATGACGGTATGCCATATACCACGCCAGAAGCCAGAATTATGTCCTATCTAAGAAGTTGCGCCTAGAGCAAAACGGCCACATTATTACGATGTGTCAGCACTTGATACCAATGGGTACACTGGTCTATTGGCATCCTGAACCCATTTTTCGATGATATACATACTGTCAAAGAATATCATTTGCACTAGGGCAGGGATTCCGAATGTTAAATTCTGGCCATGTCAGCGAACATTTTACCTGAAGGCATCCATGTCATTCGCATCATCATTGTTTTCATAACTGGAGCAAGAAAGTGCTCCTCAGCAAAGTAGAAGATACCTCTAGGTCATAAGACGTGTGATTTCATTAGGTGTGGGATTTTTAGCTCAGTATTCAGGTAGTGACATGTTTGAAGCGACTTTGAAGTTTACAGTAATGGGCGGAGGTAAGGGCCCAGAAACAGTTCTCTACAAACACTACTGCTATCAGCCATTACGTATAATCTTGTTGTAGGCGAGCGGCTTGCTTCACTGACTGCTACCCACTGCCTGCTGTTACATAAATTGGATTGTTTTCACCTCGATAATATTTATGAACTAGTGAGTCCTGTGTACAAATTTGGTGACAATGTGAGCGTTTGCAACCACAAACCTGCAATTAATGGTGCTCATATAAACCCAGTTATCACGCGAATCATGGAGAAAGTTGTCAAAGACCAATCGTCAGATTACCTAATTGGAGAAGACCTTGATTTTTAGTCCTTCACATTCCCAGTGGAACATGGGGTTCAAGATTTAGCTCTAAAGTTTCAGTAGCATTGGTGTTGTTTCACGGAATTGGGCCGCTAGCCTCACACCCAGCTTCCCTCCTTTGTCGAGATTGTAACTGCTAAGGGGATAAAGGTGTGCGCTGACCGGGACTGGAACCCTAGGCCGTGTGCATGGTCATCCAGCACTCTACCTCAGAACCACCGACGGACGAAGATCTTGTTACCAAGTCTCAGCACCAATTTCTCAACAATAGGCCTCGCATTACGTCGGCTTTTTCAACTTTATCACTAGTAGTCCCGAGGCACATGAACAAGTCACTGTTCTTTACTTCGACATTCAAAAGACATTTGATGTTGTGTCATACAGTATTCTCTTTCAGGAGCTATACTCGTGTGGGATTCTTAATCGAATACTTAACTGGTTAAAGTCATTTCTAAGCAATAGAGTGCAAATAACTAAGGTCGAATCTGTGTTGTCTTGCCCTAGGCAGATTACATTAACAGCATTTTCAGCCTCTTCACCTCAGGTAGACCACTCCTATATGCTATCCACCATGAAGCTGTCAATTCGTGCTGCAGTCATAAATCAAACAGTTTAATAGGTAAAACACGTCCTGAACTAGGTTGTCTCGCATCACAGTGTGCTGAATCCTGCCTGAAGTTTATTATTAACAGATGCAGTTGGATTAGCACCGGTAACATTTATTTTCACCTAACCTTTGAAGCGAATAGGTGAAAAGTAGCCAAGCCTAACTCAGTTTTGGATCTCAGCATCAGATGCCCTAGTATTTTAGTGATATCTGAGTAACTGATTATAATGGAGGGAAAACACGTCGGTTCCTAGGTTGAATTACCTGCAACTACTGTTGCTGTGAGACAAGGGTTTTATTATATAAAGTATGCGTTCGACCTACTTTAGAATACTACTCGTTTATTCTTAGCGGACTCCGACAGGGTGACAAGCCTAAATTTTAGGGAGTGCGACGACAATTTACTTCGAAATCTCTCGCCGTAGATGTCTTCTTAACTGCTCCAAGCGTTGTAACGTACTGAAGATGGAGCCAGTGTGGAAAAAACCTCCTAAGCCGAAACTTTTTTCATCGCAAGTAAACTAATCTTATCTTGCATCCCTCCAGGCCAATAACTAAACCTACCCTCATCATCAGTTAGAATCTCATAAATCATGACAACCTAGCTGCTATAGAACCCTGTGAAATTCACATGTCGTCCAACTTTCTAAATAAGTTGTCAGTCTTTCAAAATAAACCAACATCTAATGTGCGTGACGCAAACACACTTCCATTATTCATCTCCTCAGTCGTCAGACCCCCAAAGATGACAATACTCTGCTCCATGTGACTCCCACACCGCCTTTTTCAACCCACATAGATATGCCTTGTTCATTAAACGCATGGGTAACAGTAAACTTCATCAGCAAATGTTAATGTTATTAGAACATGACAAACACTTCTCCCAAGGGGAATAAATATTAGTTCACACATACCACATAAAAGTTAGCACAACAGAACTGGTAAGGGTGTCAACAGCGATGGTGGTTTATATACAAAGTAGGCATAAATATATACGAATTTACAAATCACTTCCCCTGAACTTTTCGTGCTTCTATCTGCACTGCTGTCCTTTGTCTTCCTTTTTTCTCTTGCCATTTTGGCTTAGGTAATTTTTTGAATGATGATAAATAATGTAGATATTTAGTGAATCGCAACAGAAATCCAAAGAGATCTTCAAACATTACTGGCTCCAAATCCTGCAACTGCTCCGCACAACACCTGTTGCTTTCTTGGATGACGGTTGTGGAGTATTACCTCTTTGGCAATAATAAATCGCAGTCACTACTCGTATTGAAGCAATGAATCCAGCAATTCAAGAAATAATGCAAATGTCCTAATGGTTGCATTTATAATCTCACTGACTCGTGCGACGTTATTTACAGCTCCTATATGCTAAACTTGTTATTTGATATGGTTCCTAGCAGCAAAATGACCCGAAATAACCTGTTGCTGCTCCGTGTTGAATTAATATTACTTCTCTGTACGTTTAACTGGACATTTACTGTTGTGGTTAGTCTCTGGTAGTTAATATTGCCACAGACCTTGTTATCGGTACGTTAGCTATCAGTTTAGAGGACGTTTTTGTGACTCTAAACTACAGCAGCCCAAAACAAAACTACCTTATGAACGGGTAAATGACCTCCAGCGATCAGCCAGATGCGTCCGTAGAATACAGGAACAGCTATGGATGCTATATACTTCCAGGAAACTAGCTAGTTAGGCAGCTCACTTTAGATATTATCCCGTTACGTCGTCATAAATGTACCTTGTATAACTGAGTAACTGTATATATGCTTACTCCGTGTTCACACTGTTTCACATTGATGATGCCTGGAAAGTGGCGTCGCCCATGTACAAACAGGTGAGAATATCAGTGACTCTAAACTACATCAGCCCAAAACGAAACTACCTGATGACCTTGATAGATTTGTGCACAGAAATCGGACGTTGGTCGGGTCATATGCAAGAATTTTATCCTATGCAATCACTTTTTAACACTGCATCACTAGCATGCAGACGCCATTTTCAAATTAATCGCTTCTGCTTCTTGCGCATCTGATTGGTTTCTGGAATTTTTTTCGTTTTGGGCTGCTATAGTTGAGCGTCACCAGCCTGCCTGTCCTCGTAGGGACAGGTGAAACAACCAAGGCTGCTTTGTGAGATAGAGGATCATGAAGGATCAGAATAGTTCCTCACTACTTGACCTTTTAAATCTGAATAGATGATGTCAATGCAGTTGAAGATTGAACGAGTTGCCAATCTGTGTTCTGGTTTTTCTCGTTGGTTATTACAAATTGTTTCCGAAAG